AAAAAAAAAAAAAAAAAAAAAAAAAAAAAAAAAAAAAAAAAAAAAAAAAAAGAGAAGAGAAAAAACGAATATGCTCATCCCGAATTCCCGGGTCCCCCAATGCGCTGGTTATAATGCCCTGGAAGTATGATCGTCCCTATCGCGTCATTGGATGTAAAGAATGCAACTATTCGCCGAGGGTCGCTCGCAATAAGGCGATAGTATTGAAAAATATTGATCCCTAAGGGGTAATAAATGCTACTATCATTATTGCTATCAATGCGACTTCGGTGCCTCGCGATGTCCGGAGCCTGTTGTGCGGTGAGTTCGTCGACGCCTTCCCAGTCAAGCCGGGCACTAAGGGCCGAGGTCTCCATAATTCAGCCGTCTCTGTCAGTCAACAATACATAATAACGCCCCTGTCAAGGCCACGCTAACCCCACGAGGAAAGACTCCAAGACACTGGTGGCTGCCGGTTCCATGGGTAATCCATATGTTTGGACAGCTCGTGACTCTTGAAACCAAGCTGACTGACAGGCTATTGGGTTTTTAATATCCTCCATATTGGTGTTCTCCCCACTTAGTACATTTTTTAACATTTCACGGTGGAGCCCGTAGATGCTCTCAATTCGTTATCTCACGAACAGGGCATTTGTGATGCCACATGGGCACAGGGTACTCTCGACACTACTGCAAGTACTCACGGGCTTCGGAGCCGATCCTCGCCTCATTCGCCGCAATTGACTGGCCCTGACGCACTACAACATAGTGCTCGTGCTAAACACCGAGTAAAGTTTGGCAAGATGGGGACCGAAATGAATGAGAGGCGTACGTAAGAGTATATTGCGCAAAAATGCAATGAAATCGAGTCCCAGTTAAAGGCAGGCTGGCTCCTTTTCATCGCTGTGGTCCACGGCTTGAATTTTCCCTTTATTCTTCTTTCTCTTTGGCCCTGTTCTATGAGTGGCTCAGCTGTGTACTCTACGCTTATGGCACCGTGTTGTTCAGCCTGAAACACAGGCTTACCGGATCTCTGGGAGGCGTGACGCTTTTTCCTCTTTCGCTCTTTGTTTTTCTAGATCGACTTTCCCGCAACGGCATCCGTTCTCTACTCTCGAAAATACGCCCTCCTTTGAATACCTTGCGATTGCCGACATAAAAAATTCTTTGCGCTTTCACCAACCCCAAGATGGACGCCGGATTAGAGAATCACACCCTGTTTCGTCGAGAAGATGGGTCGGTGGCGAGAGGGAACCGAGCCCTAGTGGTGACGGCTGTGTTGACCGTGCTATCCATCCTGATCGTTTCAATGCGCGTCTTTGCACGAGTTGCGTTAATCAAGATGATGGGTCGGGAGGACTGGACCATTGTAATCTCATTGGTGAGTCTGGTTCGAACGGAAGACGCTGGACACATGTTAACGAAGGGTGCCCAGGTGTTTGCTATTATCTATCTTGGGTTTGTTGCTGGTGGTAAGTTCTATTGATAGTCCCATGAAGATATCAGATGTTCTGACTATGCGATAGAGACGCACTTTGGTCTCGGTGCACATTCTTCGACATTATCCAATGAAGAATTGATGAACCAGTTAAAGGTACGACAAAACGACAAACCTGTACCCCACTTCTTTAGAATGTAAGCTCACTGATACAGATGCTCTGGGCCGCCATCCCCATGTACAACGCAAGTCTGGCCTGCACCAAATTCTCCATTCTCTTCCAATACCTCCGCATTTTCCCCAGTCGGCCGTTCCGTATCTCCTGCTACATCGCCATGGGAATCGTCGCATTATACTCAACCTGGGCCTTCATCACCGGCTTCCTGACCTGCGTACCGGTTGCCAAGTTCTGGGACCGGACGGTGGAGGGTTACTGCTTCAATTTCGAAGCGCTGTGGTTCTTCAACGCCTCGATGAACATCGCAACGGACTTTGCTTTGCTTGTTATGCCGATGCCGCTTCTTTCGCAGCTTCAGCTTCCGCGGATGCAAAAGATTGCGCTATGTGGTGTTTTTGCAATTGGTGGATTGGTTGTGATTACTAGTGCTCTCCGGCTCTCTAGTTTACATACTGTTGCAAAGGACCCTGATACATCTTGTAAGTCATCCTGCAACATATCACACAAGAAGCATGCTAATACCCGCAAAGACAGCAATGTCGCCGCCGCCTACTGGACCGCTGCAGAATGCAACGTCGCCATCATCTGCGCCTCGCTCCCTTTCCTCCGTCCCGTAATCAGCTGCGTATTCCCCAAGCTCATGCCAACAAACAGCTACCGCCGCCACAGAACCGGCTTCAACACAACAAACCGCTCTCGTCTTCAAACAGAGCTCTACTCGCAACCCCGCGACTACGACATGTACACGATTGATGTGAAGTCTAATAGTGTGAACCGTGATCCGTTTAGGGGTATTGAAGTTACGACGGAAATGATTCAGGAATCGGGGAAGCCGAGTACGAGTCAAAGTGGTGTTGAGTCGACGAATACTAGCCAGAAAGGGTTGGTTATGGATGTATGAGTTATGTTATGTGTGGCGATGGTTTATGCTTTCGTTAGTAATTTTTCCTTTGTTTGATTGTTCGGATACCCAATATCATCAGATGTTTTCTTTTTTACCAATGTATATATACTTGTTGAATACATGAATCATGCACTTTATTTATGATGTCTTTTCTATAAATCCCTGGGTAAGGTACATTACAGGACGGGATTAGCTTCTATGGTCCCGTACAAAACTTTATTCTATTTTTGCCCCTCCAAATCACTACAAAACAACCACTTCGTTCTAGAATCATACCCATTTTCCAATCATTAATCTTCAAATACAGATCAATCTGGCCTTGTAAGGTAGCATCATGGGCAAGAATGACAAATCCCCTCCCAGAACCCTCGAGTGCCTTGTTTCTCTCGATTGCTTCCAGAGTTTGTTCATGGTTCGAAGTCAACGTAGGCGATACCCTGAAGAAGGCGTCTGTCTTCGTGCTGCTCTTCATCACATTTGTCTCGGCACAGAAACTACTATCCTCGGAGAACTCTGAGAAAAAAAGCGGCAGATGCTGCGGCGGCCGCAAGATACCCGCATGATGACAGCAATCACCGCCTATAAACACGAAGGTGCTTGGATCAGTCGTGACCCTAGAAAGTCCGCAGAGATGCCCGATGGAATGGACCAACGCATCGAGGAGGTAGAACGAGCCGTTATCGAAATAGACGTGGGCATCGAAAGGGCCAAACTGGGCTGTTTCTGCTGCATTTTTGAATGAGATATCTCTGACATCTCGGCCTGAATATCTGAGTCGAGGACCATGCCGTTTTGATTAGCTGGGTATCCAGGCCATACTGTGTCCTTGACATCCGGTCCGACGACTAGAGTAGTCGACGCCGGGAAGGCAGATGGGTCACCGGTGCGGTCGAAGTGATGATGAGGCCAGATAATTGCTTCTATATCTTTACTGCGGGTACTAAAATCGGAAACATTGGAGTCGAGGATGTCGGCGATATCTGGTCCGATGCTGACGTAGGCCGTGTTCTTGATCAAAGATACGATTTCCGCGAGAGATTTTCCAGTCGTGTCGCATGCCTAGGTCAAATAGGATATAGCGATTGCCATTTTATATTAGGAAGGAGTAGTCTGGGGCTTTTACCACGTTGGGGGCTTTCATTGGGAGTTCCCAGGATAGGAATGGGTTGAAGTCTAGTATTGTTCCTTTGCTTGTTGGTCAGTGCTGTTCTGTGTATAGAAGGTTGGGGGGAAGAGGTACAGGTCAATTACTCGGACGTCTACAGTTGATGTAGTTGTACGGATATTTAACGCGGGGAAATAGATCCTGTTGCTTTAAATCGGATCTCTATCAGATAGCAATCGAACATCCACGGGACGAGGTATCCAGCTCATCAAAATCAACGGCTGCTCCAGTACACACAGCCAGGTACACAGCTTTGGATGAAAAGTTTTCAACACTTCAGTATTGCGCAAACATGCAGCGGCAGCGGCAGTCGAAGAACCATGCAGAGCCCTTGTACATTAACAATGGAGGTCTCTTCGCTGGTCCTTCCGAAAAATGGAAACAGTTTATGTGATCCTTTGTCTTCCAGAAGTTCACGATCTGGGACACAACTGCTAACGGAACCGAGATGATGTTACTCTTCTCGCAGAAGGCAGGGGGGTCTCCCCCCTTTTGGAAGAAACACCCTAATTGAACGAGGTATGTCTCTCAGAGGAGGCTGTTCAATGCTGGCCATGCCTTCCAAATTGAGAGCCAGAGTAAAGAAATATCTTTTTGAACATCATGTAAAAAAATTCAAAACTGGACCTTGGACAATGGTGATGGGTGTTTCGGAAATTGACTCGGTGGTAAGGGTGAGATTGGGTGTTGGTCTGTATGCGCTCCCATAACCGTCAATATCTGAAGAATGACTCAAATAAAAAGATAGATATTCGTCAATAGATAGACGGTCTAGAAAAGATTCTACATGAAATGACCCCGAGGCCCGTGATTAAATAGGATAGGTCCCTAGCTATGCTGCTTCAATTGAATTAATTGAATTCATGGATGAACTGCCGTATCTACAGTCCACCAAATATGATAAAACTGTAGAGAATCCACTGGGGATACTGTCATGTACTCTGTAAGGATCGAAAGAATCTCAGATTTTGTGTCCTGGGCACCGAGATTAACAAACTACATGAGACTTATAATATGCTCGAATAGCATATTTGTACACTGATCCCACATATTGCATAACAATACTAAAATTATATGCATGATAAAGAGAATTCAGGTAGTTTCGAGATTCCAATGCTGCATGCTGCATAACATGCTGCTGCCCCGGCCTCCAAGGGCAAATCCAAGAGAGATCTTTCTGGCCTTCACCTGTAGAGCCCAGACAAAGGCCATTGCAGCAAAAAAAAAGCAGAGACGTCTCACCAGTGAGCTTCGCCAGCCATCCCAAAAGAAGCGACGAACCTACAGGCCAGAGGAATTGGCGGCTTGACCCCTTCGGCTGCAGTGACTCCCAAACACCTGACAAGCCGCTATGTTCAGCTGAAGTCAGGACACGCGTCCATTGGGGCATATTTACACCGGATTCAGACCCAGGAAGGTGCAACCTGTCAAGGATGTGGGTCGTCAAAGGAAGCAGTACACCATCTTCTCTTTGAATGTCGGCAATGGTGACGCCAACGGAATAAACTTTACAAGGGTTTGTAGACATATGGGCTACGAGACCCACTGCTTCAGAGGATTATCCACAAGGGCGGCTCCTAGGGGAGCCTAGATCTACCCCATGGGCATCTAGAACGGGGCGGCAGGAAGGGCCCGGAAAGATGAGGAGTGGGGACTGGAAACTTTGGAGGCAAGTAGAACAGCAGAAGGGTAGCAGGGAGGTAAGCTGAGACTCAGCCTAGGCCACACCTACCCTGCCCCGACAATACAAGGGGAGCACTCTTCGGAGGCTCAAAAGCCCTGCACATACAAGAGGTTTGGGGTGAGGAAAAGGATCGAAAAGATGATAGAAGGAGATCTGCCTCAGGAACTCACAGGGCCAAGATGCCGCGAGCAAGCTGCAAGCCTTGAGCTCATGGGAAATGGTCTGTCATAGCTTTAGGGCTTGATATGGACAATGAACTTGATCAAATGATGATAATAATAATAATGCTGCTGCCGCTCCTCGCTTACTGCAATGGCACATTCCCGTGATCGTGTGCTCTCTTGCCGTTAACAGTTTGGTCTATACGCAAGTTCACATGCTGAGTTTCCTCATTCCATTACTTGTGAGAGGAATATAGCAACTGATTGGTCGGCATAAGCAGGCGTAGCTGACAATAGCGTAAGTTGCGTCAACTGCAAGGGGGTATATTTCTTTTTCTTTTTTCTTTTCTTTGGGAGCCTACGATCTCGGTCTGGAGATTGATAAAAACCGAGCGTCCGATTCAGTTGATAGAACCTATTTATTTAGTCTCCCCTCCCCCTTTATTTTAGTACATACACTTACAATATGACTGAGATGACCGAGGTCCAAACCGTGGCGCACCAAATTACAGCAGCTCAGGAAGGCGCTATTGAGCCTGCAATTCCTATATTGGAAGAGCTTGCGCTTACTCCCTACGCATGCTCTTCTATCGAGCAAGTCTCTGGCGGATTTGTCAACTTTACTTTCAGGGGCTTCCTCTCTAACCCGCTCCCCAATGGCAGTAGCAGCGTCATTATCAAACATTCCAAAGACTTCTTGGGGTTTATTCCTGGGGTGCAGCTCCAAGCTGATCGATGTGTATGTGAACAGAAAGTTTCTAGAACTACATGTTGTCTGACTTTCCATCATTTGTAGCAAGGAGAACAACGAATCCTTCAAGCTCTCGCAAATGGCCTGAGCCCTATTGTCCATCAGAATGGTATACTGGTTCAGACACCTTGCCTTTACCACTTTATCCCGCACCTCAATGCTCAAGTGATGGAAGAATTTCCAAATGTCACTGCATTGGGTAAATTTCTCCTTTCTCCAGATTCAAACAAACTCTCAAGCTTACTTGTGGCAAACATCGGTCGTGCCTTGGGGCGCTGGTTGACGACCTTTCACGACCGTAGCTCAGGCCCCGGGGTGGTGCAGGAGGTTGGCTACAATGAAAAAAGCCGGGACTCAATGTATACTCTTGTGTCTGGCGGCGTGACCAAAGCAATGGATAGCTTCCCCAACCTCTTCTATGGACGTGCGGAGGATTTCCGGAAGTATGTACAAGAGGCAATCTATGGTGAAATTGATGAGGCTAGCAAGTCAATCGTCCATGGGGACTTTGCTGTTCGGAAGTAAGTGGCTTAAACACCGAAAGCATTATTTTTAATGTCTAACAATATAAATAGTATCTTGATCTCGAACTCGGCTGCTACTGGCGAGCAAGGTATCCTTGTTTCCCCTATCGACTGGGAAGTATACCACTTTGGCTGCATCGAATTCGACCTGGGACAGCTTCTGGGGGACCTCTACACGCATGAGTATTTCAAAGGCGTCAGTAGTTGTACAGCTCTGCTTCAAGGCTTTGCAGATGGTTATAAGCCATTGAGCAAGAAGCAACTCTCCTCCGTGGCAGTGTATACTGGAATTCACATTTTGGCTTGGGGACCTGTTGTTATGGCACCTTTAACCAGGGAGCAAGAGGAGCAGCTTGTGAGTTACGGAAAGGACCTTATTCTCAAAGGTAAGGAAGAGGATTGGGGGTGGCTAGAGACTAGCTATATCGGGCCTATCTTCAGAAAAGAAGCCGTGTAGCAAGACATCTTTGATCATAGGAATTCATACTTACATATTGTATAACAAGCATTGTCTAACCTTTGTAAGTGCTTCCTACACTTTGTCCTAGTAAACATTAATTCCCCTTCCCCCTTCCTTGCAGTACAGAGAAATGTCTCGAAGGGGTATAGCAGATACAGCCTTGAAAAGGGAGAAGTCGGCTTCTATTCAAGCAAACAACACATTCTCTGAACACAACTATATTGTCCAAGATCCTGTTATTATCCGAGATGGACAGAATATTGTGACTGCAATGGCTGAGCAAGACAAAAAAAAGAAAAAGAAAAGCACCATGTCCACGGAGAGTAAGAAAGACAAGCGAAGAACAAGAGACCAGGGAAGCGAACGATAGAAATAAACCACTACCACATTCCATACTGAACAAGCATGAAAACGTCTATAGCATATTTATGGCAGCTCTGGCGGCCTTCTTTTCTCCTATTTCCAGTCAAATTTACTTCCCTGCTCTCCCAATCCTCGCGCAGTACTATGACAAAATCACGACTCTAATTAGTCTGACTGTCACCACATACATTATTGTCCAGGGTATTGCACCGGCTTTTTGTTGGAAATTTCGCCGATATCAATGGCCGTCGACCAGTCTATGTCCTGGCTTTCATTATCTACACTGCAGCAAACATCGGTCTAGCTATCCATGATAACTGTGTAGCTTTGCTAAGTCTGCGATGTCTCTAAAGCGTCAGGAGAAGTGCCACCAGCTCTATTGGATACGCAGTTGCCGCTGATATTGCAAGTCCAGCCAAGCGGGACAAGTATATAAAGCCGATGACTGCTGGCTCTACGGCTGCTCAATGCATGTATTTATACAGTGTATCTTCCTGATTGGAAGGATTGTATTGCTTAGCAACTAATACGGTGGAAACAGTTGTCCATCAGGTTTTGGCGATTGATATTTATCTATTGTCTTGTATCCTGCCTTCACTTTCATTGCCAAGTGGCGGGTCATATTCACCTCCAGCATCCCCGCTAAAGTGTATTTAACTCTTTTCTGCTTTAATAATATATCTCCAAGAAACTGGACTCCTGCAGTGATTCTACGAGCTTTCCCATACCACCCCAGCAAGCAGCCCATCACATTACCGGTCTTCTACCAGTCTTCTACTAGACAACAAACCAGACAATGATGATATTGATAAGCCGAGCCGAGGTGTTGTTTTTCTTTTTTTTTTTTTTTTTTTTTTTTTTTTTTTTTTTTTTTTTTTTTTTTTGCTACTTCTTGGAATTTATGTTTCGTATCGCCAACCAAATGGACTATCGAGAAGAGCCATGCAGCGGTTTGTCATGTTAATATAGGTTATTTACGAGTCTCCGGTGCTTTTCATGAAGGATGATAATGAGTTTACTGATGGTGCACGGGTTTGGCAGGACTTGCCTTGTTTCAGTATAATGCTGTGTGGGAGATGGAGTAGTAAGTTTCATTTACTATCCACACGCTATCTTATTAGGTGCTGACATTTCAGGTATTCCTACTCCCGAATCCGCTAGCGAAGCCCATCACTGAGAGAAAAATCCAAACGGGCTAATCGCTCATTTCACCAACAAAGGCATATAACAAGGCCAGTACCGAGCCATCGTCATGATCCATCGTGCACTGGAGTGTAACGACGGAAGATCGCGAGAAAAGCTACATCTCCAACTGAGGAAATTAACTATTGCCTGTCGCGTACCCACTGCCGGAATATACTTGATCTTGTGTGCTCCTAAGCTCTTCGAGGCCTGTAAGCAGCGCAAGTGTCAAGACATTGAGGCGACTGGGGTGCTGTGGAGGGGAGAGTCGGCTCGACAGTATTCGGTTGCGCGATGGGAGTTTTGGGAAAGTCGGCTTGTGGTAATTATTGATCATCCTGATGCGACAGAGGAAACTAGGGAGTCATGTAGAGCTGCGATTGTGGCGATGGATGCCGTGGGACAGGAGTACATTAGTCGTTTAAACATCTATATAGCATCATTTTCTATACTGCGCGACAGCATGACAACAGCCACTCGAGGCTAAATTATGCAGAATCTTTAATCTCTCGGTATTTCCATATACTATCTCTCATTTGCCCTCATGGCTCTTCATGGACTGTGAATGAAAGTCTCAGCTTGCAGATTGTATCTCCTAATTAGCGCGAATTACCAATCAGTCCTTCTACTATTCTCAATACGGTCAGCATTGTCTTCATCGAGGTAAAGAGAGCTCTAGCTACAGCGCCTTCTTTCTACTCGAGACAGCGTCCACCCGTGAGAATTTCAAACTCCCCAAAGCATGCGACATAATGAACTGAAACTCAAGGATACATTGGGTTGCTATTTTGCCGATAGGCCCAATATTCCGAGGCATTGTGGCTAGAGGCATGGGTAGATCAGCGTCAAATCTAGCAAGCTTCACCTTATTTATGGTTTCGCTATTCACAAGATGAGCAAGCTCTTCAAAAGGGTGCTCCTATCTTGTCGCAGTATTTGCAGGAGCACCTGTCAATTACCATTCATCGGTCAGGCAGTACCTTAAGCACATTTTATTGGACAGACATAATTCTGGTGATATTGAAGAGGTATGTCACATACGGCCGATTCTCTTCGACAAGGAGCTCTTTTTAGGGCCAGACAACCATGTTGGAAAAGTCTAGAAATATTCTAGAAGCCTGGAATAGATACATGGAGCAAAACGTGAGCCTATTCTCCTACTTTATATATATATATATATATATAAAACCTGGGTTCGTAGGACAGTTAATGGAAGAGCGAGACTAGTTTACAATAAAATATCCTCCTTTTATACCCCAGAATGCCGATGATCCCTTCTGTTCACCGATTGTTTGCGATAGGGCCAGTGACCAGCAATACTAGCTTTTGCTCGTCACTGGGCATATGTTGACATGGCAGGGCAATGGGACAGCTGTGAGGATCTTATGATGTTACTGCGAGGATCGTTGGACCGGAGCATAGACCAGTGATTGTTATGCTACCTGGGTTATATGTATCGGTGATGATAATCTAGATTGATATTTGAAGAACATAAGCTGAATCAATACAGCGATAATTCAGAGCCAGTGATATTATTCGTTCCAAGTCTATGTCTATAACCCTCTCGAAGGCCCGGGCTGAGCATCGCGCTGTGTTAATAGTTGTTGACCCTCCCTGTCGTCCTCCGAGTCGGTCTCTTCCGCTTCCTCGTCGTCTTCCTCGGAATCTGTTTCTTCTTCCTCGTCTTCATCGTCCTCTTCTTCTTCCGAAACAGTCTCCTCTTCCGAATCAGTTTCCTCCTCGGTCTCGGTTTCACTCTCTTCTTCCTCATCCTCCAGCCACTCGTTCAGACTCTTCTGCTTCGTCGGCGTGGGACCCTGCATACGGCCATTTTGCCTCTTCGCAGCCGCAACACTGTCATGTTCCTTGAGTGCTCGATCGAGTCGTTCGCCTGCTGTCAGGGAAGCTCTTTCACTGAACTCTTGCTTCACAACGCCTTGGTCACGGAGATTATGATCTGGTTCATCGCCTGGTGTAACCCAGTCGGGAAGTTTCTCATAGCCCTTCAGGCCATGGAAGCCGGCATCCGGTCCAAGGACGAGTGTAGAGGAGCCAATGAGAAGTTCTTTGCGCGTCTCTGATGGGCTGGGAGCATGCGGTATAGGTTTCGGGGCGAGAAGGAGCAGATTAGCTAGCGGGAGTGTAGTAGGAGAGGCAAGGAGAGCCTTGTAGAGCCGTGCGCGGTCACGGAGGTCATAGGATGTGTCGTATCTGGCGAGAAGGAGAATGTACCGCCAGAGTATTGTGATGTTGTCTTCCTCTGGTTCTTCTTGCGGTTTCTGTTCGTCTTCGCCCTGTTCTTTTTGTTTTTCTTGGTCATCGGTCCATTCGTTACTAAACCGTTCGACTTTTTGCACAGGCGGCGGTTGCTCTTTTGGGGGGTTGCGTAGGAGGTGATGGAGGTACACCTTGGCGCCGAGTAAAACAAGTTGCTGTTTCACAAGCTCTGGTTCATCAGTGAAGCCTGTTACCAGTAACCTTAAGACATCGGGCGCAAAATTTCGCTCAGGCTCCACGCCTGCAAATTCTCCGACGAGCCAGACTATTGTAGCTCTTGCGTCTGGGCAGGTCGTCGAGCCAAGGTACTTGACCAGCTGAATCACAGTTCGCTCATGGGAGGCGGGGTCATGCTGAATCAAGTGTCTGATCACTGTCAGCGACTCGGAGACCAGAGTGTCATCAAAACTCGTAATCTGATTGAGCAGGACGCGTAGACAGTGATTCGCAGTCCTGGTGTCGCTCTGCGCACAGCGTCCGATTGCTCGAACGCTTTCTCGAACAAGATCCCGGTCTGTGCTTCGGGAGAAATGCTCCAGTTCGCTTACGATCACACTCTTTAAATGTAATCCACAATGGGGAAAGATGATGGTTAGGATCTCCAGCTTGAGACGCCAAATATGGGGCGGATCCGTGGAATGCACCAAGTAATGCGAGACGTACTTGGCGAACGGCTTCGGGTGACGCAAGGCAACGGAAACGACGTTATAAAGAGCGATATGTTGTATATCTAGGGGGCTTCGAAGGAGCGCAACCAATGGACCAACCGCCGAGTCAAGGTATTCTGGTGGGGCCAGGTAGGCAAAAGAACGTACGACGCCGAGAATGATAGCCGAGTTGCGATTTTGTAGAAGGCTCTTGCAGGTTCGGAGAAAGATCTCTAGATCAGGATCCAACACTGGAACTTCATATTCTTCACCGTCATCTTGACCCTCAGCAACCTCTTCGTCATCATAGAATCCCTTGGACTCCCCTTTAGTCACTGCTCTCTTGATCTTCTGAGTCTTGAGTGGGAAGCACTTGCGCGCATAGGAAGTCAAAAGACGCAAAGTCGCAAGTTGACTCCATTCATCCATATCAACCAGCTTCTTCACCAGGCTTCGATAATGCCTGTGAACCAGGTCAATTCTATCCGGGCAGACTTCCAAAAAAGCAGCTACAGCAGGACCAGCAACGAAATACTGGCTATCCCCAAGTAACGTAGATATGTATCCAATCAACTGCGACAGGGTATTCGGTTCCAAGCGATAGCATTTCGGGATAGCTAACGCAGCCGCCTTTCGCACATGGGGACTCATATCACCGACCCCTCGTTTAATCGCAAGACACACAATCTGGTTTATGACCGGCACGCTGATTCCGGACATCGTTCGTAGCGCCATAGCTCGTACTTGAGGGTTCGTATCCGTAAGAGACTTCTGGATCGCATTGATGGACAAGAGCGCCAGGTCGGGTTCTGCCTCCGCATGGTGAACCAAGTAGACGTAGACCAATTTCTTGACCTCGAAACTCGTGCTGGCTGCATTTTTCACGACCGCGGAGAAGAATTCGAGAGATAGCTCAGGATCTTCATAAATAAACTAAACGAAATAACAAAGCCAATGTCAGCGATTCCCCATCGTCCGATATATTATGAAGGGACCCGTACCGAAATGACCTTCCGCAGACCGTCCAAGACCTCTTGTTCATGGCGACTGTCGAGGAGCTTTTTGATATAAGGGACATTATTATTGCGAGAAGAGGAATTCAAATTCGACGTCCGGTTACTTGTAGCTGACTGCGCTGCTTCGAGGGTGAGCTCTCGCGCTGCCCGAGTCGTCGTTAGCCAAACATACCAAAACCAACAAATACACCACCTTACCTGTTTCCAGCATAGACGAAATCCGAGATATTGTTTCCATTTTCCTTTGACCTAGGCCCTTTGCGGGCAGGTTGACAGTGGTTTTGGTTGCTGAGGGACCTGGTAGATTATTAGGTGTTGTTCCGCGGCGGCGGAGAGCAGCCGCAAAAGGCAATCGGTATCAACGGACTAACTTCTCCGTCCTCCGCATACAATCCACGTGCGACAACTATGGCCTACCAAGAGTGTCTTGAACGATCATGAGATTAAGGAACTTGGGCAGCAAGTGAAAGAAAGCTCAACGATCCTTGTCAGCTCTATGTACGGAGAAACTTCCGGTGTCTATTTGGATCTCGCTATGAGCCAGCCACGGAGGATAATATGGTCTTGCGAATTGGTGACAGATTTTCTGGGACGAATTCTTCATCGTGAGAAAGTTTCTTCTAAAATCATCGTGGTCTGTTCGACGCGAGAACACTTCTTGGGACAATTGGCGGCTGCTGTACACTACGGAACGACAACGCCTGAAGGCCATGAATTGATTACAAAAGCAATTGGATTGCTCTCCCGGTCACAGAACGTTAAATTAGCTTTCTGTGAAACTCTTGAGCATCTTCGAGCCTACATTTCTGCGTTGGATATTGCCAGTACCAAGCAAGAAGACAATACTTTGGGTGAATCAAGTCCACGGCTGTTGTTGGCGGTCCTGAATCCCCTTGCTCTACATCTTTCTACTACTGAATTCTCTGCGCAAGGGCTGTCGAGAACTCTGGCAGCAGCCGTGGAGGCCACTGCTCGGCAGAAGGTGGACCTCGTGCTCTGTGAATGTGTAGATGTTATGGAAAACGCCAACGATGAACATGGCGAAGCATTATGGAACACGAAAGTGCCATTGCTGAACGGAACTGCTCGGATTGTGGCAGAAGAAAACACTTCGAGAGTGCCTGTAAAAAAGGTCGCACAACGATGGTTTGAATTCGATGATGACAGGAACATATATAGACAACAACAATAACGGAGAATGAAAACGTCAAGCCAGGAAAAACATGCACAGAACTCCCTAAACCAACCGCCCGGGTATCCTAGAACCAACCCTTGAACTCCTTGAATCATGATCCATTGGACTTTCTGCCTTCACAGACATTTCTCCATCTCCGTGACATACAGCTTGATGTGCGACTCTAGCTTCAGATATTGATCATGAGCACTTTGAATCTCATTTTCAATGTTCTCTTTGAGATCGGCCATCTGCACAAATCGTTAGCCATGCTTCAAATTGGATGAAGTCTGTCCTGCCTACCTTTTTCTCTGTCTGCTCTATCCGGATTCTTCTCCTCTCCATGTCACGTTGTTTCTCCGCACGCTCTTCACGGAGCTGCTTCTGGACGTTCCGGAGCTCCTCCATTTGCGCTTGTGCCGCTTCTGCCTTTTCTTGGGCATTTTTGCGCAATGCTTCGATCCGCTCATTCCACCGTGCAAGTTGGCGCTGCAGCAACTTCTCTGTTTGCTCCACTTCTCTGACATTGTTCCCCCGTTCCGAAATAGCTTCCCTGTTTCGTGAAGCTCTTAACTCCTCATCCTCCTCTTTCTGCAGCTCCACGGCGATGTCCTCAAGCAACTTGACGCACGCCTGCACATCGTTCCCCACAACTGTAAACGTGTCCGAAGAGGTCTGTAAAGCACGCGCTCTTCTTTCCATCGCATCTATTTGAGCCTTATCACGCATCAAATTCTCCGACAATTCACCCAACGAAGACTGAAGCGTGGCTGGGCTTTCCAGAACATATGGCCGGAGCTTCTCAACTTCTTGTCGACTGCGCACGACCTTCTCGGTCTTCTCTTCCAACGAGGTTTGACGCCTTCCTTTGTCGGCCTTGGCCCGTTCCAGAGCCTCCGCGACCCGTTCTTGGTTTCGTCTCAATTCGAGCAGTCGTGATTTGAGCTCATCATTCCGCCTGACTTTTTCCTTCACTTGCCCTTCGTTGGCCTTGAGACCCCGCCGCATTTCTTCGAGGCGTTGCTCCATTTCCTGATTCTCCACGTATAGGGTATCAATGCGCGCTTTTGTCTTTTCTGATTTGTTGAAGTGTTCATCGATGACGGCTGTTTGCGACTCGCGAAATCTAACAAAATTAATGAGATATGAGAAGATCTTGATGAGTCGGTCATGCGTAGGTCTTGTTAGGTCTGAAAATGTGAAATCGTTGACACCGCACTTTTGAGCGCAACAAGTCAATCAATGCCATAACCTTGGTATAGAAGCTCGGAACGTACCTCCATCATCAGTCTCCGTAAGCTAATAAAGAAACCCATGAGATTTCGCGTATCATTCGGGACAAGATCCGGATAATCACCACCAATGTCGTCCGCCGCTGCGCGCATAGCAGGCTCAACCGTCTCGCGAGTGATGTTCATCAGGAGCTCCGCAAACCATTCCATCACCATCTGGATTTGTTGTGGATTCGGCTTAACCAGGTCAGCGGTGTTGAACGGGATTCCGATATCGTTAATACATCCTGCAATTTCTTTATCGGGCTAATTTATGCTGTGGTCAGTTACTGCGCGCGACAATATCAAGCATTGTGCGAAACTCACCAGGCGCATCAAAGCATCATTGTCATCCTCTTTCTTCCGACCTCTGCCCTGGTGTTGCTGGTTTCTGTTGAACTGCTGGCTCATTCGGTTGTTGTACGCCATTTTGATCTCGGAAATTTTTGGAGAGAGCACTCCTGTTGCTCCTCCAGATGTCGACTGCGGGCTCTTTGCTTGTCGGGCGGAAGTGTTGCAATTGATTTGTTTACCACCGCTGACACGGGCAACCTAAAACGAACTAGTGCGGTCGGCGAGGGGCATATGATGCAAACAGCGCAAACAATTATCTCTCCCACGCTTTCTTTTTATGACTCTTTCGGAGCAAGTGCATTATAGAACAGCATATCTCACAACAGACAAGGCTTAAAAGAGTACGCTTGACGGATCGGCTTTCTCGAATAAATATCTTGTTTGAAAACAGTTAACAAGGAACACGCCTCACAATGGCGCCTGCACCAGATTCGTCGAAGCCATTCGAGCAAGTGACCCTAATAGCTAAGCTACTAATTTTGAAGATCTACCTAGGCTAACGGTCACTGCAGCATTGTCGCGACTTACAATGAATTACTCCGCTCTGATCCCGATTTGACGATGCCAATCGCGGCCATCGAAGCCCTTGTCCTCCTCCTCACACACTCCCCCTCCTCGACAATATCGGAGACACTCGATTTACTCAACAAGTCCACCGAGCATTTGAAGAATTCGATTCCGAACCCTATCGGTCTGTCTGCAGGCACCGATCTTTTCCAACGATATCTGATTACAACTCTACAACGGCCCGGTCAACTGGGACCTGCGGGGGACTTCAATGCGATCCGCGCGCACTTGCTGTCGAACGGCCGGTTGTTCATTAGACGTGCAAAGGAAAGCCGTGACAAAATTGCTGCGTTTGGGAGAGGGTTTGTTCGCGATGGCAGTACGGTTCTTACGAACGGTGGATCTCGAGTGGTTGCGTCATTGCTGCAAAAAGCTGCTGATGAGAAGGGTGGACCGTCTGCGGTGCGGTTCCGTGTGATTTACGTTCTCTCGTCGTCGAAAAATGTTGAAAGCTCGCCTGGCGCGGAGCCAGAGGGTATGGAGACTGTCCGCGCGCTCCGCGAGAAGGGTGTCCCTGTGGCCACAATCCCCGAGTCGGCTGTCGCATACGCTCTAGGCAAGGCGGACATGGTGATCGTTGGTGCTGAAGGTGTGGTGGAAAATGGAGGAATCGTGTCGCGAATGGGAACCTACCAGATTGGATTGCTTGCCAAGGCAATGAGCAAGCCTTTCTATGCTGTTGCGGAGAGCCATAAATTCGTGCGACTCTATCCGCTTGGGCAGTACGACCTTCCAATTGAGCAGCGCGTGATCGACTTCAAGACGGAGGAGGAGATTGCAGACGAAGCGAAGCAACAGCCTCAGGAGACAACAACAGAAACGACTCCGAAGTCTGTTGCAAGGAACAGTTGCCAGTCCGTTGATTTTACGCCACCGCATTTGATCTCCGCTCTGATTACGGACAGTGGTGTTCTGACGCCTAGTGCTGTCAGTGAGGAGCTGATTAAGATTTGGTTCTAAGTTTAATGTCTTACGGCGTTCGGACGTGTTCAGAAATGTGATGATGACCCATTTTAGCCAAAGACTTGGTATCGAATTAACGACTGGTCCATGACCTTCATATTGTTGTACTTGCTGCTAGCTGCGGCACTGGCCCGCCTGGTAACTCTACCACATCTGACTACTAGTAATCAAGTAAGAATGGAATCTACCACCTATCTAGAACGTCATATCATGACATAGATGGAATCCTGCTGAGATATTCAATGCCCTAGAGGATGATATGAATAGTATTCGCCTTTGCCGCAGACATGTCAGGTTGGTCTTTATCCCACAAATCCCATCTACTCCGCCATCTTCGTAATGTCTCTCATCACTTCTAAATATGTCTGTCCACGTGCCATCACGGGATCTCGCCCAGTGGACCAATCACGCAAACCCAGCTCCGGCTTGCCCCGTCATTGAATATCAGACTCTGGACACTTACGAGGCTATATTTTTTGTCGATTCTTCGTCTTTCTCATACCCACCCTATCGACTTAATCATATCATCAACTTATTCACCATTATCCTTCCGTAACCAGCCAACACGCAAGCAGTTGCCCGCGTCATACCACTCCATTAAACCCCCACACGGCGGTGAACTAGTAGTACAAACTACTAAGACAAACTATGGGCGCCGAGTCATTAACCGCCCTCCGCGCGGACGATGACTACGCTTACTCGAACTACTTTCCTTCTGGATCACGCCACGAACATCGAGAATCATTCCAGAACATTGACGACAGCAATAACAAAACCTGCTATAATAACAGCAATGGGTCCTCCGAGTCATGGTCCTTAAAACGACTCTTGAGTCGACACGGGATGCGCAGGTATCGGGTGTTGGAACGGGAGCCGAATCGATTGCGGAAACGGGGCGTTTGATTCGTGTATTTTCTGTCTTTTATGATGATGGATGTTTCCTGACTCTACCTGTACATATCTGCGAAATCTTGAAATGGCCTTCTGGATGCTTGAGTCGTGCTTTGGCATACCTTGGAATGATAATGAAAGGCGGTGAACATCGGCTGGGGATGCGGAGTGGAATGGCAGATTTTTCAAAGGCGGTGAGACAGCGGAAAACCTAATCAAGGATTTTGAGCTCCAATTTTGTTATCTCCCCTCCTGCAAGATGCGTTATCGAAATGCAAGAAAGCGCAAGGATCCAGGGTCGCCAGTTTGATGAGAGTGTGTCGGTTAACACGGCTCATGTTTTAGAAAAGAAAAAGGCCCCAGGGCCTTGGGTGCACCTTTTGGCGGGCGCGTACGTTTTGCTTCCCTACATCGGCGGTTGTATACTTGGGTACTGACTAGGATTTGTTCAGCTCTGGAGGTCTCGCCACTGCGATTGTAACCTCTCCGCTCGATGTTCTACGGACAAGACTCCAATCCGACATCTATCGAGTCTCCGATCGCCCTTTCGCCGCCTCGTTCCCCACGCCGAAAACCAACACAGCGAACATTATCAGCTCCATCTACCGGATAGAGGGTTGGCCAGCGTTTTTCCGTGGTCTTGGTCCGAGTTTAGCGGGTGTGGTGCCCGCGACTGCGATCAAGTTCTATGTATACGGGAACTGTAAGCAGATTGGGGCTAATTTGCTGAACCACGGACAGGACTCCCCGTTTGTTCATGCTCAGGCCGCTATTTGCGCCGGGATAGCGACGGCGACGGCCACGAATCCAATTTGGCTTGTTAAGACACGGTTACAGCTTGACCGGGCTCAGACGCATGCTGGGGAGGCTCCGGCTCGGAGGTACCGAAACAGTGTGGATTGTGTTAGGCAGGTGATACGCCATGAGGGTATCCGTGGTTTATACAGAGGAATGAGCGCGAGTTATCTCGGGACCGTTGAGACGGCGCTGCACTTGGTTCTCTACGAGAAGTTAAAGACAGTTTTCAATCAGTCTCTGAAGACAACAGAGGGAGCAAGCCCTACCTGGACCGAGCTTGCGCACTGGGCCAGCACAAGCGGCGCTGCAGGATCAGCTAAGCTAGCTGCAAACTTACTGACATATCCTCATGAGGTGTGTTTTTATCCTGGTTTTGACCTTGGAGCTTTACTAACGGTCTGCAGGTTGTCAGAACCCGGTTAAGGCAAGCGCCTAAAGAAAACGGTATTCCAAAATACACCGGCCTCGTGCAGTGTTTCCGCACCGTCCTCAAAGAAGAGGGCATGGCAGGTATGTATGGGGGACTGGTTCCCCATACGGCTCGTTCTGTGCCGTCGGCCGTCATCACGCTTGGCGTGTACGAGTTTGTACTGAGACTCGTTGGCGTGTGAGCACGCTGCTACTGGCTTTACTTTTGCATGTATTATTATCAGGCGTTGGGCGATACGTCTTTGTATATTATAGACCGGTTAATGAGCAATGACTTGACTGATGACCGTACTACATTATATATAAACCCACATGCACCTGCAAAAGCCAACCCAGTCTCGATATTTCCCTTAAGCTCCCTAACAGCAACCTCAAGCAGTTCCTTCTCTCTCTCCGAGATCTCTCTAATAGGCAACGTTTTGGTCGTACTAGCCCCGCCTAACACAATACTCACGGCAAAATACCCAATTCCGAGCTCAGCAGAAATCTGTTTACCACCAGGAATAGCAGGTAGGTAGATATGCGCCTATCTCTGATTAGTCTCGTCCACAATGCACCACATTAAGTCGGGCTCACGATGAATAATACCTCCCCATCCAACTCAACCGACGGCCCCGCCTGATTATAAAGCGGTAAGATAGTAGCACCACTATGTCCCCCAACAACCGGTACTTCAAACGCTCTAGGGCCCGAAACTATTATTTAGAGTATGCGTGATAAACGTAGATGCACACACGACATCCAGAGTCGTCACGCCAAAATAAATGAGCTGCGTTGAAGACCCCCCGCCTTTTCAAGGGTTTCGGCTGCGACGGGCAGGAACAAGTTGACGGGTTTTGTGACGACGCAGAAGATTGCTGTTGGACATGTTGTTGCGATTGTGTGAAGATGGAGTGGGTGATGCTGGCATTTGTTTTGAATAGATCTATTTTTACATTGTCAGATGTTATCTTGAGAGAGACAAGACATTTGTTGTGGCGCATGTATACATCTCTAGTCATATCCGGCTTCCGGGCAATACCAGCTGTTACAACGTTGATATCTGCGTCTGTGAGCGCTTTCTGAAGACCATCCTCTGCGGCAAGATAGCCAGTGACTTTGGCTCTGGTATCGACGTGGTTCAGGACCGTAGCGATGCCGGGGACATGGACGAGGTTGTATAGAGAGATTTCGTCGAATAGGTCGCTTAATTCAAATTCATCGCTTACAACGCAGATTTCTCATAAAGGAGAGGGCTCACTGTTTGCATAAAAGACTAAGCGGAGTGCCGATTTGGCGGGCGGCGCCGAGAAGGGCTATTCTTGACTATGCTTGCGTCTCTTCATTTGCGATTAGTGATTGAGAGGAATTGGACTTGCAGTACAGATGCATATTAGAGGAGATGAGTTCTTAGTATAACTGTTGTCAATTTGAAATACAGATCTAATTTACCCGCCATAGTTGGTTTAAGGTGAAGGTTCAACCGCACGGGTCAATCCTATCGGTTTGTTTGACTTTGCGGATGATTAGTTATCAGCACTAGGAAATAGTTTCTGGCTTATTTGCTCTTCTGGAAATGGAGAGTGAAAGAGGCCATATCGGGGAAATTGACGTGTGAAAGAAACAGCATCCACTCATCCTGGGGCAAATTGGATGGTCTGTTTGCGTGCATATCGAAGTCAACGCTTTCCTTTCACCCCAATTTCTTGGGAAACCAGAAACCAAAACCAAAGCGAGGACACACATGAATTGACTCATGGACGCAGGGAGGTCAATGATCACCCCCAGGATGTGCATGACAGGCGTACTAGTTTCACCAAGGCCGCCAAACTATTGGCGGCCTTCTTTGTCGTTGGCGTTGGCCGACATGACTCGAGACAAGCTGACCTGTACAGAGTATCTGTGGGATAAATGCAGCGAGACCGTTATGGAAAAAAGCGGTGCAGGGCGAATGTCCGATAATGCAGAGTGTCCTGTGTGCCTGTACGGGGACGTGGGGCGTTGACGTGGTCCTATCGGGGTTGAGTAGAAGTTGGAAGCCCTATGCAAGTGCTGGCAGGATCATCGTCTAGCGTTGATAAGGGTAGTATAGGATAGTATAGTATATAGAACCCTGTCATGACATAGAGTGACTCGTGTACTATGGACTTGTGGTTATAGGCAGGGTTCTACAGTAGGTATGTACCCTGTAGAGCATGTCTTACTACTGACTAGACATGGGCTAGTCACCGATATTCGACTCGGCAAAGCTCCACAGAACCTCATCAAAGTAAGATTACAGCGGGGCGGACAGACTTGGTAATTGGTGATTACGCACATGGCTGTTCTACCGTGTCTGTCCTAGATACAGTAGAGGTACTCTTCAGTACTCTAAGTACTCATGAGTACTCTTCAATGCTCTCCAATGCTCTCCAATACTCTTCGATGCTCATAAATACATGTACAAATACAAATACAAGACTGGACATGTGTTTGCACAATACCTCGGTACTTGTACCGTACAGCTAATTATGCTAATTATGACAAGCAACTAGGTCCAGACCGCACAGACTCCCGTTAATTGGCCCGGTGGGTCATTAAAAGTGGATAAATTACGGTACTATGTTACGAACCGTTGCGTTTGCCGTGGCATCGGCATATACTCGTACCTGTACCTGTACCTGTACCTGTACCTGTACCTGTATTTGTACTCTATACTTGTACCTGGGATAAAGTAGGGGAATGATAGATGCAGTGTGAGTACTCTGTACTGAGTATTCGTACTGAGTACTCTACTTGTAGATAGCATACTATGTGAGAACAGGTCTGTAATACCGATACATACAAGAATAGAACTAGACATGTTTGGGTCACGGCCGGCCCCGTTGATGATATGCCATAATATTTGCATTTGGTCTATTGCTGCTTTTTCTGATCATTGCCCCTTTGGCTCTTTCTTTTCATTCCTTTTTGTCTGTCTTTCTTTTCTTCTTTCTTTCTCTCTCTCTTTTCATTTTTCCTCTCTTTTCCACCTTCTCTCTTTCTACACTCTTCTATCCCTACCCATACCCTGTACCTGACATAACTGCCCCCACGCATTCCTCCCTATGTTTACCCTGTGTCTCCCCCAATGACTGTCTCCCTTGTATTGACTGTCTGATCCATCACATCGACATGGCCATATGGCCCTGGAGTCGCAAGAATAAGCGGCACACCATTCAGCTCGGGGATCCTGAAACCGCCACTACAGCCTCACAGCCTGTCCCTGAAATGGCCTCCTTTGCGCCCGATGTTGAGCCTCGCCTGACTCGCAAGAAATCTAAGCGTCAAAAGAACCGACACTCCGATTCCGCCTCCATGAATAACAGCAATATGCTTGCCACTCGCTCCGCCTCCTCTCAACTTCCTCCCCGTACTGCTCATAGTCAAAACACTCATCTCTCACAACCTTCACATCACTCTCAACCTCTCCCTGCAAAAAACGGTCGGGCGCAAAGACATCCGCGTTTCGATGACTCTTATACTGCCCGTTCGGGGCCTCAACAATCCGCCATGTCCCGATCAACTTCGTTAAAGGGGAAACGCGGCAACAACAATGGCCACGCCGTGCTCAAGAAACGCCTGAGCCAGCGCAAATTGAACAAAATTGCCCGCGAACAGGAGATTCGTCTCATGGCCTCCTGTCCCATCGATATTCCCCATCGTCCCGGTGATCCGGTACCGGTCGCTCCTGCTAAACGCGCCCCCAGGTCGCGGAGTCGACGTTCTGAACGTCATCGCTCCGACACTAGTTTGTCCGTCCGGGAATCCGCTGCCTCGTCCATGTCGGATATCCCTGAAGCGTATACTTTCAAAGTCAATGCTTTAGCAGCCTTTACTCCAAGACCTCTTGTTCGCTACGAGGCTCCTCGGCTGCCTACTTCTCGCAGTAACAATGCCTCTGCCGCTTCCACGCGACGAGAAAAGCTACCCACCTTGACCGCATCGGAGGAGAACCTGTCCAGACGACGGGTCGACCATTATGTCGATGACCTCGATGCTGGTGGCCTACGTGAGTTACTTGAAAGAGATCGACGCCGGCAAGAGCGTCAAGCCATTGAGAAACAGGAGAAACTCCAACGCAAACTTCAACGGGCTGCTGATAAGCAGCGTGCGGCCGAAAGCCGTGCTGCTGAAACTGCTGAAGATTCCGGGGCCGTTGAAGACGAACGACAGAACTTCCTCGAGGGCCCCAGTCGTCCTCCGACCGCAGATGCTTCCAGAGAACCTGATTCCAGGAGCGATGCGATTCAATCTCCCGAGCCTGCGGGATCGTGGCTGCGTGATTCTTCTAAAGATCCAAAGCGTAGTCATGAGACGCTCGAAAGCGTCCACGTTATTGGCAACATTGATGACAGCTCGATCCGTGGGCCACCTAAGCTGGTTCAACGGCCAAGTTTTGCTCAATCACAGGACATCAGCATGTCTCGCACCACTCTTTCGCCAGCCCAATCTCAATCAACGTCTCGTCACGGCCTGGGCAGTCCAACATCCTCCCAGATTTACGGATTGGGGGGACGGGAATCCCTGTCGGATGCTTCCCGGACCGTGGATTCGGAACGACGCCTGTCCGACCACAGTGGCATGCGTACGAACACCTTCTCCTCGCTCTTCCGCCGTGGCAGCTCGCGGCTTAAGAGGAGATACCGTGAGCGGTTCCACGACCAGACGTCGGACTTTTCCTCCCATGCATCACATGCATCCCGCGAATCGTTCTCTAGGATTCCTACGCAGTCATCAGCACCAGGTCCCGCACCTGCGGCACCATCCCCGATCCCGTCACGACCGCTCCCCCGTTCCACAAACACCGTCAAACGGTCGCAGTCGAAATTCACTGAACATTTCGGAGATGAACCCTTGTCGCCGCCTGATTCCCGACTACAGTCACCTGACATTGTCGAGGAACCCGAAGAGCACCCGGGTAGTATTCCAATCCCAATTGGAACCGCAATTGGAACTGCATATCCGATTCCCGGCTCAGACTCTGATCTGCCGGCTGCTCAGAACCGTCACCGTTCATGGATGAGCGATAACATGGACGATGACAACGTGCCATTGTCCCAGTCTTTGGCATCAATTGATTCGGAAGGCTCGTGGATGTCGGGAAACTTCTTGCGTCGCATTTCCCAGCGGAGGTCCAACCACCCCGTCCGACACAGCACGGGTCAATTCGAGGGTCCCGACGATGCGTCTCACGTGGAAGACCCACCAAATTTTGTTCGCTTCTCGGCAGGCAACGACGAAGAACAACGCACCAGTACTGATGCCGTGGGGGAGCCAGAAGCCCAGCAGAATCTTCGTCTGCCCGACGAGGACCCGTCTGAGACATGGCATACCGAAGTCGCCAAACGACCGGTCCTGGTGAACCCAACCGTGCGGCCCAAGTCGACCGAGGGCATGCTTAAAACCATTCAATCGCTATCACCCACCTCTGCCGAAGCGGAATTTAGTCCGATTGAAGAGCATTCGGCAGAGCTTGACTACGCGACTGACGAAGATGACCATACTCATGGTCCCGTCGCGTAAACAAAAATTGCATTTCGTTTTCTTTTACTTTCTTGGGCATATTCTCTTCTTTCCCCTTTCTCATTTTTTCTTCTCTTCAAATCATCTGCATTTGCATCTAAATGTTTTTAATACCTCCCCCCTACTCGGTACATACCATCACACTGTCCTCGACAAACTGTCACTCTTTCGGACATTTCATTCCACTTTCCTTTGTTTCTTTTACCTTACCTGTCACTTTCTTTCATTCACCGATCCATCCTGTGTCCCGGGTTGCGGGCAATAATTTTCTTTTTGTTTGATTGATACCCCTTGTGATGTGTGCAGTAGTTGAGAGGAAACGAGTTTTGCTAGCTGCATATACATACATACTTTAGTATCTGGAATGGACATATTGCATTCTGTTGCTTGGGATACTGTAGGATGTGTTGTGTTGTGTTATTTTTTTTTTTTTTTTTTCTCTTTTTGGTAGTCAGGCCCCTGTGTATAGATAGTAGAGATAACATGTGTACATACTTGTGAATATATATACTTGTCTATTATTATTACGTTTCCCCGCTCCAATGAAGAAGCACATACATCAAAATTACACTCAATTCATCGCATTATTGACGAGTATTCTATCCATCCGTACCCCGGGCTTGAAAGAAGAACACGCGATGTACTTCCGTATATTGATTCGGGGTTACTCAGGAAAAATATTCGCTGCCGCTGCCACATGTACGAACGTATACATAGACTGGCGTAACGTAGCATGGCGCAGCATGGTACACAATTGATGGCTTAACTATGCAGCAAGGCTGTGTACACTCAGGTAGGGGAGCACAAGTACAGGTACAGGTACAGGTACAGGTACTTTGTACCGACAAATGTACGGTTAAGAAAGCCATATGCAGTCATCCTGCAGGTCCAACCCTGCATTGCATAACAGCCTTATCCAGTCAAATGGCCATTAATAGTAAATCAACGTTTAATTTTTATAACATATCATATCGATTGATATCCATATCTATATCAAACAAAATTAACCGACAGAAGATATCTATGCAATGTTCGCCTTGATAGCATTGTCCAACCCCTGGGGGTTAGCACCAACAACATCACCCCCTTCCACACGCTCTCCATCCTTAAACAGAATGAAAGTCGGCATCGCGCGAACCTGCAAGTCGCTGGCAACATTACTCAGCTCGTCGACGTCAATCTGGTAGAACTTGGCGGAGGAGTAGATCTGCGAGAGCTGGGCGACTCTGGGAGCGATGGCCCGGCAGGGACCACACCAGGTGGCGAAGCAGTCGACGATGACAAGGCCGGTGGAATTGAGGACCTTTTCGTTATATTCGGCCTCGCTAGTTTTGTTAGTTTTTTTGTAGGTTTTAAAGAGAGGGGAGGGTGGAAGGGTGAGGCGTACGACTTGATGGGGTGGACGTTGCCGTGGTCAGACATGGTGGAGTATGTTCGAGGAGAGAGGATGGGTTGTTGGGGTTTGAAGGTGGTTGTTCTGGGGGTGAACCGAGAAGAGACGGAGAAAGAAGTAGATAACCGAAGGGGAGCGGTAAGTGGGATCAAACGAGAAGAAGACCGTAGAAGACGAGCTATATAATAATATTAGTTAGAAAAAAAGAAAAAGGAGGGGCAGGCGGCGGAGAGGGGCAATAAATGGGAACACACAAATGACGTTTCAATTTCTGGGGGTGAGCAATTGATGGATGATTAATCCCGACAACGGAGGTGAATAATCCGTGTCCTGCCACTTTACTTACCAGGGAACATGTTGCTTTGGACGGGATTTGTCAGGAATTGAGTGGAATCGAATACTGCAGGGGGTTGTCAATGTGCACAGTAGGGAACAGAGGTCTGGACAAATGTATGGAAGTCCGGAGGCGCGGTTAAACGCCGTGACGTGATTGCTTACCAAGAATCTCGGTCTGGAGCCTGACGATTAGGGCATCATTTCTCTATAACGTAAACCACTAGCGAGCGGCCACTACAAGCAAGCCAGCGGCCACCGGAGTATTGCATACAAATTGGCGCTTCTCAGGACCTCAAAATCACAACTAAAGTTATAAGTGTTCTATTAAAGGTCATAACATCTAATATTGATGCATTGCAGAAGCCTCCTTGTTTGGTCTAGAACGTTTAGAATTCTTTTATCATCTGAAATACAGTGTTATTCCCAATACAGCTGTATATAATGCTGTCTCTATGTATTGGAAAGAACTGAATATGTTATGAGATTTTGGGGTTAACCTCTGCTTGTGTACGTCGAAATAACTGATATTCCAATTTTCAGGCCCTACCAATGTGTTATTGCTGAGATATTGAGGTCTTAAAAAGTGCCATTTTGTATGCAATACTCCGGGTGGCCACTGGCTTGTAGTGGCCGCTCGCTAGTGGCTTACGTTACATAGGTTGAACCTTACAAATGGAAAGTTGACCAAGCCAAATCATTCATTATCATCTCTCATCATCATCAACCTGTATGACTAACAGGCTTATCAAGCAGCCAACTTTTCTTCTATGCATGCACTTCGTCTCTTTCAACTGTATGCCTAATGCTAATATAGTAATAACCAAACGCCGTCATCGAAATTCGTGTGCGCGTATCCAATAGAATTTAAAAGAAAAAAACAAAAAAACGCTTAAAACCCATAGAAAACCACCCACGCTAAATGCTAGTAGATTGAAAGAAATGACGCTATGCAATCATCGAAATGATAGCAATAGATAGTTGAGAAATAAGAGACCATGAACAGAAAAAAGGCAGGAAGTTAAAATGCGGCTCAAGCGGGACTGGCACCGTCAGATGAGCTCCGAGCGGTAAGACGAAGACTTCGACGGGGTTTTCGTTCGCCGTTTGCTTCAACTGATGGTGACTGACTCGTCTCACCAACTGACCCCTCGTCTTGAGCTTTTGGGATATTTTCGTTAAAGCTCGAGGTCGAGCTGGTACTCCCGTCTGTCTCCGGGGTCTGACTCGTTGGTGCTTCTTTAGCCACCGCTTCAGGGCTGACCCGCAGCCGCAAGGACACCAAATCATTTTGATCATCTCGAAAGGCAATTCCAACCGTGACATCTGGCAGAATCCGTCTCTTGTGTTCTCGTCCTTGGAGTGGTCGTCGACGACGCTGTGCAGGACGAGGTTCTTCAGACTCGGGATCGCTCTCGTCGCCGTCGTCGGCGGAGCGTTTGCTGCCGCTACTGAAGGGTGATGAGGATCGTGACGAGGGTTGCAGACGTGTTTTTAGGATTGCTTTGTTGGGTGCACTAGTTATGGCGTTGGTTTCATTTGTAGATGGTGTGCTGGTACCAGAGTCATCTTCGAGGAGGTTGCAGAAAGCCCGGTCGATATTGCCGCGGCATTGTTGGAGCATTTCGATAATTGTGTCTCGGTCATATTTACCTCCGAGGCCTTCTTGAATTGCGGAGATCTTCCATGGTGTGGCCATTTCCACAACTGTACCAGCAGACGATGTGTTGGGGTCTCTCGGTTGAAGTCTTTCTTTCGTGATGTTGGGCATTCCGGTGTGAGGTCCTTCGGTATGTCGAACAGACGAATAATGGTGGAAGTCCTGCACAGATTAGGAAATGCTCATCAAACACAATGGAGGGAAATGTACGTGAAAAGCTATATGCAAAACCTCCCTCTCCTCCCACTCAGGAGCATGCACATCCCTGAACGTCTGAGCCCCATACATCGTATACACATGTACATCCTTCTTAAAAGACTGGCAGCACGCCTGGATCTCCTCCGCGCCACCCCAAACGCCATTCTTGCGACTTTCAGTCACCTTGTCATTGAAGCTTCTTTCCTTGTCTTGTTCGGACGGAGTTGGCGCGCCTGGAGGGCTGGAACGGGGATGGGAAGAATATTTGCTCATCGTGGCAGCTCGCCTTGGGGCTCGACGCACTTCGCCAATGGCGGCGTTGAAGTTCATAAAGTATTCGGGATTGTTGGAGATGTGGTCTGCGAGACGGAGGCGGATTTCTTCGCCGTGGGTGAAGTCGCCGTATAATTGGTCGGAGAGGGCGTAATAGAGGCAATTGCCTGGAAACACAGAAAATTAGCTTTGCCGTATTAAACAAACCCATCATTTCCAGGCAATTGCACAAAGGAAACAAAACCAATCAATGGAGAGTGTAGGCTTACCATCACCCTCGGTAGGTAAGGCATAGAGCCCTAAGTCGTTCAGGCACGGAATTTCGAGAACCTCCGCATCCTCGAATATGCTATTTTTGCGCGTCTTCTTCTTAGGCTGCTGTCGTTTCCCTGGTTTTTCCTCCTCGTGTTGTTCTTCTTGTGGTTTGGGAGATTCACTTGGTGGCGTCTCCTGCTGGACCTGCACCTCCACAGTCGGGGTAGGCGTAGGGGTGACTATGGGCACGATTCTGCCACCGTTTGAGACATCCGCCATGGTGATTCCGATGAACGGTCCTCATTTGTGGTACGACAGGGAACAGGGATAGTGAATTGTCGTAATGATAGAAAGATGATAGTTCAAGCTGACAATATGCAGGTGCATTCAAGACCGAATACAAATTCACGTCTGGGACTAATGTATACAAAAAAAAAATTCACCAACACGCGCGTGGTTTCCTGCCAGATGGACGGGGCGGCGGAAGGAACGAAACTAAAAGGGATGCTTTGCCGAGGCGAGGCGGTGAGAGTTTATGTGCATATCATTGGGGGAGAGAGTCCCGGCGTGACTATGACGAAATACGTTACCGCCATCTGAAGATTGTATGTGAGAGTTAATTATAGAATTGAGGGCAAATACAGGGTTAAACAATAGGTAAAGTGTTCATCTCATTAAAATATACAAAGTTTGTGCTTCAATGCATGGCTATGTTGGTGTTACCACAGGTGCAAACAATGCAAATATACAGACCGATACATACGATACGCCTTATCGCGTCGGACCAAATCTGATCGTGATAAGCCGTTTCCCCGCGGCCAACTCCGCGGTCAACTTGTATTGTATATTAATGAGGAAGAAGGAAGGACCTCCTTTGTGTTAGAATCCTCAATTGGCTCTTTCTGGATTCAGGACGAAACAACAATCAACAATGGCAACTAACAACATCGTGGTTCTGGGGTATGCACACTCGACTAGTTAACCTTGTATCTTGACATTTGCGGGGAAAGATACTGACAGACAATGACAGCGCCGGTGTCGCTGGACTCACCACCGCCTATCTTCTGTCCAAGAATGCCTCCAATAGCATCACGGTAGTCTCGAAGCATATGCCCGGCGATTATGATATTGAATACTGTTCACCTTGGGCTGGTGCCAATTACTTCCCGTATGTTTTAAGAAATATATTCGCAAAAGGTAGCATCCCACTAATCAATACAATAGATTCGGCAAAAGTGGATCCTCTGCTGCAGAATGGGAGAAGGAAACTTGGCCTTTCCTGAAAGAAATCACGGAGAAGTACCCAGAAGCTGGAATCCATTTTCTCGATGCGCTCGTGTATAACCGCAAAAAAGACCAGAGCGCCAGTTTATTCGCCTCGGAACTAGCACGCAAAGATCCCTGGTTCAAAGATGTCGTCCCCAACGTATGTCGACCCTATCACAGCCCTACAAACACCCACCCTCCAACTAACCAACCCCTACAGTTCCAAGAGCTCCCATCCAGCGAGTTCTCCTCTGAAATAGACAACGCCTCTCGCTTCACCTCCGTCTGCATCAATACGACAATATACCTCCCCTGGCTCGTCGGCCAATGCCGCAAAAATGGCACAACCTTCAAACGCGCCTCCATCAAGCACGTCACCTCCGCCGCAACCCTCCACCATAGCGGCCAAAAAGCCAACCTCGTGGTTAACTGTACAGGCCTCTCTTCCAAGAGCCTAGGCGGTGTCCTCGATGACAAACTCTACCCGATCCGCGGACAGATCGTGGTCGTCCGCAACGACCCGGGTCCCATGCTTGCTACATCTGGTACGGACGATGGTGAAGATGAGGTTCTTTACGTTATGACCCGTGCAGCGGGTGGTGGTACGATTCTGGGTGGCTCGTATCAGAAGAATCAGTGGGATCCGTTACCGGATCCGAATCTCGCGGTACGGATTATGAAGCGCGCTATTGCTGCTCATCCGGGGCTTGTGAAGGAAGGCGAGGGGATTAAGGGACTGGATATTGTTAGACATGGGGTGGGATTGAGACCATATAGGGAGGGTGGTCCGAGGATTGAGAGGGAGCGCGTGGAGGGTGTTGATGTTGTGCATAATTATGGACATGGAGGATTTGGGTATCAGGCTTCGTTTGGGTGTGCGGGTAGTGCTGTGAAGTTGGTTAATGAGGTTTTGGGGACGGGTAGGGCGAATTTGTAAACTTGCAATAGTTAGGGCATTTTCGTTGGAGTATCAATTAATGGAACACTACCCCAGATACTAAAACGGAATGTGGGAATCGCATCATCACGACGTCATACCGATGTCCTCTTTTTAAAGTACCCTCTACAGATATCTTCTTTCTCATATTACATTGACTATCCTCGAACACGTAATTTCTGTTACCACCAGTCAAAATGAAGCACCAACCCCCCAAAGTCGAAGACTACAACTCCGAAAACGCAACTCCTAACCCACCGCCATCTACTGAGAAGCGCAAGCGCGACTCGAAGAACTACAAGCAGAGCCAAGAACAAACGCCTGAACTCGAGGTGCAGCAGCCACCCAATAAGACAGCCAAATCCGAGGCACCGGCTGAAGATGGAGATACAGAGGAGCCAGAATATTCGGAAGAACCGGAAGAACCGGAGGATGATGTAGAGGATGGAGAAGAGTATGAGGATTTCGACGAAGGTGGTGAGGGTGACGAGGGACAAGGAGAAGAAGACGAGGACGAAGGAGAAGAAAACCAGCAACATAGTACCGTGAACGAACCCAAAGCCCATAAAGTTATTGAAGAATTCGGCCTCACACCTCTTGACCGCACACCGTTGGCCAAAGAAACCCTCACTGCAGCCCCGGAAACGATACTTGCGATGGCTATTGACGCCATGCTGAAATCGCGACCGATCTCTCATGACCTAACGCAGCGGACAGTGAGCCACATTATTGAGATTGGATACCATGATATTGGGAACTTGAGAAATAGTAGCTGGGATGAACGGACTATGGTATTGAAAGATGGAGGGTATAATAGATATAGGGAGCAGGGCGCCACGAATTTGGGAAATTTGGTCGATTTGGTTGATGGGAAATATGGTATGTTCGAATCAATAGTACTTAATCACGGCGTTTACTAACACATGATCTCCTTAGATGGCGACCTTAACAATCTCCTGAAGAAATCTGGAAACAACCGGGACAAAGCGCGAGGTTTAATCAAAGAGATCAAAGGACTAGGTGACCTAGGAGCCGACCTCTTCTTCAATAACGTGCAGAGCGTATGGCCATCCATGGCGCCTTTTGTTGATGTACGGAGCCTCCAGACGGCAGAGCAAGTTGGTATCGGTACCGACTTGGATACGATCTATGCTGAGCTTGACCAAAATCCGTTGGAGATGAGCAAGTTTGCCAATGGGCTGTCCATGGTGAGGCTGGAGAAGAAACAGGGAGCCATTGAGACGTAATGTAGTCTTAGAATGTCTAGTTATATATGATCTGTAATTTGAGCATTCATACGCCACATAGGATTTCCACAGTTCCCACAAGAACAACTGAACAAGATGATATCAATGCATCCGTCTCAATATCGCAGTCAGTCACGAGACACGCTGAATCAGCATACAAGCCTTGGCAGACCCGCTTGCGACGGGTTGCTTTGCGACTCTCCCCAACAACGCGCTCTTTCTGCTTCTCCCAGATACAAACACTTTCTTCGTCGCTAGATTTTGCTTGTCCAGAAAGCCATTCAGGTGCTATTGTGAGTATACAATTTGCTGTTACCTGCCTGAGCGCGGTGCGCTTCAACCATCCAAAGACGTCTGACCTGATTAAGGCTACAGTATTCTCCGAACTCGGACGCTCTGCTCCTATCCTAGTTCCTTAATTCGATTAATTCGATAATAAAGAAGAGAATTCGCATATATTCTATCTTTCCGATACGACTTTTCCCTAAATCTCATCTATTGACGTCTATTACGAATTTACCCCTGTTAATACGTGGCCGCTATACACACCCGCCAAGATGGATTTCTCCAATATTTTGTATGTTATGCCGTGAAGCCAGCCTAGTGGCTGTCTGTGATTATGTGTTGCTTGAATCACGGCTGACTGTCGTAGCCGGATTGTTAACCTCGCCGTGGCTGTGATCATGGTGCTTGGTGGTATTGCCCAATTCTTCCCCGCGTCGATGAGCTCGATCATCGTGGGTACATACGTGATTATCTTTGGTGCTGGTGAGTGAACCAATGTCAGTGAAGTAGTGACATGTGCTCACATTGCTTAGCTCTTGGTGGCTTGGAGTTCTTGCCCACAATCCCTGACTACGCTTACCGCTATGCTTCTTTCCTCTTCTCATTCTTGGGTCGTGGTGTCTGTAAGTTTGCCATTTCCCGCTCGAGCCTCATTGGCCAAAACAAACTGGGGACTGATGGTTCTAGTTTATATCTTTGTTGGATCGCTTCTGCTGCACGACGGTGTGTTGCGGTACATCGCCGGTTCGCTTGTTGGCTTTATCGGTCTCGGATACCTGGCTCTGGAATTCATTCCCTCGATTGAGCCCCCATCGAACATGCGCGAGGCCGACCAGGGCTGGGGTGCTGAGCAGGTGTATGGCGAGCAGGTCTGAGTATCTGCGCCATAGCGCGTGGCTATGCGTTGACAATAGCGTTGGGAAAGAAAGAGGGAAACAAAAGATTTCTGCATAATACGATTCTGGATGAGTGCCACGGGTGTCACGAACGGGATGTATTGTTTGACGATGACTTGAGAGTCATGTGAAAACGGAAGGATTGGAGGAGTTGATCATGAGATGAGTGACCAGGAAGTATATTTGGCTTGTGTAATTGCCGTGGTCCGTGTGTGTACTATATGAGGATACTACTATTATTATTATTGATCTACTATTGGATTTGATATGTCCGAGACGAAGTCTAGATGAATGCAAGGGTTATCCACGTATAGAATCAGGAGATGATCGTAGATGACCTGTCAGTATCCGAGTGTCATCCTGACCACGCCATAGTGGTGGGACAGAGATTATCAATCTAAATGTCAGATAATATGATCTTGCATGTGACTGATTGATTAAAAATGGCACAGGGTTGCATTGCCAATGGTGAGAAGGATTGGCTGATTGCTATGCTTGCTCTCTGATTGCTCGATTAATTTTGTTTGCGTGTCATTTTGCATACCAAGAATACACGGAATAGTGTAACCGAATACATAAAATCCAGCCATCTGACCAATAAAATCACAAAAAGATCTAGTTCGTCAGCGTTCTATTCTTATCAGTCATCCATCAGCTACCAAGCGGATATATTTTGTTCCGGGTCCACACAATGGAAGGCGCTGGAAACATCCGCATCCAATAAGGACTGCAGTGATAATGCTGACCTGAGGATCCCTGTCCAGCCAGCCAATAAGAAGTCAAATAAAGAGGCTTATTAGGGCTAGACTCCACCTAGCACCAACTAGGGAAGGTGCATTCTAATTAGGTCCATAACGCTAAACCAAAACAAGCATCGATGGAGCCGCAGTGATTCGATCTGGGGGAAACCGCCCTGACTCCCGTTTCAGTAATCTCTCGGCCTTCTTCTGCCTCTCTACTTTTTTTGTCCGTGCTTGAAAAAAAAAAAAAGAAAGCAATAACCTTACCTTGTGCTCGGTTTTTTCCACTCTACTTTATTTGCCTTTGTCTTTGCCACCAGTCATCCCACTCGAACGGCTTGCCTTGACCTCAGCGCGTGTCTGACAGTCCGGGGAACAAACTACCACAGACTAGTATCAGAGTCCCGACTGCTGCAGGGAGCCCACTTTTTTCTTGGGAGGACAAAAGCCAAAAAAGTCCCTAAAAGAGAAAGGGCGTAGATCCTTTGTCTGAGTACAAAGCATACGCACTCACAGGATCTTTCAGGTATCCTAGGCTCGCGACAAAAATACGTACTTATACTCCAGGCTACTACTGATCAGACCCGGCGATAAGGATTGTTGGTTTTTAGGGTCACCGTTGGCGCCAATTGGGCGGTGGGCGGATCCTGAGCAAAAGTTCTGGATCTTCTTCATCTCACCTCTTTTGTCATCCTCATCTAATCTTTCTTCTCCTGATATCTTTTTCATCTTATCCATCTGTTGAACCCTTTCTCCCTGTCCCTCTCCGTTATCTGCACCATCATCTCGCAGATCCCTTTCCTTGTCCAGACTATTGGCATTTCTACTATTGATCTCTCTTCGTGTCTTTTGTTGAGATTCCCTTCAATTTTCTCTTTCCCTCTTTCATTCCTTTCCAACACATCCAGCTCTCCCATTCTTCATCCCTGGCCAACAAACTTCTCCCTGAATCGCCACTCTTATCTCATCATTTTCAACCAATCTCCTTTCGAATCAACCCCTGTGAACAGGAGGAGACATCAAAACTAAATATTTCGGTGGCGGCTTTTTCCTTCCGGTGACTTGATCGATAAGCGTGTCCTTTTTTTGACCTCCGGACTCCAAGATCCCCTTCTTCGGCCTTTTCCCAGATCCCCGGATCTGCTGTCCCTGTTTGTTGGGTTTGACGGCCTGCAATATTTCTGCAGGTTTGCCTTCCCCGGTTGGGTCTTCGATATCCCCATTTTTGTTCGGGTCCTTGCTGTCGTCTTGACCGACTTTTGACGCTGTGATACCACGAATATCCCCTTTTTTCACGCGCTTTGATCAATTTGCCCCCCGCTACTTCTTTCGTCTCACCTTGGTCGTTTGGTGCCCGGGCGATCAACCCTTTTTACCCCCGAGAAACCAATAACAATAGTGGTGCTTGATGGTGGCAATGTTAGCATCGATTCCTCAGATGGATGCTGCGCGATCGATCCCGCGGAACCCCGACGTCCTTTCGCGACACCCTTCAGCAGAAGATCTGGATGCTGCTCAGCAGCTGATTTCGTCGGCTCAGGCCGGCCGCGAACACATGGTCGACCGTCCTTGGGAGGACAACCAGAATGGGAGGCCAGTGGAAGTAGCGGAAAGTGTCCATTCTGAGTCGTTTGTTGCAAATGACAAATCTTCACCCAAGTCTCAAAAGGACTCGTCCTTTTTGGGGCATTCTTGCAGGTACGTATTCCGCGAAGGGGGAAAGAAGAAGAAGAAGAAGAAGTAGAAGAAGAAAAGAAAAATGCGATAGTACAGTCGATACTAATTCGTGGCTTTAGTAACTGTGGAACAAAAAGTACCCCATTATGGCGACGATCACCGACTGGAGCCATGATTTGCAACGCCTGTGGCCTTTATCTCAAGGCCCGAAATGTCGCTCGACCAACCAAACGGAATCGTGGTCAAGCTGATCAGGACGGTGCACAGCAACAGCCTACTTCGCCGGTACCCTCGACAGATACTGCTACGAAGCACAGTGGAGGATGCAATCATGGTCCCAAAGGTTCTTGTCCTGGTGGTGGAAACTGCAACGGTACCGGTGGTGCCGAAGGATGCGATGGGTGCCCGGCATACAACAACCGTGTCTACAAGGCAACGCCTCGCGGTGCAGTTCCAATGCATGCTTGGAATAGAGCTGCGAGCGCAGAGTCTGAGAATCCGCCTCCCGTACTGCCAGATCCAGAAGTATCGGGGAAAAACGGGCCATCGGACGAAGGCGGTACGATATTGGTTTCCTGTCAAAACTGTGGCACGACCGTCACTCCGCTCTGGCGCCGAGACGAGCTTGGTCACCCTATTTGTAACGCTTGCGGTATGCTGGCCTTCTTTTTCTGTTATAAATTCCTGTGAGCTAACCGTAACAGGTCTCTATTACAAGCTCCACGGTTGCTATCGACCTACGACAATGAAAAAGACCATCATTAAGCGGAGGAAGCGGGTCGTTCCCGCACTGAGAGACCAATCTCCGACTGCGGCCACTCAGTCCTCCAACGGTTCCTCCGCATCACCAGAGGCTTCTCCTGCTGGACTTGCTCACAGTCAAGACGATTATCGCTATTTGAGTACAGAGCCAGTTGACCACTATCCCCCAATGAGTAGAGGCTCGCCTCAGGCACGACCGTTCACCTTTGCACCACCGCCTGTCGATTTTACAAGCTACAGGTCAGGGACAGTCTCGCTCCCCCATCACCCTCCGCCGCCTAGATTGTTGCAACCAGAACGGATGGGTGTGCCTAGCCATTCTCCCGCTTCTTCACAATTTGGTCGACGCTCTGTTTCTCCCAATCCTTCCGGTAACCCGAAGAAGCGAACCCTCGCAGAATCGTCAGTCGACTCTGCATCCGTTCCTACAACATTGGAATCGGGTTCGAATCAGTTACCTCCCATTATGTCCTCTGTTAACCCATCTCCACCAACTCGTCTCAGCTCGATCTCCTCTCTTTTGAACCACGCCGATAAACGCCAGGAAGATTCTCCGGCTCCTGTTGGTCGTCAACAACATCCTCAGCCTTATCTTCAGCATCAGCCGCACCAGCATCATCATCACCCTCCGTCTCAAGCCGCACCTCTTGCTCACCCACCGCCACCGCAACAATCATTGCCTGGTGTCAATGAATTAGATGGATACATGTCTGAACGACGGATCAAGTTGCAACGGGAAGCCGAAGAAATGCGCGAGATTTTAAGAGCAAAGGAGCGTGAACTGGCGGAGCTAGGACAATAACACGAATCTAATCAAATCGATGATAGTTCTTTTGTTCTATCTCGAATACCTGTCTGGCGCAAATTGTGGGTTTGCGGTGAGATGTATACCACTTCTAATCTTTTTGTTATGAATTCAAGAATTACCCTGGGCAAATGGATAAAAACAGAAAGGGGAATTACCGGGTCTGTATGTTTGTTTAAGCGTTGGCAGGATAAGGCGAAACTCATCTCATTTGACAAAAGACTTACGGCGGCTCTTGTGCTTTTTCACTGTTATGTAACGTCGATAATCTAGTTACAGTTACAGTTTCGGATTCGGATTGGCTTCTAGTGATTCTGATGAGCTTTATGAACATTCAATAATCAAACTATGCTTGACTGAAGTCATGCCCTGATGTCATCATGATGACCCAGTATATATATACGCTGCCCTGCCCTATACTAGCCCCCATTCCCAACAACCATAACACCAATCCAATAAAACATAGCAAATGCAATGACCTCCATCGAGATCCCTCACCCCCCCCACCCCTCCCAAACAACCCAAAATGCCAACCCCCCACCCCCACCGCTCGACACCGACGACCTACACCCTAAACTTCACCGGCGACGTCATGCTCGCCCGCCTCATCGACCAACTCTTCCCAACACACCTCGCCTCCCCACACTACGCCAACACAATTAAAACATTCATAGAACGCTACCCCTACCTCTCAGCCTACAACCACAAGTCTCCATGGGGCAGCGCGCTAACATTGTTCCGGCGGGGGGATCTGAATCTGGTGAATTTGGAGACGGCGGTTACGGAGAGTACGGATAAGTGGGCTGGGAAGGTGTTTAATTATCGTATGCATCCGGGGAATTTGGGGGTGTTGGGAGAGGGGAGAGTTGATTTTGTTAGTTTGGCGAATAATCATACAGTGGATTTTGGCGAGAAGGGGCTTAGGGATACGATTCGGGGAGTTAGGGGGGTTGGTGTGCAGTTTGCGGGCGTGGGGGATAATGCGGTTGAGGCGAGGTTGCCGGCTATACTTGACCTTCCGAGGAGGTCAGATTCTGAAGGTGATCAGGTGAAGCACAAGGTACACGTATATTCAGCCTCTGATCACCCCAGAGACTGGTCCGTCATCCCTGAGTTCCACCTCATCGATTACACACCCTCCACAAAACACCATCTGAAGACCCTCCTCACCACTCCCTGTCACTCCCAATCCAAAGCAGACGAATCAAGTCTGAAAATCTTCTCCATCCACTGGGGTCCGAATTACACGTGGCAACCGTCCGAACAGATCCGTGACATGGCACATTTTCTCATTGACGAGTGCGGCGTTGATATCGTGCATGGACACTCTGCACATCATATCCAGGGCGTTGAGAGGTATAAGGGAGCGGTGATCATGTATGGATGTGGGGATTTCGTGGATGATTATGCGTTGAATGAGGAGTTCCGGAATGATCTGGGGGGTGTTTGGAGGGTTGTCGTCAGTACTGATAATGGTGATGGCGGTGGTCGAGGAGAAGGGAAAAGGCTGATGTTGGATAAGTTGGAGATTTTTCCGACAAGATGTGATCGGTTCCAGGTTACATTGTTGGATGTGGATGATGAGGACCATGAATGGGTTCAGAGGAAGATCATGAAGTTGAGTGAGAAGATGGGAACTAGGGTTAGGCGGGAACTTGGGAGGGAGGGACAGGTTGTTGTTGATTTGAGGGATTAGGCATTGTTGCTTGTACTAATGTAGTATATCACTGATAGCATGTTATTGAGCTTTTTTATTCGAGCATCCTGAATTGGTTCTCCAACTGCCTGTCGGTGTATGACTTCCATTCATGGCCCCAAAATCTGCTGTTTATGGGAGACCCAAGTCCATTTGGCGCTGGGATGAAGTGAAATAGCAACGTCCAAGTAGCTAATTGGCTGAATCCACCATGACCCGCTCCTTGTACGGCTTCTATCGTCGGTTGTCGGTTGCACTCTGTGGTACCGTTGTTACACTGTAGCATGTCAGTCCATTACTAGCGACTGTCTAATTTAATACCTTTCTTTCGTGAAACTAAAAGGTTAGGCCCGTACACCTGAAGATAGTAGGATGCCCAGTGGTCCGCTTCCTTCTTTAAGGGGAAGAGAAGGCATCTCCTCACGGTGATTGGGTCATCAGGGAAATTTGGCATTATCATAGGTACCTGTCCGCTTGACTTAGGCTCAGGGATTTAGTCCTCGTATAGAAACGTGGGCCTTCCAAAGGCATTTCATGCTATCAAAATGATATTTGAGCATCCTGGAATGAATCCTTCTCCGCTGCGCGTTTGTCGTACATAGCAGTGGACCCTTCGCTCATCTAGTAGGCATTCGTTCAACTTGAGTATACTTCCCTTGAGCGTTATCCTTGAGTTTGATTGTGTGTTTTGGGCATCAATTCACCACACAATAAACCAGTCAAACAGGTCCTCTGTGAACGTTATTCATAGTCTTATTTTGCAAGACAAGAACGGTTGTCTGTTTACACCGTACTTCAAAGCAGACACACTTTATTCGAGATTTTGACCCTCCCGATGACTGTCAAGAGTTGCAAATATCCGAAGAAGGAACTTGTGAGCTTTCATGATCTCGCTATTGTCTGATTATACCCATGATTTGAAGAGATGGAAGTAACCAAAGGATTGCTGAAGTGCGAATTAAGTCTTGAGATTGCTACCCAATTATGCCACGACAGGATGGGTTTGGAGATGCAGATTCTCATGAGTTTGGAACGGTTGCTTGGTTCATTTTAATGGCTCTAGGGAGTTAGATAGAACGTTGACGAGTGTAGTCGGGGAATTAGAATACATAGCATAGATAGTGAATAGATATGATAGTTGTTCCTGATCTACTCCGCGTCAGAATGATTGACAAAGCACAGACCAACACTAGAATTATCCTTGAACATGGCTAACGTCCCTTTCCCACACATGTTTACATCGCTATGATGAGTCCATCTCTGCAAAATAGCTTCGGGATAATCTCCTGTCACCAGTTGCTTGAGGAAGAGTGACTACGAGCGCTTGTCCTTTTCACTTGTTACTACGCAGGGGCACCGTGAATCGTGACCAGGTTAATGGTAAGACATGAACATAGTCCCATTAGCCAACTATATACAGTCGACTATATACATGAAACGCAAACATCATGTCAATAGCAGAAATGACTTGATGCCCACGTCCCTGTATAGCAAACACTCTCCGCTGTCGCTGTTCATGGTCGATCAGTCAACTACTGGGCAGGTTGAGATAAGGTGCGTTGGAACTCACCCACTATAATCCTTGCCCTTGCCAACACTCACTCATCAGGGGTAGGATCTGGTATGGGTGACCTAGGGGGGTTTGCATCTCCTATCAGTTGAAGTTCAACTGCTAGTCACCAGGGCACATGATGCACGGTAGCATCCTGACAAGTTGTGTGGTTGGCAGGGAATGTGCCCAACAGCAAAACTTATACTACAGAACGCCGTTTTGCGAGCGATGACCTCTTGGGTAAACGTCTTCAGTATAGTGGACTGACTGGACAAGGGTAGGAGGGGATGCAAAATAGAAAGAACAATTTTGGATAGACCCCATAGCACTCTTCCCCGAAGGGCGTCTGTTGTGCAGCTGTATCCGTGTGGTCACCATACCTCTCTACTACTTCGCCTCCACTGTGAGATTACGGTGTTGGAAGCGAGGTCTGCCAAGGGGAAGAGATAAAAGAAGGACAAGACAGAGATGGGATACTTAGCTTCTGTGGAAAGGATGTCATGTCGTCATCGAACACCAGTCAGGTCGTTCTCTGAGTACCTAAAAAAGTTTGTATCTCCTATCAGCCAACGTTCAACTGCTAGAAAAACCTTCACGGCACCCATAAAAAACAGAGGGCAAAGAAGAACCTTCAGAGGTGCACGGAAGCACCCTGACAAAATAGATGGACTCCACAGGCTATACTGCACTCTTCCCCGAAGGGCGTCTCTTTGTGCAGCTATCTCCAGCAAGCATCCGTGTGATATTAAAAGGTGATATCATAAAGTTTCCAGAAATGCGTGAATGCACCTTGACAATTCAGGCGACCGGCAGCAGAAATTAGGTAAAACCCCTGGCTGCGGGACCGCCCTATTTTGGGAAAAACTAAAGACAAGAAAGAAATGAAGTACTTAGCTTCTGTTGTGCTACTGTGGCTGCGTATAAGTGTGGCATCGAGTGGTCGAAGGAGCAGTCAAGAGATGGAGGTGCAGTGCAGGCAAGGAAAAGTGCGAGCGAGAGAGATGAAATAGGAAAGAAAGAGTGCAGTGTATGGGAAAGTATGAACAAGTAAACTTGAAGAGAAAAGGAATAGATACAGAGAGAGCTTGGAAAGGAAGGAAGGTGCGAGAGTGAGTTGTAAGAAGGAAAGAGGAAAGAGAAAGCCGGGCGACGAGCAGTTACTTATACCCTGCGAGCAGGCAGCACTCGCTCGCTAAAGCCAGTATCCTCGCGTTTGGGTCCGGAACGGGACATTCAGGAACGACACCCGAGAGGTGACACCGCGCAGTGAGCTACATCATCACTCACCTAATAGACGAAGAGACTTGGGGAAGAGTCGGGGCGCGGCAGCAAGTTGTCGACTGGGAGGCGACGGAGGACGTTGGCGAACAACTGATGAGGGAGCTCTTCCTGAGCCTCGCTGTTTGAAAGTTCTATGAATGATTGTGGTTGGACGATAGTAACATCCCCTGTAGTAGATATTCGCGGATATGATCTGGATTCGAGTCGCAAGGTGAACGAGTTATCAATACACAAATAGTCAGGAGTGACATAGTCGCAATAGTCGTGGCTATTCCCGCGTGGGAATCGGCGATCCCGCACTTATGATGAGGCTAGACAACCTGAAGGAAAGTGTGACCCAGTTTGCATGACGTTTAGGGCAGGCACCGACGTGACGAAGAGGCGGTGGATTCTATACAGAAATGTGAGTCAGTTCTTACTTAAAGGTAATTGACTGTGCATTGCGATATAGTGCCAATAGATACAGTATCTTTCAAAATCATGTGAAATCCCAATACACTTTCCTTAAGAGGAAGGCATGAGGTCTACTTGAATCACGTGACTTATTCTACGGAATCCCTCTACAGATAGCAGGCGGTGCCAGATGGCAGAACGCTCGGGCAGCCCCAAACATTATCAGAATACCGACTGCCCACTCCTTATTATCCGAATTGCTCACGGCCCAGATCATTTCCGACAATGGAGTTATAATTAGGCCTCTCGCTTGGCTGGATAGACATTCATTTAACGTGTTTCTTCTTTAGAAGCTTGTGTGCAGGTTTGACTGGCCGTCACTCCTTCATTTGTACTGCGGCTTGACTGTCGGTCATGATGCGAGTTGTTGCAGAATTGCTTCTTAGAGATCCTTTTTCCTCCTTACCGGCATAGTGCTTAACTACGATTCCTGCGATTATCCTCGAGCGCGTGTGCATATCTTCCCGAGACCGACTCATTCGTTTATCGATCGATTGTGTTCCAGAATATCAATACAATACCCTTAGGCGTTGGACCAACGCCGCAATTTAGCCGCAATGCCTGGCTTACCATGTACGTTCGCTCTCTTATCATGTCACTTCTTGCGTTACTTCAACCGTGTCTCATTGTTTCGCAGCTAGTATCGATTTGGACGAGTGCATTGAGAGACTCTACCGAAAAGAGTTGCTGGCAGACTCGGTTATCGAAGCAATATGCGCCAAAGCGAAAGAGCTGTTGATGAAGGAGAGCAATGTTGTCCACATTGCGGCTCCGGTTACTGTGGTCGGTGATATTCACGGGCAGTTTTTTGATATGATTGAGATATTCAAGATTGGAGGATTTTGTCCGGACACGAATTATCTATTTCTTGGTACGTTCTTGGCTAATGGGGCATGGGTTCTGGTTCCGAGCTAATTGGTATCACAATTGCAGGAGATTATGTGGATCGTGGTCTTTTCAGCGTGGAAACCATCTCCCTCCTCGTTTGCTTGAAATTACGATACCCCCAGCGTGTCCATCTCATCCGTGGAAACCATGAATCCCGCGGCGTGACTCAGTCATACGGATTTTACACTGAGTGTGCGCGGAAATACGGCAATGCCAACGTCTGGCACTACTTCACCGACATGTTTGACTTCCTCACCCTGAGCGTCGTGATCAACGACCAGATCTTCTGCGTGCACGGCGGCCTCTCCCCCTCGATCCACTCCATTGACCAGATCAAGATCATCGACCGATTCCGTGAAATCCCACACGAAGGCCCCATGGCCGATCTGGTCTGGTCAGACCCCGATACCGAACGCGACGAGTTCTCGCTCTCCCCACGCGGGGCTGGATATACTTTCGGAGCACAGGTGGTTCGGAAATTCCTCGAGGTAAACAGCATGTCGCATATTCTGCGCGCGCATCAACTGTGCCAGGAGGGCTACCAGGTACTCTACGATGACCGACTGAGTACTGTCTGGAGTGCGCCGAACTACTGCTACCGGTGCGGGAACCTGGCTAGTGTGCTTGAAGTGAGCGATACGGGCGAGCGGTATTTCAATATCTTCGATGCTGCGCCGGAGAATGATATCCATCGATCAGAGCAACAGGCCCAGCAGAAGGATGGCCAAAGTCCTGTGATTGATTACTTTTTGTGATACCCCGGGGAGTTTATCTGTCCCTTTTCTATTTCGATCTGAGATACTTGGTCTTGAAACTTGGCATATGATGAAGCATGTATTGGCAATTTCTGGGATGTGATATACGGTTTATACCCTTGATATTTCAATGGATTCTCCAATGTTGCTATAGGCGCAAGAACGTTGGAAGGAAACTCGTTTCAGACGTATATGGCTTAAAACTCGACGCTGCTCACGATAAGTTCAAAAAGGCAAAAAGAAAAAAATTCAATGCTAAATAACTATCAAAGTCTACCAGTCCTTGGCAATGTCAAACGACCATTCGAACAGCAGGTGAGTTGTGTCATCGTCGTCAACGAATTTGGAAACGGCATTGTAGTGGCCACGAGCCATCATGCCCGAAGGAGCCTCCTCGGTGTTGACTAGTCAAGTTAGCATACGACCGGTCCACTGCAGCGCAATAGCAAAACTCACATTTCTTCTCGTAGTCGACCTTGCCCGTTGTGTTGGGGGCATAGCTTCCCTATTACCCAGTTAGCTTCCACCCACATACACTAACCAGACTTATAATCCAAACTCACCAGCATCTCCTCATCTTTGCTAACCCGAATACCCTTCCTCTTAACCACCTGCAGATACTTCAGACCGCTCAGCACCTCATGGTGCACCTGGAAGACCACCTTGATCCGGAACGTAGCGCCCTCCTTAATAGTGAATGGCTTATCTTTGAGGCTGTCGAGAGCCCCGGGGGCGGAGAGGTCGATGAGGACGTCGGAGCGGCCTTCAACTTCCAGGGCGAGGGACTTGATGATGCATTTGCGGGGGTCGTTGGGGTCACCGATGGGTTCGCCGCTGTTTAGGCCCAGGGAGGCCTTCCAGCGGTTGAGGGATTCGTCATTTTGGTCTGTTAAGCATTAGATCAGTATATTATTCGAGCGGGTGTGTTTTTAGTAGTTGGGTTAAGTTTGTATGTCGACAGGTGTCACAGGATATACTCGGTAAGGAGGGGAACGGGATAAATGCCAGGAGCCGTGCAGATAGTGAGCATACCCAACTGTGTATATTCCTCAATGGTCTTCTTCTCTCCAACCTTGAAGCCCTCGGTCTTGGAGGCAGCGAGATCATCTTCGTGGTGGTCGGTCATTGTGACGGTTGTTCCTGGGTTGGTGGGGTATCGGGATGAGGAGAGCTATAGAAGATAGATTAGCTTTATCCGGGTACCAGGCCAGTCTCCATATAAAAATAGTAAACAACGTACCTATATGAATATTCAATTGATAGAGAAGGAGAGAAAAGAGAAGAAAGGGAAAAAGAGCGTTCGCAACAGGGGGTTTGTTTTGGTTGGTTGACACAGTCCAGGAGGATGGTGGGGGGCGTGGAAAGGCGGTGACACTATCAGGGGCCAGACTTGGCTCTGTGCTGCGATGGTATTATTACCTGTTAATAGAGAGCTACGTGTAGTAATGGAGATGTTTTCTATCTTTCTAGAAAGGAGGGGTTTGCGTTGGTTATGGTTCGGTGGTTGACCGTTGCATCGGACATAGATCACCGTTAGCATGGACAGGCTTTAAATAGTCATTTACAGAGTACCAATGGGTACTCTTTACTCTACTGTTATTTTGCGGGTATCAAATACTTACAAGTACCTATTGATGCGCTCTGGATGCTGTGCTGAGAGCAGTTGGTATCCATATCTTGCAGAGCGGGGAAGTAGTTCTCTGTACGTAGTAGTACAACCTATCGGTTCCAATTCTAATATGCCAGGTTATCTTAGATCCTTAACTTCTGCAGCGTTACTGGCTTCATTCGGGTCCTTGTTTTCTTCTGGGAAGCTGCACATACCAAGCAATGTACAAGTACAGAGCATGTCTGAGGCAGGAGAATTTGTACTGTCACCATTTACCGGGGAACGGTACAAGTATTACCATTTCGAGTAAATCAGGTGACTTTTAGCACCATCCATTGGTCCATGTCTACCATGCCAAGACCGCAAAGTACCGTACGAATACTGTCAAAACTCCCGCCCGCCCACTTGATTTTCTCGTCGTTGTTTTTGTGGATTTAAGCAGCTGATTCGATCGTCCGTCAAGAAACGTGAATCACCGTTGTGCATCTATCTTGGCTCTTTTCGCTTTAGTGCTGGGTGCGCCTTCCTAATTCAGCTGTGCTGTGTTTACTGCGCCGTTTCTGTGGTGACGTTTTGGTTCCCTCAACCGCTAAAACTACGGAGAGCGAGAAACAACACGCCTGCAACGTGGCCGGCGTCGCATTTCCCTCATTCTCCTTGACTGCTTAAGAAGAGAAGCCTTGACCACCCCGACATATTTTTCTGAGCTTTTTCAAGTCTTTGACTCGAGATTGTTCATTTCGCCATGGCGCGCTCTCTTCCCAAGAAGAATAACCCTCTTATCTCGGGGGATGGTGCCCCTGCTTGTAGGTTTCCCCCATCGCCATCGCCCGCTGTTTTGTCACGCGCATCACCCCGGAAACACACTGCTATCAAGTAGCATCAATACATAACAGTCTGGACTAACATGCGCTCTCTGTACGACCATAGACGATGATCTCCTGACGCGTCGTCGTCTGGGAAAGACAAATCTCGCCGTTAAGGCGACGCAGATCGGCACGTCCAATGCGACTCGCCCGGAGAACCTGGGTCCCTTTGAGTACGCTCATCTACGCGCGCCTTTGCCTAAGGATCTGAAAGGCTCTGAGATCTTCCCCTCGCACACTCCGCAACAGCACCCAGAGACCTACTTTTTGATGGTGAGTCCACTTCCGTGCGTCTTGGGAAGGTGCTGTCAGTGATTAATGCGCAATCCACACAGCGGCGGAGCAAGGATGGATTCGTGAGCGCTACTGGCATGTTCAAGATCGCTTTCCCGTGGGCGAAGGTCGAGGAGGAAAGATCCGAGCGTGATTACCTCAAGGCACGGGAGGAGACCAGTGAGGACGAGATTGCGGGTAATGTATGGATTTCGCCGGGTTTCGGTAAGTACAGATTAGCTCCAAACTACTGTATATCATCCTGACGCTTCTATCCAGCCTTGGAGTTAGCCAAGGAGTACCAGATGTTCGATTGGGTTCGTGCATTGTTGGATCCTACCGATATCGTCCAGAGCCCATCGAGTGCCAAGAAGCAAATCACTCCCCCTCCCAAATTCGACATCCCGCCGATCGAAGCTCCCGTTCAACTTTCCGCTGCCGCAACACGACTCAGACGGGGACGGTCCGCATCGCCTAGCAAGAGAGCTGCTTCGCCACGCAAGTCCAGAACCACGCGGGCCATCAAGGAGGCTAACGTTGCTGCTACGAATGCTGCAAATGCCAGTCTTCAGTCGTCGTTGGATGCTGATGCCGGGTCGGCCAATGGAACCGTGGAGCAAAGTGTGGAAGTCGACGAGGAGGAAACAAAGTCAGAAGTGGTGGAGAAGCCACGGACAACAACCAGGTCGAGGAAGACTGCCGCTCCGGCTGAGCCAGAAGAAGAGGAAGAAAAGAAGGTCAAGGTTGATGTCGAAGAATCCGTGGACAAGGCAAAGGACGCTCAGACGAAGCAGACCACCTTCTCGGTTGAGATGCCCGTCAAATTCCTCCCCGACGCACCCTCCGCAGAGGACACGGCGCAGATGATTGCCAAGGCAAAAGAGATGGTGCAAGAAGCAGTCGACAGCAAAGCCGCAGAGGGAGAGCCCACAGAGTCATCATCAAAGGGCGCTCAAAAGCGCAAGCCAGATGATCTGAGTGAAGACTCGGAGGACGAAGAGACCAAGGCCGCTTCGACCCAGCGTGTTAAGCGGGCGAAGGTGTTGGAAGAGAAGCTCAAGCGGGAACGAGTGAGGAACCGTGCCTTGGTTGGAGTCACAGCTGCTTTTGCCCTTGCGTAAGTACTCTTGACATTCTTTGCTGGGACACGTCTAACTTTGCATAAAGGGCCTCGATTCCTTACTTCTTTTAGTTTCCTCTCTGCAGAGTATGCTCTACTTTAATTCGGTTATTGTCTACTCAGTCTTCCTGGGGATACCTTCTCGGAACGACGTCCAGTCCTTGATTCCCTTCCTTATTCTCAGTCCGACATCCCCGTCCTCGTTTTTCAATTTTCTTCACCCCGGGCCCTTCTGACCCTGTTGGTTTTCGATGTATTGTATTGACACCTTACACCTCTTTCTAATGTTCACTCTGTTGCTACAGTATGGCAGATATAGCAATTGGCGGGATCCTGGAGATCGGAAGCGAAGCGTCTGTTTCTACGTTCCTTTGTTCATGGGCTTTTCCTTTTCCTTTTCCCTTTTTTTTTTTTTTTTTTTTTTTTTTTTTTTTTTTTTTTTTTTTTTTTTTTTTTTTTCCTTTTCTTGTTCTTATTTCTGGATACCTGGTATTTGATTTATGACCCTGTGTCTCTTGCCTGGGAAAGGGTTGGAGCTGTGGGCAGGTGTTTGATAATGCGTCAAGTAGGTTCAATCGATTATGGTCTATATATATCAACTTTAGGGCAGACTGTTCAGTAGATTCTTTTTATGGAAGATGGCGTAGTTGGGAGCGTTCGACTGAAGATATCGTAGTCGCAGATATTCTGGGCTAGTCGCAAATTACCTGATTCGGAATTGCTGCAAACAAAGCAAAACAGCTTCTCCGCTAGCTATCACCTTCACTTTTCTTTTACACGCATTCATCACTACTCAACAGAAAAGCGCATACTCAATTTCTTAAAAAGAGACACCATGTCTCTCCCGGGTCTTGACCTTGCCCAAACTTCCGTGGAAACGGAGTTCACCCCCGCACCGCCAACCCAAGTCAGTCTGGCCAGAGGGTCAGAATGGAGGTTTGAAGTCGCCCATGGGACGACAGTGAGAGTCAAGGTACGTCCCTCCCTTCTTTGCAGCTTACATTCAATAAATACATGAATACTGACAGGGTTTCTGCAGCTCCTAGCCGGCACTGCAGAACTCTTCGGCACCGAACTCGCCGCCTCCCAAACCTACACCTTCTCCGGCACTAAAGCCGCAATCTACACATGGCACGGCTGCACCTTGGAAATCAGCGCCGGAGATACGATCGATGGTCTTGTAAATGGAGGAGCCACTGCTACTGCCACGGGTACTAGCACTGGTTTCCCTGGTCTCGGTGGCCCGACGCGCGGATACGGCGCAGGTGGGTGCCAGAGCGAATATGTAGCAGAGGAGACGCCGATGGTGGAATACGCAAACGTGCACTTTGCGCTGGAGACACTACGACAAGAAGCTAAGGCTACAGGGAAAGATGGCCCGCGGGTTCTGATCGTTGGTCCCGAGAACGCGGGCAAGACGAGTGTCGCGAAGATTCTGACTGCGTATGCGACCAAGATGGAGCGCCAGCCACTCGTAGTTAATGTGGACCCGACGGAGGGTATGCTGAGTGTTCCTGGGACGTTGACGGCGACTGCATTTCGGACGATGATTGATGTCGAGGAGGGATGGGGGAATAGTCCGATGTCTGGGCCGAGTCCAGTGCCGGTTAAGTTGCCGTTGGTGTATTTCTATCCATCGCAGAATCCGTTGGAGAATGAGGGCGCGCTGTATCGGCCTGTTTTGTCGAGATTGGCGTTGTCGGTTACGGGGAGGATGGCGGAGGATGAAGATGTGCGTGAGACGGGGATTATTGTTGATACGCCTGGGGTTCTGGGGCATGGAAGGCCGGGGAGTTTGGAGGTGATCAATCATATTGTCACGGAGTTTTCCAGTACGTTTCCCCCTTCGCCTTCTTTACCCATGTCAGAGATGCTAACGACGCAGTAACTACAATCCTCGTCCTCGGCTCCGAACGCCTCTACAGCTCCATGCTCAAATCTTACGATAACAAACCCACCTCCTCCGCCTCGGCAGCCGCTTCCGACGAACGCATCTCCGTTATCAAACTTCCCAAATCAGGCGGCTGCGTCGACCGCGACGCCGCATTCATGAAGGGCGTCCGCGAAGCAGCCATCCGGTCATACTTTTTCGGAAACCCCATTCCCTCAACTGCATCTACGGCACTGTCACTATCATCTGCGTCTTCGACGACCAATATCACGCTTTCCCCGCATGCGCAGCAGCTGGATTTCAATTCTATGGCTGTTTATAACGTCGCTGGGGCGGAAGATGAGGATGAGGATGATTATGATCCCTCGCAGCTGGAGTCGTTATTGCCAGGTGGTGGAATAAATGATTACCCCGGAACTCAATCTCAGCCTGAAGAAAGCACCTCCACACCAGTTCTCCCGGGTACAACACCAACCCCAGTACCAGCCCCAACAACACCCTACGACCCAGCAGCAACAACCACCACCTCTACAACCCCCTCCCCCAACGAAAACAACGAACCCCCCCTCAAAAAACTCCCCCCACCGTTCCCAACAACAATGGCAAACTCCCTCCTCGCAGTCACCCACGCCCCACCCACTGCATCCCCCTCCGAAGTCCGCGACGCAAGTATCATGGGCTTCCTGTATGTTGCAGATGTTGACGTCGAGAAGGGGAAGATAAGGGTTCTGGCGCCGATGGGGGGGAGAGTCCCACCTAAAGCGGCAGTTTGGGGGAGGAGGTGGCCTGGGGAGGTTGTGGGATTGGTTGGGTAATTGGACTACTATTCTCTTAGGTTTGACTTATGAGTTTGGTGCATTGGTGTTTATGGCGTGTTTGGTTTGGTTGGTCTTGTATATAAAATGGCTTTGATAGGTCAATAAATAGCATTTATGTTATGTTCTCGAGTCAAGCCTATTTAACATTACCAAATACAATAAAATAAGTCACAATAGTCACTGTTATACACATCGGACCAGCCGAACAATTAAAACATAATGTAATTCACTCCCACCCATTCCTCCACGGCACCTTATTCTTCCTCAACTCCAAATCAACATCATACCCCCGATCCCACTGCCCTAACAACTTCGACCGCCGCGCCTGATACACCTGTTCCGCACCAAAGCGTTTCAACACAGCAGCCTTCAGAAAACCAAAGTCATTTCTCTGCACGGAATCCTTGAACTTCGCGCGCATCCGCGGCGAGTACAACTGGCAGGTTGCCTCGCGGCAGCGAGAAGCCCTGTCAGTACCCGGGAGGAGGCGTGGGGTACTCGTGAACTTGTTGGCGATGGGTTCGTCGTCTTGAGCGAACGGCCGGACGACGTCTTCGTAGCAGTCCTCGCAGACGGTGAATTCAGGTAATTGAGGGATGTAGTGCCAGGTTTTGTACTTCGGGCGATCGCGACGGCATTCCGGAAGGGCTGTCTTGCGTCGTGCGTAGGCGATGAATTCAGGGATTTTGGCACGGGGTGGGATTTCTCGCTCGGCACGGTTGGCCGCGCGGTCGAGCAGGTCGATGTAGTTTACGAAGCGGGGGCTGTCGGTGACGAAGTCGCAGGAGCGCTTGTCCTTGACGGTGCTGCGTTTGAAGGCGTAGCGGAGGGTAGGCATTAGGATTCGGAGGTTGCGGACGCAAGCGGGACAGGCGTTGAAGCCGGGGAGATGGGCTTTTGTCTCTGGGTCGATGACTTTGTACCAGCACTCAGTGGCTTTGTCGCGGCCGGGGCAAACGCTTGTTCCGCGGGTGATTTTGTAGAGAATGTCGAGGTGGTTGAGGTCTTCTTTAATGGTCTGGAACCATGCCAGTCGGGCCCAGGGGTCGCTAAAGGAGCAACTGATCAGGTCGCTGCGAGACTTGGGGGCATTAGGGATGACGAAACTGCCGAATTTGGAGTTGGAGATGTTTTCCGTGCAGGAAGGGCAGATATGCAAGTGATCGAAGCCTCTGATCGTGGACCAATCCTGGTGACCAGGCATCTGCACCGATCGAGGACAAGGCGAGAGACGGAGATCTGAAATCTTAGCGACTGCTGGAAGCTTTGACTCCAGAGAAGAGCTGCTCCGGCGAGCTGGTGCTGGCGAAGCTCGAGGCGACAGCCGCGGTGACGGCCGAGGTGAGGATTCAATTCTTCGACCTGGGACCGCGTGGATCAATTGTACTTCGTCCGGGAAGGATACTGTCCTCCTTGGTGAAGGAGGTACCACGTTCGACGGCATACGGCGAGGTGACGGAGGCGTAGAAAGATCAAAGGTTCTCGACGATCTTGGGGACATGCGGTGGTGTTCACGGATTGGAGACTGCGGAGCAGATGCAGACTGGGTGATGAAGAACCTCTCAGTCGCTGCAGGCATCTTGATGGATCTTGGAAATGGAGTAACAACAGAGTCAGTAGCGGAGCTGCGAAGGCTCTCACGACTACTCTGCTCTTCAACTTTTGAGGCTCGGCGTTGCTCGTGGCGTCTGAATCTTTCTTCCATTTTTCGGGAAAAAGACAGAGCGCCAGGGGAGGATTCTCGACGTGGTGGGCTTTCTCGGGTCAGATAGGTCTGGCTTGCATTCGGCTTTACCGTAACCGGGTTCGGACGACGGTCAGGCGTGGGGATGGGCCTTTGTTGAGCGGGAAGCAACTGCTGTTTGGAGCTTCGAGGAGTAAATCCTCGCTTGGGTTCCGCAACAATGTTCGACAGGTCGCCAAAGTTGAATGATTGGGGCGGGGGCGTACCAGCCCGAGGGGACATTGGCCAAGCTTCGTACGAAAGGTTTTTGATGGCCGGGAAGAACGGCTTGCGACTGACATCGATTGCAGGAGGCGTAGGAGGGCCGTTGCCCTCATCTGACGAACAGTTTTCTGTGCAGGGGACAAGCGGCGGAGGACTTGGGGAACGACGGTCCAAGTCCAAAATCATAGGTTCCTGGTTGATGGTCCCTCTGGCACAAACGCCTTCAAGCCCGGGCTTCTCCCCCAGGTTAGACAAGCCATGCAATTCGCGGGCCAAAGAAACATATTCATCTTCCACCGAGGGAGATGGAGGCCATCGGGTGTGCCGGCGGAGGTATGGCATGGTGCGGTCAACAAAGATTCAGAGTTCAGGTATTATGCATGAAGATCCAAAGGGAATGAGCGTGAAGGAAGAGTCGAAATCCAAAGTCAACGAATGGAGAGACAGTGAAAGGATATCGACACCGTGGTAAGAAAAGAGACATTTCGAAGGTATATATAACTTTATAGAAAACATATCGGGCAGCGTCTTTTCCGGAAATAGACGCTTCATCCGGGCCCATCCATGTCGAATTGGGCGATAACAGACAACAAATCGACCCAGCAGGGATCGGGAGCGAAATAAAAACCCAAAAATGTAAAAAAAGCAATGCAGTCGTAAGCATAGACAGTCAGTGAACTGCAGAGGGATGCAGGAAGAAAATCCCGGGGCCGGGTTGCCAAAGGACGAAGGAAAGCGCGCAGATCCGAGCAAGCCAGACCAGGCCGTACAATTTGCAGCCGTTGCCAGAGTGGAAACACAAGCGGATTATCAAGTGCCAAGGGCCAGTGAGAGTGGCAGGAAAAAAGGTGATGCGAGCTGGAACCGGGAATTCAATTAATGGCCGGAGGGACAACTAAACACGGTGTGGGGATGGGAGCGAGCACGCTGCAGGCGAGTGTCAATGGACAGTTGGCGGTGTTATGATTATGGACAAACATACTATCGGATGACTCCGCGGTGGTTTATTGGGCTGGCTGTTTCAGACGAAGCCTCGAAGAGAGCCCCATTGGTGTATGATGCGGTGGAAGCTGGTCGATATCGAAATGGAGGGTTGTATAGCAGGAACAAACATAATCGTGTTACCCTCGGAACGGGCTCCGGAAAAGCAATGCTGGTGGCAACAGTACTATGTATGCAGGAGAAATTCTAGATGAGTTGGTGAGTTGGACGCCGGGTCAGTCGCAGCCAGACAGGCTGAGAGCAGAGGTGAGGTTAGAGGTCCGAAGAGGAAGGTGACCTCACATGACTATCTCCTATAGGGAATACGAGTACTCCGTAGTAGAAGAACGAGGTCTGCGCCAATCGTACTTTCTATGCTATCCAAGCTATCCAAAGTACTATTGACGTACTCTGTCAGTCCGACATCCTATATGCCTCAGTCACCGCATACGGACCACCGCTCTTTCAATTGCTCCGTATCTTTGACAATATTCAACCTTACCAGCTCTCAAACAATTTACTCTACATCACAGTCTCGACCATACTTTCTTTCTCACCTCCCCTCTATATATTCCAGTACTCCACATCGTACTTTGGATCGACAAATACATGCACACCCCAGCAGACACAGCACTAGGTCGTTAATACGCAGCCTACCGCAGCATCTTATCTTCCTCTGCATTAGAACTACATTAGGGCACATTCCCCATACTCTGTACACAGCCCATCAATTGCTATCAATCCCGTCGGCCTCTTTCGGATATCAACAAGTCTCGATATCCGACGGATCCCCGCAAAAAATGGCGTCATCCGTCGGAGATAGTAGAAAGAGATACAGAATACCATTGGAATGAGAATGGATTTATAAGGACGGAATGATCTCCTCTCTAGAGTAGTATTAATAATGCTCAATTGCACTACTGTATAAGTATTGCAACTGAGTCCTGTATGTCGATATATCTCTAGCACTGTGAAGTCGACAAGAAGCTCTCCCCACCGGATAATCTCTCAACCATCCATTCTTCCTCACACTCTGATACAACAAAGTATGTCTCTTCGCTGTCTTTCCCGCTCCCTTCTCCGTCCAATGTTCATGTCCACTACACCAACAACCCGCCTAGCATCCCTCCACTCCCACCTTCATTTCCAACATCCAACCCCTCTAACAACCCCTCAGACCAGACACCACCAATCCACCACCATGTCACCCCCCACAACCATGAAAGCAGTCGAAATCACTCAAACCGGCGGCCCCGAAGTCCTCTCCTACAAAACCGACCATCCAGTGCCAGCTCCGTCGGAAGGCCAAGTCCTCGTCCAGAACTCCGTCTCCGGAATTAACTACATCGATACCTACTTCCGCACTGGTCTCTATCCGGCGCCGAAGCCTGAGGTCCTGGGTCGCGAGGGAGTCGGCAAAATTGTTACGCTGGGATCTGGTGACAACACGCAAGGTCTCCAGGTCGGTGATCGGGTTGCTTGGTTGGGGACGGGCGGGTATGCGGAGTACACTGCTGTCCCCGCAGCGAAGACGGTGAAGGTTCCGGAGGGGATCAGCGATGAGGATGTCATGGCTGGTTTCCTTAGCGGATTGACTGTGTTAACGCTGGTGAAAGAGACATACCCCGTGCAGAAGGGCGAGACGGTCCTTGTGCATGCTGCTGCCGGAGGTGCGGGGTCGCTGATGGTGCAGGTGCTGAAGAGCATCGGGGCGAAGGTCATCGGTACCGCTGGTGGAGAGGCGAAGGTTGCTCTTGCGAAACAGTTGGGTGCGGATGTGGTCATCGATTACCGGGCTGAGGACTGGGTGAGCAAGGTGAAGGAGGCTACTGGGAGTAAGGGCGTGGATGTTGTTTATGATTCTGTGGGCAAGGATACATGGGAGGGTGCGTTGGAGGTGGTTAAGAGGAAGGGGACAATTGTCTGGTTTGGGAATGCCAGTGGGCCGGTGCCGCCTTTGCCTATTCAGTGAGTTTCCTTTCTTTCCCTGGATGGTGACCAGGATGCTAATGCTACTGATTTAGGAAACTCTCGCCCAAGAACCTCAAGGTCGCGCGTCCCCAGCTGTTCGGATACATTGACACTCGCGAGGAGTACGAATTCTACACCAATGAGCTCTTCTCGCTGCTCAAGTCGGGCCAGCTCAAAGTCAAGGTTCACAATGTGTATCCGTTGGAGCAAGTTGCGCAGGCTCATATCGATTTGGAGGGCCGTAAGACTACAGGCAAACCTCTTTTGAAGCCATGAATTTGCACATAGGTATTATTTACGGCCATGATTATATTGAATGCTTTGTGTGATATGCTATCTCGCCTTGGCTGTTCAGATGCAATCCTCTGCTTCCTGCTCCTCGTTCTTTGCTTTAGATTCACCCTTGCCATCTTCATCCTCGTCATTATTATACACTCTATTCACCAAATCCTTTGGCTTCTTCCATCCGAGCATGAGATCATTTGCTAGCACTGTGTAAATCGAGCCATATGCCGTGAGGATTTCATCAAAGAAATGCAATCCGCAATTCAGTTCAAAGACCGAAGTAATCACCTTCATACCCGGATAACATTCCTTCAGCAAATCCTCCTCGAGAAAAAATTCAAATTCATCTGCGGGCTGATTTCCTGCCTCCCATTCCTTCCGTTCTTCAGGACTGAGGTCGTACACAGGTTTACCGGGGTCCCGATACGATTTACCCAGTAGTCTTCCAATGGGATGCAGATCAGAAGCGTGGTGCTCGTAGAATTCCCGAGTGTCATCGTCAGGCATTACCACGGCCGTCACCTCGAACCCGTCGATATCTTCGATTCGCATAGCCCGCAGACTGTTCTCGTTGGCAAGTTGCTGGAAGCGGCGAGCCTGTTCGTCGGTTCCGGCGCCGACTAGGGCAAATTTGACCACCTTACGGGCGATGTCGTTGGTCATGCGCACCGTATCATCTTTAGGGTTCGACCACTGGTCGTCTTCGACGTAGGTATCGTAAAAGAAACCACCGAAAAGGGTCGAGCTTGCCTTGTTGAAGTCACCGGGGGATTTCACAGTAAATTGCTGGTTGCGCCAGAGTTCCTTGCCCGCAATGTCACAGGACTTGCGAGCCTCATCGATATTCGCATTATGTTCTGGGCAGACGTCGTGGTACATGAGGTAAGAGAGAAAGTTGCGGATGGTGACGGTGGCCATCTTGATCATGTCTTCGGATTCGGGGTTGAAGTAGTATGGAAAGTACGAGGTTCTACTGAGTTAGTCTCTCTTCAAGTTGCTCGCAGATGCTTGATTCTCACAGATAACCCTTGACCACGGCATTGAAATCAATCTCCAAACCAGCTCGCTCCTGCGCAATACTTGTCTGGCCTCTGGTTAGAAGGATCTCCTCGTTGTCCATTTCCTTGAGATCGTGGTCATCCACGCCGCCAAACATCTTAGGGCCGACGTCAACGCCTCCGTATGCCAGGTACTTGGTGAATATTTCCCGACGGTCCGATTCGATACGACGGTTCTTCTGGAAACGCAAGATGGCATCTTCCATGCGACTAAATCATGTTAGTCCACTGCAAAGGGCAGGTAAGTCATGGCTCACTGAATGATAGGCCTAGTCCCATCGTAAATCACCCGCTCATGGCTGTACTGCTCGGGGGTAATAGGTGCATCAACGTAGTACTCCTCGAAACCAGTAGGTTTGGTCTACCCTGTCAGCAACTAACATAGCGAACCCGGGAATTAGGAGTACCTTTCCACGCTTGCTCTTGGGTTTCTTGCTCCTCTTCTTTTTCTTTTCCTGCTTCGTAGGATCGACCCAGTCGACTGTGGTGGTATTTTCTCCGTTTACTCCTTCGTCCCCGTCCACAACTCGGGGCTGCTGGGGAGCGTTGGCAGCGTCTTCTTTGGAAGATTCAGGCTGCGGGTTGTCGTTGGTGACGGTATAGGCGGGGAGATCCTGGAATTGAACTTGGGGGTCGTCTAGGGTCTTCATGTTCGCTTTGATGTTGGTCTTAGATTCCGGGGTAGTTTGTAGAGAGAAGGAGAAGATGGATAGGAAGCAAATATTCAATAAAACAATAACCAATCTACTCTGTATACTAGGTATTCACCAAGAACAGTAAGAAGAAAAGCCAATTGAGCAGGTAAAGTAGAGGGAAGTGATAGAGGTGTCTGGTGAATGATCCAGGTCTGTATGTTTCCATATACAAAAGTACTCTGTTTGCTGCTTGCCTGCATTTCTTTGTTTGACGTAGTCCATGAAAAGGGAAGAAGACTCAGTAGAAAACAAATAGATCAGGTCAGCTCAATACAAATAACAGTATAGACTTGTCCGTACTCTATTTCCAAGTTAGTAGCCATAATAGGAAATATATACTTCGGACCCCGTAGCGAGATGTCTGACTGTTAAGAACTCTTCTAAACCCTTCTGCGATCTAGTTAGTGTTATTGACCAATCTCCAATGTTCTATTCTTCTAAGTGAGCCTAAATTTTTACGTTAATTGGCACGATAATCATTGATAAGTTTGCCTGTATGCCTCAATCTCGTCCCGCCAGTACCATCAACAAGTAAACAACCTCAATTCCACCAGTTATTTCCTCTACATAGTACTTCCTACCCATCATAACGTTTCCTTCTCAACTGCTGTCTGTCTGTCCGGTGTATTACCGAACACTCCTCTGCGGGCATTTATCTGAATCGCTTACTACTGATCGCCGTCGACCATCGCGTGCACGTCAGCTGAATGTGGTAACTGATATCCCAGCGGCTCAGCTAAATCCGTGAGATTCGTTTGTTTATTTATTCGGCTTATTTATTCGGCTTATTTATCCGACTTTTATTTATATTCCTAATAGTTCAAAATCCTTGCGCAAAGAAAAGCAAAGAAAAGCAAACAAAATGCCATCGCCATCGAAATCGGAAACTCTCGAGCACGACAACTTTGTCGCTTTTGACCACGCCGCTGCTGGACAGTAAGTCGAGACTTTTTCCCCATGGACTAGATGGAATTCATGAGTTTAAGGATATTTCGCATCCTAACATCATCGCAGTGACGGCGTTCGCTGCACCCTCTCTGGCTCCCTAATCGCAAAGCCTTGCACCTCCGCAGAAGTCGAGTTTTACGAATCCTGCGCCCTCCATCCTCTATTCCGGGAGCTCATCCCTACCTACATCGGTACCCTCTCGTCTGCAGACGATCAGCAACAGCAACAACAACAACAACCGTCCCTCGCAGTCCCCGCCGCCGCCGACACCCCGCTGTCCGACTCGACAGGCACACCTACAGAAAAGCCAGCCTCCCCCTTCGGGCAAAAAATAGATACCGAACTGTCGGTTGTACTGGAGAATGTAGCCGCTGGATTCAAGAGACCAAATGTCCTGGATGTCAAGCTGGGAGCGCGGCTGTGGGCAGATGATGCCCGGCCGGAGAAGCGTGCGAAGCTGGACGCTGTCTCGCAGGAGACTACTAGCTCGAGTCTTGGATTCCGGATCTGCGGTATGAAAGTATATACCGGTGAGAATGGGGAGAGCGACGAAGGTGTTCTCACCAATCCGTACGATGCGAAGCATGAAGGGAAGGAGGGGGAGAAGGGCGAGGTAGTTGAGAAGGATGGCTTCAAGCGTTACGATAAATGGTATGGAAGGTCGTTTAATGAGGGGAATGTCAAGGAAGGCTTTGAGGCCTTTTTTGCTGGTGCGAAGCTGGGCGGCGTGGACCGTTCGAAGCTCATTGCGAGACGGGCCATTGAAGAGTTGAAGCGTGTGCAGCAGGCGCTTGAGATGGAAGAGAGTAGGATGTACTCCGCTAGCGTCTTGATTGTCTACGAAGGTGACCCAGAAGCGTTGGAGCACGCGCTTGAGGAGGAAAAGAAGGCCTTGGACAAGCCGCCAACGCAGGATGACAAAGAGGAAGATGAAGACGAAGAAGTGAGCCTAGAAGAGTTCCAGCAGGACGGATCCCTGCAACTGGTTGATATCAACAACCTGGGGCAAGCCGGAATTTCCCAGCAAGCCATCAACATCCCCATCGATCCCAGCACTGTTGCAGGCCTCGGTGACGAGGGTGACGACGAAGAGGATGCCCCGAAGGTTCATGATCTTCGCTTGATCGACTTTGCCCACGCCCAATGGACTCCAGGCCAGGGGCCTGACGAGAACTCACTTCGGGGTGTACGTAATTTGATCAAGATTCTCGATGATATTGTTGAATGAGGCATCATCTCGTCTTTTACGATTGGTTTTGAACGGTGTGAATAGTCGCTGGCGGCTTGTACACGATTTACGATAGCCATCTAGCGTTCGATGTTATTATATAAAGCATTGGATATGAACGAGAGCGCAATACATTCTTTCATTATATTAGTTTTGAAAAACTCCCAGTGACCGCCATGCTCTTGTGCACACAACTATGTAGTGCTTACATAATCCGGAACAATTTGGACAAAAGATCGATATCGCAAACACTCCGCAGACAACATTTGAAGCATAGACGGTGCCTCATTGCCAAAATGTTTCCTACTCGCGCTCTCTTTGCGCGGTCTGTCTGGAAGGGTTGGTTTCATTTACTGCAATAATTGACGTCGGAGCACAATGCTAACCCAACTTACAGGCCCGAATATTGTCCCGTACGTCCATTCCACACCTACCTGCATTCCCAATGCCACGAGAAATCCTCCCAAATAAACGAACGATCTGAATGACCATAGATCACATATACTAACCATTACGGAAAAAATAGCCTCCCTCTCCCCCGCCAAGTTCCCCCACCACCAAACCACCCCCCAATTAAGACGCAAAAGCGCGCCGCAACTATCCTCCCGAACTTCGTGGGTTTGAGATTCGCCGTGCATAATGGGAAGACATACCATGAGGTCGTGATTAGTGAGGAGATGGTTGGGAGGAAGTTGGGGGAGTATGTTCCGTATGTATACCTTTTTCTGGATTGGATTGGATTGGATTGGATATGGGGGGATGGGGAAGGAAGAGAGAGCTGACTGGTTATAGCACGCGGAAGAGGTTTACGTATAAGTTGTCGAAGAACAAATAGTGGTTTTGCTGTTTGGCTTGGTACAATTTGGGCGGAAGACTGCTCGTCCGAGGGCCGTGGATGCATTGTGTTTCTGGCGTTGACACGAATATATATCTATTCCATGTGTCTATGTAAAATTATGGGAGTTTTTATGGGATTGTCACTTGTATTGCATTCTGGGCCTACTTTCTATGAACCTCTTAAACGCCACCATTATTGCAGTATTTGATGCAGGTATCTTTTGTCCTTAACCGTATATACGCCAAAGAAATCCCCAAGCATAGAGCAAAAGAAGACAGACACAACCATTCGCTTGCTCGCAAGCTCACAAGCTCACGAAACTACCGATAAAACTCCCCCCTCTTAACACTAACCCCATACTCCCCGACCGCCATCCCCAAATCCTCCATCGTAAGCACCGTCCGTCCCTGCCCAGAACCTCCACTCCCACCACCCCCAAAACCAGGCCTCTGAATCCCCAAATGCGTCCCTGCCTTCCCCTTCCCTGACTCCCCCGACACACCAACACCACCGCCCGCAGCACCGGCTCCTGCAGCCCCAGGGACCAGACCTGAGGCCGCGTTCAGACTGCCCATCGGGTTGCTCGCGGACGAGCTGTTGGAGGCGCGGATGCGGGCGTATTGGTAGGAGTCTGCGGCGATGTCGGCGATGAATTTCTGGGCAGCGAGGGAGAGGAGTCGTGCGAGATGCGGCGGTGTTTGGTTGGGGCCGTGGCCCGGGGGTGGGAGGCCGGCGAGGGTGAGGTAGTGTGCTGTTACGGCGTCGGGGATCTTTCGTCATTAGCTACCACTATCACAACAAAGGGTAAAAAGGGGAAGGGGACGTACAATAGGCGCATATTCATCCATCTTCCCCAAAAACTCCCTTAAGCTAGTTTCCTTCTTCGACGGCGCCGCAGCTGCAGCAAGCGCATCAACCGACGTTGGAACAGCATCCTCCAACGGATTCCCTAGTCCTTCCCCATTTGCACCAGTGCCAGCTGTATTTTCACCGTTGTTCATATCGATATCTTCCTGGTCGATCGGGACGTCCAGATCCGGGTTGTTCGCGTCGGGCTCCTGCTTCACTGCCGTTTCTGTCTGCGCTTGTGCTTGTGTTTCAGGCTGTCCCTGTGCGTGTGTTTGTTGCTGGTCTTGCGATCCGGTTGTTTGCGATGGCGGCTGCGAGGATGACGCCCGCGGCTGCACGGGAGATTGTTGTTGGTCGGCCATGGTGAGTGAGTGGCCAGTTAGGAGTGGTGAAAATTGCGATAGTGTGGTGACACGGCGGGGATGGGGGAACAAGGAGTATCCCTGTTGATTTTTTGGGCAGATAAATGTGGTTTGTGTGGTTTTTGTGTTGTGGTTGACGGGGAGTATGAAGATGGAGTCGGGCGTGATGCCAAAGAGCGGAGAATTGCTGCTTTCGGACCGGATGCTCGATTAGAGTAGACTGTGACTACATAGTACGTATTCACTCGATTAGCGCCTGAATCAATTCGCTGTAATTATGATAATTACATGCCATTCTGATCATTCAGATGATGTAGATATTTTTACAATAGTAAATAAAGAAATCAACGCTCCTGAACCAAATTCAAGCAAACAGCTAATAAACGCACGAACCCCTAAACACATACCCAATTAACCTATACCCTACTGTCCCATATGCATGCCCGAGTTAAGTTGATCCTGATGTTGATGGTGTTGAGGTTGCCCAAATGACTCCCCATGCACCTCCTGACCCAGAGTCTGCATGAGATTCTGTTCGGCGGTCTGGTCAAACTGGTTGTCATGATGGCTTGGAGGAAGAGGAGACGCAGACATCGTCGATTCGTGGCCATGGCTCATGGCAACAGGTTGGGAGTGTGCGCCTGCGAGGGCCATCATTCCCTTGATTCCTTCGACGTGCGCTTTGTCCTCTTCGCCCTGCTTCTTTTGTCGCTCCCGTGCTTCGCGCTTGGCTGCCTGAGCGGGTGCGCGAGTCTTCAGCTCACCAGTCACGAACTTGAGGTAGTACGGCACTTCGATACCGCTCTTCAGGAAGAACAGTTTGAGGTTACGGGCTTTGTCCTTGAGTTGGACCTGGTTGCGGTCTTTCAGCGCTTCGCTGATAGTACCTCCAGGCCCGAACATGGCAAGAATCTGGCTCCAGTGTGGTCCCTTTACCCGATCTAGACCAGCCATCAGGGCATTCTCTTCCTCAGTCGTCCATGGCCGCCGTTGGCTTGGCAAGCCAGATTTGCGGCTGCTTGGTGATGACTTTGCCGATGCGGCCATGCGAGCACGCTCGTACAGTACCTGCGTAGGTTGGGATTGAGAGTAGTGAGGGATCCCAGGCATGTAGCCATGATTAGCAGGCGCGCCAGGACCAGGGGTTGGCCGGCCGGGCATGGGTGCACCGTGGTTGTAGTGCTGAAAATTGGCTTGAAGAGGGCTTTGTTGGAAAGTCAGTTGCCCTGGGGGTTGCTGCTGCTGCTGCTGCTGTTGTGGCTGGTATCCCTGCGGAGCTGGACTCTGTGAATAGGTATGCTGAGGTGGCGGCATAGAATAATTAGGAGGTTGCTGCTGAGGCTGGCTCTGCTGTGGCGGGTGATATGGCTGGGGTTGTTGGCCCGGCTGTGGGGGTTGTGGCTGTGGTGGTGCTTGCGGTTGCGCTGGTGGTTGTGGCGGTTGCTGCTGTTGCTGCTGGGACTGTTGTTGGGAGCGTCTCAGTCCATGACCTTGCAAAGCGATCTGGGCCGCACGAGCGGCACGAGCAACAAGGTCACCATGCATGTTCTTGTCGACAGGAACGTCTGGCGGCTGTGGAGCAACAGAAAACTGGCTCTGAAGAGGAGCACCCTGGTTCTCTTGTGCGTCTCCGCTCGACTGGGACGGCTGTCGTCCCTTGGTTGCTTTTTTAGTCTGTGTCTGAGAATTAGAACGAACCATGTAAACAGTCACGGCGATGAAGGTAATACAAACCTGCTGGTGGCTTATGGAATCAAAGTTCTTGGTAACATAAGAGCTCAAGTCCCGTAGGAAATCCTCCCAGTGATACTTGTCCGGTAAAGCTTTGAGCGCTTCTTCATTGTTGATATCGGCAAGAAGGATATCACGACGAGATGCTGCCCGCTTCGCAAAGTCCGCTTCGCTTGGAGCCAATGTGCGACTCGCAGTGTGTCTCTGCATCAGACGCTGCTCGAGGTCTTCGGGAAACAAATCAAATAGGATTTCAGTTCTTGTTCTTTCATTACTGTTCATTGAGGCAATGAACGCCTGGGTCTTGAGTTCAAGGAACAACGCGCCTTGGACCTTAAGCAGGCGGCCACCTTCTGGAACAAAAACTTCAATGAAGTTTTCATTCAACTCGGAAAAGCCAATCTCCTGGGTGCCGAAGATACTCGACACGAACGAGGCCAAGTTCGCTTTTCGAATGACGTCGACTTGGGCGGGCTCTGTAAGTTCAAGGTCGATAGGCGAAAGGAAGGACTTCTTGGTCGAGTAAACCTTCTTTGTGTGGTCAAACAGGGAACGCATGGTCGCATAGGCTTGTCCATTCTCGGATTCGGGTTCGGAAACGAGGGAGGTAATGTCTTGATAGGAAGACTTGGCAAGCAGAGATAGGATTTGCGTGGACTGAAACAGAGTCGCGTAAGCATTCGGTGATGGGAATAGATTTTAGATTACATGGCCTTACCAAATTGTCCAGGATAGGGAGACTCTGGATCTTGAGGTGAGAGTTTGCCTTGACAAACACCACGCCCTTGGGAGCCTCCTGGTTCGACATGTCCTCGCCCAGCTGCTGCTCTCCCATTGCACACTGTTCTTCGACCCGTTCGGCATGATTCATGATGCTTGAAATCACTGTAGCCATATCCGAATCAATGTCAGTGCCCGTACCAGGAGCTGTGGCGCTCTCTGCAGAGTTCTCACTCTGGCTGGGGCCATTCTCGGCCGGACGTTCATTCGGGTCAACCATGCCCGCACCCAACGCCGAGGCTAACTCCTCCTCAATTTGATTCCCTGCTGTGTCGTGTGGCAGTCGAGTTGGTTGTGTTGAAAATGGCGTCTCGTCATCTTCAGGTTCGATCTTGCGCTTCTTCGACGCGCGAGGGGAGATTGATCCGTGTTCATCGTTTTCGAGGGGGTGGGGTTGTTTCAAGTCGGCTACACGCGTAGAAAGGTGCGTAGAAAACGTCAGTAACTATATCAGGATCGATACACACAATTGATATCCTCTATCTAGTTGAATTCTCCGTTCGAAGTAGATCTGGGCGTGGCTAGGGGGCAGCGACAGGACACGACTCACATTTGTCATCAACGGGGGCAGAAGGCGATGGAGGCACATCGGAAGGGTCTTGACCATCAATAGATGGCCTTGCACCTCGAGTATTCACCATTGTAGGCGAATCAAGATGGAAAGAGTTGGGATCTTGCCTTCCAAGAGCAGAAATGAGGGCTTAGGGGTAGGGCGGGAGCGTAGGGCTTTTTTAGGGGAAAGGAGAGAAGTTGAAGCGCGTTGCGGAGAAGGTGGAAGAATTTTCGCCGGCGGTCGGAAAATGCCGGAATCGGTCACCACTCTATACACAGCAATGCTCTGAATAATTCTGCATTGACTCTACTCTTCCTTTACAATATGGAGGAGTAATAATTTAGAATGCAATTGTATTGAATTTTTGCCCTGCACCGAGTAGTAGGCGAGTCAGTGTTATGTTTGAATGGTCCCTTGCTGCCTGAGGCAGTATTTGGGGATATGTTTTCCGACGTCATTTTCCACTATCATGCCAGTACGGTCCTCTATGCAGTACCTTTTTGGTACGACATGTTCTGGATTTCTCTGATTTATAGGTGCTCATATAACCATCACAATTGCAGCCCAATGGCAACCTTTTCTTAGCAAGTGCCAGATGGTTGCACTGCTTATTTCATGCGTCATAGATTACCTTGCCTTGTACACTCGCCATTGCAACAGTTTGACGTGCTCTATCTGCTTGTACCTTTAAGAAACCCATGGATAATGTCGGAGAAGAAGAGGAGAGGGAAAGCTTCAGATAACGGAATTGAACGACAATTTATTACTCTTCATATGAAAAGTCTACATCCCTCCATTGATGCTAATACAACTGCCCCAGGAATAGCTGAACCGACCATCAAAAGCATACAGACACGAATATGTCTGTTTTTATTCATAGCATGCAGGCCACTGATACACTGGTACTCGTGTCGTCACATCAACCATGTTTGTCCAAAACCTAATGATGCCGCAAGAGCCTAGACGTCTGGGACACACCTGGAAACATGGCCGTTTTCAGTGACTTTTAAGGTTGGCCCCGGAGCTCACGGTTTGGCGGCTCTCGGGTATATATTGGCACCATGTCTTGCGCGACTCGCCCTTGTGCCTCGTCCAAGTGGCTGTCCAGCCTATGCAAGCTCCTTTCAGGGCAATCCTTGTCTTTCAATTGCAATCTTGGCGCTGGAGTACGTCAATAATTGAAACACAATTGTTGGGCTCAATATGTTTCCTGTTAAGTGTTGGTCTTTGGCTCTTGCCGTGACATTGCAAGCAGCTACTTCGGTCTCCGCCCAAGGATTGTCCGAGAAAGTCTGGGCAGTCTTCGCATACACTCTTCATGGGGACAGTGTTCCAACAGCCCTCCCCCGTCCACAGACTTTGAGCCCGTACGGTGCCAACGAGCTCTACACAGCAGGTTCTTCCTTCCGAGACCGATATGTTGCTGTGCATTTCGACGATTCTGCTGAGAAACTAAGGATCCAGAATTTGTCTCCATACGTGCTAGACTCAGAGGAAGTGATTGTTCTTTCAAGCACCGAACAATCGGATGTGGGCTCTGCCCAAGCTTTTATGCAGGGGCTCTATCCTCCTCTGAAACGGGCTGGCAACTTGATGTATTCCGACTCGTCATCTGTGTTAGCCAATGGCTCCATAATTACCGCACCCTTTGAAGGGTACCAGTACCCGCAAATCCTAGCCCCCAGCTCGGACGACCCTCAGTCACTTGTGGTAGCCGGGCATGATCAATGCCGGGGACACGAAGTCGCGAGTTCCGAATATCAATCTAGCAACGAGTTCCAGCAAATCACACAAGAAACGGAGGCGTTTTACATCGGCCTTTACGACCAAGCATTGTCCGGTGTCTACTACCGCTCTTCTGTCACGTACAAGAATGCCTGCGACATCGCGGAGTACTTGGAATACGAATTGATACACAACGGAACTTTGATGCACGTATTGAGTATGGAAGACATCAAACATGCACGTTTGCTGGCCGACCAATACCTCTGGGCGACAAATGGAAGGAGGTATACTTGGAATCCCCTGTTGTCTAGTTTCACTGATGGTGCTATTCACACCATTGCCGGACGAACTCTAGCGTCACGTATTTTGGAAGCCTTTGGAACTAATGTCCAATATCGGGGAACCAACGAGAAAATGACACTTGCATTTGGCGGTCCTGAGCCTGCCATAGCTCTCGCATCGCTTACAAAACTTTCGTCTAGGTATGATGGTTTCTATCCACGCCCGTCACTTGGTGGTTCGATGGTATTCGAGCTCTATAGTCGGGAAACCGAAGACAACCCGACCTATCCAGATCCTTCCGAGCTTTACGTTCGGTTCGTGCTCCACAATGGAACCGATACTTCCACCAGATTCACTACATATCCTCTCTTCGGATATGGACCCAGCAATATCGAGATGCCGTACAGTGAATTTCAAGCGGAAATGGAACAGATTGCCACCCGATCAACTCGGGAGTGGTGCCATGAGTGTGGTTCGTCAGCCGTGTTCTGCTCTGGTGTCCTGAGCAGGAACAGAGAACCGACAAACAATGACGACTCTATGGATCCAGTAGTTGCTGGTGTCATAGGGGCAGTGGTGACTATTGTCATCTTTGCTTCGATTGGTAGCGTTTTCGGTCTGCTTACTGCCCTCCGGAATCGCAAATTACGCCAAGGGAACCAGGGAGGGTTTAAAGGAGATCGGAAGATGGCAGGCGATGCCGATATTACGTTCAAAAACCCTTCATGGGGCGATGCCTATACAGCTGGAAAGCAGAAGTCGGGCGACGATATGAGCGGGGCGGTCGTGGTTAGAGGGCAAGAACGTTCGGGCAGTTGGGAGATGACAGAGCCTAAGGAGCGTAACGGAAATAGTCCTACGGTGACTGGAGAATCTATGCGCTCGCCTTTCGATGACGACAATGAAAATGACGAGGAGTATCTTGTTCACAGTGCTGTTGAGCCGGCTAAAGTGCGCGAAGCCGTTTAGTATAGCTCGAACTAGATACGTTGCCCTAGGTTTTTGACATTCTAATTGATTTGGTATTTGTATGCGATTTTTACTATTAGCCTTATTTCTCATATTGTAATAATATAATTTTTTTTAGGGGGGAAGTGGTATCAATCTCGGTATACCTCCTCAGTTCCTTCCATCACTTACGCTGAGCGCAGACGGTGCCTTCCCAATCCAGGTGGACCACAACAAACCTTCCACCTTTTCGTCCCATCTCCCACTTACTCCCTCCCGCTCCTTTCACTCCTCCGCTTCTTCAATTCTCTTTCTTCCGTTCCAGCTCGCAGTATTCCAATGCATTTTTGATGCTCTGACCCAGTACGTTTTTTTCACTTCCAGTTTCCTCGCCCAATGAAGTACGACATCCCGACCCTCCTGGCTCTCAGCCGGAACGCTCGCATAGATGTTGAGAAGTTCAGTTCCCAAGCAGCTAGCAGTGAGACTCTCCCCTGAGCGATTATAAGTCTCGCGGCAACTAATTCCTCTCCCTACGTACACAGACAACCTGATCCGCCGGCGCAAAGCGAGCTCGAATGTCTTGACTGAAATCTCGGTCAACCATTCGAGAGACGCATCCAACCACTCCTTGCAGTTTGAGAAACCTCGCACAGGTTCGGGTACCCAGCTAAGACGCCCTTCTCGCCAACCTCACGATCCACCACAAGGAGTTATTACTCAGTCCGATCACGGTTTTACCCGGTTTCTGAAGGAGCACTCCTCCCCCAAGCACCAGCGCGTCACAGCCGGAGGTCGAATCGTACCGATGGATTCTCTCGGTCCTGCTCCAAAGATGCAACTGCCGGTGGACCAACAGGGCGTCTCGGCTACCCTGTTTCAGAACGAAGCGACAACCAAGGAGCCAGAGAAGAACCCTAACCCAACCACGGATCTAAATTCCAACGTCAGCAACTCTTCGACACTATTCTCAATTTCTGGAGGCATTTTCCCAGAGCATACAAAGTTATTCAGTGGAAGTGGCACTTTGGCTTCGCAGTTTCAGCTTCCGGGTCTTTTTCCAAGCATAACGCCGGGCCCTGTCACGCCTGCAATGCTCCTACAGCCCAATATGTCTTTGCCGTCGGGCGGACAGCATTTTGTTCATCCAGAGAACCAGTCTTCAGACTGTTTCTCTCTCTTTCCAAACTGCAGTCCATATGGGTTGGGAGCAGAGCAGACCAGTTGGTTTCCGAGTGCAAACCAAGGCTTGAACTATCATGGCTCCTCCATTCCCTTCATGCCAGCGGCAAGTCAGCCTAACTCGTCAAACTCGGGGTCTTCATCGGAATTCTCAACAGGCAGTGGCCTTAGCAACGCTACTACTGCGTTCAGTACAATCTCGACTGGTCTCGATCCTTTTTACCAGACCACTGGATTGTTCTTTGGGCCACCATTTGCTGCACCTCAGACATCAGCATTTAAGCAGCCTTTAAATGTCCCCAACGTCGCCCCAGGAGTACCACATGGAAAATCGTTGCAAGAGGCCACCAAAGAGCATGTATCTCTTTCCGCAGAGCTTTCTCGTCTCGACAGATACATGGCCATGCACACTTGGGATCTGGACCCTAACCAGAAGCAACTGTTGGTTGAACAGCGCATTAAGCTGGTTCGGGACCTGGATGCTGTGCGGACGTACAAGGAGCAACTGGAGTCAATATATGGGCCGATGAAGTCGAGCATGGCAAAGGCACCACATGTATCCCCGTCTGACGCACGAATTCACTCCAGTCGTTGTAATTCGGGAAATGTTGCAAATGGTAGCACTGCATTACCGAATCGTGCTTCCGGTCCTACCGGCCACCCTGTTCCGTCAACACAAGGAGCTACCAAGTCTAGAAACACATCCTCGACAGTCCCATCGGTTGACCAACAATCCAGACCAGCATCCCAACGACAAAAGAAGGAGAACAAGAATTCGCTCGAAGTCAAGAAGCGTACTTCGACAAAGAAAGATTCCTCGTACGAAGCCAAACTGCAGAGTCGCCCTAAGGGAGCGAGTATCAATCAGAAATTCGGGCAGCAGGAGACACAGACCAAGCCAGCCTATCAAAACGACGTGCCTACACTCCTTGGCAATACTGATGGATGGACTACACCTACTAGATCAGCACCCCCGGAGATTCGCACGGTCTATCGCAAAATCGAGGAAGCCACCAAGCGCGGTGCCCCATTGGACGGATTGCTCCAAGAACTTGCTGCAGTCACCGCGCACCTTGTGAAAAAAGCCAGCGAAGAGAGCGACGGATCGCCTCGCCCGAAGCTGAAGAGGATGCAAAGAGAAAGTTCACAGGGCCAGACCGAAGGTGAAGCAGACACAGCAAGAGTCTTCCCTCAAGCTACCGGGGGAGGTGAACGACCAACAAGACTTGCGGCAAGGAGACAATGGGCATCGGAGGAACAGCCTCGGGCATCTGCGAAGGTTATAATCACATACGAGACGGAAGACGATGGGGCATCATGGTCGTCCTATTCCACGACTGATTCATGGGCTACCATGCAAGAAGGAGAGTGAGTTGATCCCCCTATTTGGAGCTCACCCTCGACTCCGTGGAAAACTACTAACGGATACAGTAAACGATGGGTCGAGAGACAATTACTAGGAGATAGGAGCCGTGAAACTAGGTGAGACATTCCTCCGCCTCTTCCTCGATATTGGACGCTAATTCCTCGCAGCAAAGGCCAAGATGCATCGAAAAGCGCCGCGAAGACTGGAGGCCAAGTGCAGAAAAAGCTCGATACTCTTGGATGGATCCAGAGTACAAGCCCCGATCGCATGGTTCCACAGCAACTTCGCCAGTCTAGCAACTCTAGTTCTGGTAACAGCAAAGCACCGAGTCACACAGAGAGCACGAAACAGAATCACCATCCGTTTCTGAAGCAGTATTTTAGCAAAGACTGTGAAGGCTTAGTCCCACAGAAGTCGGCTGCCCTGGCAACATCTCAGAATGTGAATGCCCACGCTTGTCTTCCTCAATTCGACGGTGCGGAAGACACACCGAGTGTTTTGACCTTGGGTCCGTGTTCCACGGTGCTCCGACAGTCATTCCAGCGTATCAGCGAAAACGACAGATGATCCATCCGTATCGACCTTCAACTTTATGGCAGAATTACTAGTGGCGACTTTTCCTTCGAGTTTGTGTTCTGGTACAAAAGAAGGAAGGCTCAGGACAGGCTGGTGATTGGTGTTCCCATGGTTATGAATATATCGTTGTTCGGTATTGCGCAAGAGTGTTAGTTATTACCTAGTAGCCAGTCAAGTGCTGGTTACTGGATCTGTTACATATTGTGTTTAGTGTTGAGTAGTGTTTGCAATGATATAGTTATTATCTTTTCTATCATAATCTAAGTTGTGCGGTGCCCAGTAGCAATCAGCAATCAATATTCACCAGAATAAAATCCCGTACGCCTAGACTAGTATGTGGCCGAGTGAAGGTGTACCTTCTGTGGCTTTGCGAAAATCCTGATAACAAGTCCGCATGATGGCAACAGCTGTTGGGGGATATCTGAGGATATCAAGAATGCAAGAAACAAAACCGTCTCAATGTGCACTAGCTAAGCAGCTGACCGAAACGAAGAAGCACACCCAGCTTCTCGGTGTTAAAAGAACGGATGGATCTGATATGAAACAAGCCTTTCGACACAGAATGACATCCCTACATATCGGAGCCATTATCCGATAAGCCAAGAAGCCCCGCCTAGATTATAGGGTTATATACAAATTAGGGAACTAGCTCCTCTCACGGAACGGGAATTGCTCGTTGCGATAGAAGCGACTGCTTCTGATTATGGAGCCCCACTTGCGTTATTCCATTTACTGACTCTAATTCTAGGTAGCTGTTCATAAATTATATTCCTGGAAATAACCCTTCTGTGTGTATGGAGCTGAATGATACGTGCTCCGATCTATCGGTGCTTGGTGGTCAAGAAGTAACACTCGGTCATACGAATAGTCTCTCTTTCTCAGGGACACACCCGTCGTCTGCCCTTCTCTGTGTATTGAGCAAATCGATACGTATTCGGATTAACCCGCGCTTGGTTATCAAGAAGCGACAGTAGATCATACGGGTATAGTCTCTGTTTTGACAGTATCTTGAGGAAGGCTTACATATAGGTGGGTTATTTACTTGCATCAATAAAGCGTGCTACCAGAAAAGAGAAGGGGCGAGTGTGCGCGCCTAGCGTATTCTTTACGTAGATGACGAGGTCATGCAGTACGCAACGTCCAGTCTTCCTTCCCTGGTTTCTTTGCTATGCTAACGAAATACTAGTTGCGACAGCCACTAAATGACTGGTTCTGGGAATACGCATCTATGGCTCCTGATTTGGTTGGAATTCCGCATTTGTCTGGCTGTAAAATGCGCAATGAATTATACTCCGCTACAGCTTCAAGGGAGCCCTCACAGCTTTACGTGTCTTCGGATGTAGATGTGTCCGTCTGGTTTTGCCCCATGAGCAAAAGTTTAGTCGAACATGTTTGAACGCAGCGAGTTTGGCACATTTTGTTTTGTTTTGTTTTGTTTTTTTTTTTTTTTTTTTTTTTTTTTTCAGGGATCCTTTACCGTCGCTGCATAGATTATTTTTCGCCGGAATCCTGGATCAGTTAAATGGAACCCGGAAAGCAAGTGGATGAAGTGAAAGCAATCATCCGCCTTTACAAAGAGCGAGTGTTGTAGAGAATATCTGTCCCCTTGAACCCCATAATAATACAAGGCGGGGTGATAGTTCATATGGAGTCTATAAACTATGCCGAGCCATACTGGATTGACCGAAGGCAGCGGCAAGGGCAAGGCGTGCCTGAGCCCCCGTAGGCACACCCATGGCTCCGCGAAAGACAAAATCCGGGGTGGAGGGGCGATGGCGACGCCTCCGAGAATTGATCAATCATATATCATGATATCTGTTCATCCTCCTTGTCTTTTCTGGTAGTATTCTCGCAGCATTTTGGATCTCTCCAAAGCCGCTGACTAAGCTCTCCGCGCCTCCACCCGGGCTCCAACTTCGCCATTCCGATTGTTCTGGCTTTCTGAATTCTTTCATCGTTGTGTTGTGTCTTCTGCTTTATATATCACTCCATACTCTGTGTTTCGCTCTCCACTGCAATAACAATAACAGTCACCATATATCCATGAGCACACTCTCTGTGCGCTTGTCCGGCCTCTCTCCCTCTTCAGTCGGCCGTCCCCGCGCTTTTCGGTCTGTTCGCGGCCTCCACAGCGACTGATCGATATTGATTGTTGGATCGATCCATTAGCGATAATAACACTCTTGATTGATATCTCTACCTTTTCCCTCCCTCTCTCTTTCTCAGTCTCTTCCCCTTTCTCATCCTCATCTTCTGTTTCTCCCCCGCCAGTTCTCTGCATCCGTTCGTTCATTCCTCGGTCCCTCCCCCTTGATTTAACCGGCCCTTGAACTTGTTCTTAGCCGGTTTCCTTAGTTACATATTATCTCTCATCTATCCTTTTTGCTCTGCCTTCTTTCTTTTTTTTCTTTTTTTTTTTTTTTTTTTTTTTTTTTTTTTTTTTTTTTTTTTTTTTTTTTTTTTTTTTGTTTTTGCGATATTTGCGGCGCCAGTAATCTTACCAGCCAAACACACCTTCATCCCTGTTGCTTCGGTCCGGAACTTGAGAACGTCCCTACTTCCGTTTCCCGAACATGACGCAGCTTTTCGCTTCCGGTGCTTCGTCCACCGTGTCCAACGAGAAACGCGGGAACTTCCCTAGCTTGTCTCTACCAAAGAGCAAGCATTCCAACGACCCGAGTCATTTCCCTAACAAGATCAAGAACTTTTTCCGCATCAACACTTCCGGTGGCAATTCGTCGCCGTCCGGCCAGACCACGAACAACGATCGGGATCGCGATCACCTCTCCCCCGCCGTCAAGCCCGAATCAAAATCTACTTTTAGACAGTCACGCTTCTTACCCACCATTGGTCGCAACCGGTCGACCACTGTCGCCAGTGAGGGGAATCCTCTCGACGAAGGCGTTTCTCCTACGGCTACTGCAAACCCCTACTTCGTCCACCAAGGGCAACCATCCCTGCAACATCGCAACGAAGGATCCGTTCCTTCGTCACCTCCGGATACTCCCGAATTGCAAGTAGATGGTGTGTCTGCTGAAGAGCAAGCAACGACAACGAACAAGGTGGAATTGGCCCGGAAACTTCGTCGCGTGGCCTCGGCCCCCAATGCACAAGGCCTGTTCGTCAGCGGCCAGGCCGACAACCGTCCGCAAACGGCCGAGCACGAAAAAGAACCTGTGCCCCAGCTGTCCAGTAGCGCTGTGGGTTCGCAGGTTAGCTTGACAGATGTTTCCGAGACTCAGGACTCGAGTCTCTCTGTGCCTGACCTTGGGCCGGATGGCAAGGTCCCGAGTCCCGGTCAGATTCGCAATTCGGTTGCCTTCCGTCGTACATACAGTTCAAACTCGATCAAGATCCGCAATGTCGAGGTCGGCCCTAGCAGCTTCGATAAGGTAAAGCTGATTGGTAAGGGTGACGTGGGCAAGGTGTATCTGGTTCGTGAGAAGAGGACCACCCGTCTTTATGCCATGAAGGGTGAGTAGTCCCACAGCTTTGACTTCAGGTTTCGCAAGATTCGGTCTGCTGACAGCTCCTAGTTTTGAGCAAGAAGGAAATGATCAAGCGTAATAAGATCAAGCGCGCTCTCGCTGAACAAGAAATCCTTGCGACTAGCAACCATCCGTTCATTGTTACACTTTACCATTCGTTCCAGTCGGAGGACTACCTCTACCTCTGTATGGAGTATTGCAGCGGCGGCGAGTTCTTCAGGGCCCTACAAACACGTCCTGGGAAATCTATCTCCGAAGATGCAGCGCGGTTTTATGCGGCAGAGGTGACTGCCGCTTTGGAGTACCTTCATCTTATGGGTTTCATTTACCGTGATCTGAAACCAGAGAGTATGTTCTGCATCTCTTTTATGGGCGATATTCATGCTGACTCGCGCTAGACATTCTTCTCCATCAATCTGGTCACATCATGCTTTCGGACTTTGACTTGTCGAAACAGTCTGGCCCTGGTGGCGCACCTACAATGATACCCGGTCGAAATGGTAACTCGATAACCTCGTTACCCACCATCGACACCAAGTCTTGCATTGCGGATTTCCGAACAAACTCGTTTGTCGGTACGGAAGAGTACATTGCCCCCGAGGTTATCAAGGGCTGTGGCCACACCAGCGCTGTCGACTGGTGGACTCTGGGCATCTTGATTTTTGAGATGTTGTATGGGACAACGCCGTTCAAGGGAAAAAATCGCAATGCCACTTTCGCCAACATTTTGCGGGATGAAGTTCAATTCCCAGAGCATACGGGAGCACAACAGATCTCCAAGTAAGTTACATTGCCTTTCTCTGTGAAACGAGGCATAAAGGCTGACGGATGTACCTCTAGCCTCTGCAAGTCCATAATCCGTAAATTGCTGATCAAAGACGAGACCAAACGTCTTGGAGCTCGGGCCGGGGCCTCGGATGTCAAGACCCATCCGTTCTTCCGCCAGACTCAATGGGCTCTTATTCGCCATATGAAGCCGCCCATGGTCCCCAACCAAGGTCGTGGTGCTGACACCGTCAACTTCCGCAACGTCAAGGAAAGTGCTAGTATGGAAATCGGTGGCCCCAGTGCTCCCTCGAAGATGAAGGGTGTCCCGATGGATTCGGGACTGGCCACGCCGAACGGGGAAGTTGCTGACCCGTTTGAAGAGTTCAACAGCGTGACTCTTCATCACGATGGGGATCCATGAGCCCGCTTCATAACAAGTTTGACGATCAAGTTTCGATGCTACCTCAAAACGTTTTATGGTTCATCAACTGGCCACCCACCTCGTCTTGCCTTGGTGCTTTTACGACTACGATGCATGAAAGATCTGTAATCGGTATATCTTTTATTACATATTATTGTTGCCGGAGTTTGGTGTGTTTTTAGAGCGTTTTCTTTCTTTCCTACTTTCTTTCAATCATCCAGAGCATGTCCCATGCCGTTCATGCTGTTGCTGTGCCATAATCGGGATTCTCGGGATTATCTCTTGTCATTAGGAAGTTAGGTGGCACCTCTTCCTATGCTTTCTTTCGATCTCTTGCAAGGAAGGCGTTATGTTTGCGATCTGGCTTGTCTTGTATTTTTCTCACCGGCGGGTGGGCTATTTGTTCTCATTTTTGGTCCCAGAATATGGGGGATGCGATATGAACAGTCCGTATAATTTTGATCTTGCTATATCTGTTTGTGCAGTTTAGATGATGCTATTATTGAATAGAATTGTATTAGTTCTATATACGTTGTGAAAAGTAATCGTAGTTGAATGTGCCAATGTCTAAGTCGCGATGTCAAAGATCCGCGATCTCCAATTCCGCACCAACAAACTTACCACCATACACCCAGGTTACCTACAACTATCCAGTCTACCCTACCTAATTCTTCCAAATAAAACACCATGGACGATTCCGAAATCCCAAGCACCCCCCTTAACCCCACCACCGAAAGCCCCTCAAACCCCCTCCTCCGCGCCTCCAACCCCCTCGTCACCGATCTCGAACAAGAAGTCCTCGACGAATACTCCCGTCTCTTAGGGAACGTCAACAAAGTGCCCCTCCCCCTTTCCCCTCCTTTCTATAGAAACACAAGCTAATGATTGTGTGGAAATAGTTATCGGATAAATTATCAGACCTCGCCGGCTCTCCCTCCTCATTGACTCTCGACGGCCTACGTCTCCTCGAACGCAAAACCGCGACAGTATGCACGTTGCTCAAAGCGAGTGTTTACAGTATTGTCCTCCAGCAGCAGATTTTTAATGAGAGTGAGGAGCAACAACAACAAGCGCAGCAGCAGGAGGAGCAACAACAGCAGCAGGAGATGGAAGGAGAGGGATTTGGGGGAGGGGGTGAGGAGGAAAGTCAATATGGGTATGGATTTCAGTATGGGGGGCAGGGGCAGTATGGTTATGAGGGGGAAAGTTTTGGGGGGTGATTTGGTTCAGAGTTGATGATATGAGATTATGTTATGGTATGGTTATGATATTGCATGGTTGGGTTGGGTTGGTAAATATATGGATTGGCGTATGGTTCGAATTTTACTAAGGAACAGAGTATCCAAATTGCATACAAGTACATGTCAAGAAAAGCGGATTATTTTATATACACCGAACAGAACAGAAACAGAAACAGCACAACATTGTCCATACTCGTACAGCCTTATCTTCTATGCGTGACAATGAATAACAAGATAGACAGGAGATATCATCGTATCCTTTTTCTTTTATGGAATTCTTCAATTCGTAATCCTCCCCGAGTAATACACCTTACGCACATCGACGAGCTTCTTGCCTCGTGCGCGGGCAATGTCTTCGGGATTGCGCTGGCTCATGAGGGCTTCGTAGGCGGCTTTGACTGTGTTCATGGGGTTTCGGGAGCGTTCAACGCGGGCGGCGAGGTCGTGGATGCCGGCGGCGCGGCACATTTCGAAGATTAGGTGTTGGCAGCGGAGACCAAAGCCTAAATTTATTAGTTTGACGACTTACGAAATTGGAACGAAAGAAAACATACCAGGTGCACGGTTCATCAACTTGAGCTCGACAGCTCCCACCTTACCCGCGACATCACCAAAGATAGTACGGTTCTCGTACCGCAAGATGGGCTGCATGTTTCTGATCGCACGGTACTTGGACTGCAATGCAGCATCGGGGGCTTCCTCAGACTTGGCTTCTCCGATACCCAACAGACCATCTCCGTTACCAGCAATGGACAAGCAGTACTGTCTCCGGACCTTACCCAGACGAGTCTGGTTGACAACCGAGTGGGCGACAAGGGTCTTGGTCCTCAACGACCTGATCTCCATCGCATCAAACCCAGTATCCTGCAAGAGCCTCTTAAGAGCATCCGTCATCTCCTCAGACTCCTTGCCCTTCTCCTCCGTCTCCTTCATCTCCTGCTGCTGCTTCTGTCCACTCAAATTCTCGCCCGGGCCGAACAGATCCGGAACCATCGCGCTGTGCGGATTCAACTCAGCCTCTTCCTTGCCCTTGGTCACCCGCAGCGTTTCCACGAATCGTACCCAGTCGCTCACAGATCCGTTCTCCGGCATCTCAGTGAAGAAACGACCAAAGTCAGCCGCGAAGTCCTCCTCCGTCTTCAATTGCGGGTTGTACTCCGAGTTGGATTCGGGTGCCCGCACGTGCTTGTCGACACCGGGCTCAATAACCGAGAAGTCGTCCACGTAGAGCAATTTCATGGGATCCCGACGCACGCCAAATTGATCTGCCATGTCGCTGGGGTCGATGGATGCCTCGCCAGCCTCAATGGCAGCGATCTGCTCAGGTGTGTACACCTTTGCCAGATGTGCCTTTTGCTCTGCTGTGTAAGGCTGGAAATTCTCTGGTTTCAGGGTCCGTACAATCTGCTCGAGTGTTTTCTTTTCCTCCTCCGGCTGGACATTGGGGTCAATTGTCACCGCGCCGGCTTCACTGGCAGCCGTCTGCTTGGGTGCTTGCTGTTGCGGTGTGTTTGACTTCTGATCCCGTTGAATTTCTTCGGGGGTTTTTATGTCTTCCGGCTTAGCATTGGGGAGGCCTGGCTTGCGGTCGTTCAGGTATGTCGGCGTGGGGTGGAATTGGCGACGAAGCACACGAGGGCCTACTGCGGAGGCTCCGCGAGAAAAGCTGCAGAATAGACATCTGGCCGGGCGAGAGAGACTCATAATTACCGGAAGGAGGTCCCTGGCCAGCAGAGGCCGAGAATAGAATTGTATAGGTAGGACTTAAAGTGGTAATAATAGAAGAGAGATGCAGTTGGCGGGAGGTGAAGATCGAGCGGAAGGGAGAAATTCTCACTTCCGCCCCGTCGGCCAATCCCCGCTCGTCTTTTTTGTTTTACATTTTGTCCGCGATTTTTCTCCAGACAAAACATCCCAATAATACAGACAGAGCTACATGTTTGGCTCGCGATCGCTCCGCCTGCAAAATTGGTCTCTGGTTTCGCGACACTGCGTCCGTTTCGCCTCTTCGAAAAACCGTTTCTTTTTCCCTAATCGTCCAATTCGCGATGCGCCAGTGCCTCCCGCTATAATGCAGCAGAACAACACTCCCAGACCGGCCAACGGCGATGCCAAGCGTCGGAGAAAGGCCAAGGATGAGGGCAGCGGCAAGCCTAATGGATTCGACGATGTTATGCAGATTGACATCGACCGGTTGATCCGCCAGAATCAGCAAGAAGCCAACGGCGAGACCCAGCCCGAGCAAGTTGTGCTCCCAGAACGGTTTAGCGAGATCGAAGTGGATATCTCCGAGTTGTCATCAACGGGTGATGGTTTGGGCTTGTCGCAAGACGGGAGACATGTCTATGTGGTTCCGTTCACTGTGCCGGGAGATAAGGCTTTGGTGAAGGTTGTGCGGCATCATCCACCTTTGAACTATAGCATGACGGACTTCGTCAAGGTGCTGAGCCCTGGACCGCAGCGAAACGATGCAGGGATTGGATGTAAATACTTTGGTCAGTGTTCAGGGTGTCAGTTGCAGATGCTGTCTTACGATGACCAATTGGCCCATAAGAAGCGCATCGTGGAGAAGGCCTACGCCAATTTCTCGGGGTTGATCCCGGAAATGATTCCAGCTGTTGACGAGACGTTCGGTTCTCCTTTGCAGTATGGGTACCGTACAAAGTTGACGCCGCATTTCCTGGCTCCCGGTGGCGGAAGAAGGAGGAGGGCTCCCCGTGACCAAGCAGAGCCAGTGGAGGTTCCACCCATTGGATATACGTTCAAGAACAGAAAAATGGACATGGATATCGAGGATTGCCCGCTGGGTACCGATATTGTTCGACGTGGCCTTAAGACGGAACGCAAGCGCGTGGCGGACAATATCCAGAAATACACCAAGGGTGCTACACTCTTGATGCGCGAATCCACTACTCGAATCCCCAAAGACCGCGCTGATAACGCACCGGTGGAGGAGTACGTTGAAGCCCAGCTCGACGCAAAGGGCCGCACTGCAGAGTCTGGGGACGTCATCCGCGTCGGAAAAGAGAACTACATTCAAGAGAAGCGCTGCATTACAGACCACAACGCCACCTCGATCGAGTACATCGACGACTACATCTTCACCAACAAGGCCGGTGCCTTCTTCCAGAACAACAACTCTATCCTTTCCGGCTTTACCGAATACATCCGCCAACACGCCCTCCCTCCCAGCAACGACCAAGACCCCAAGCCCATCAAATACCTCCTGGACGCTTACTCCGGCTCTGGTCTCTTCACCATCACCCTCTCCCCATTATTCAAGTCGAGTCTCGGTGTTGACGTCGATCCCCACTCCATTGCCTCTGCCCGCGACAACGCCCGTGACAACAACCTTCCCAACACCGGCTTCGCCGCCAACGACGCAGCCACCCTCTTCAAGGACGTGCCCTACCCACCCGACCAAACTCTCCTCGTCATAGATCCTCCGCGGAAAGGATGTAGCGAGGATTTCCTCAAGCAACTTCTACAATTTGGACCCCGTCGTGTCGTTTACGTTAGTTGCAATGTGCACACGCAGGCACGTGACGTTGCTGTCATGGTTAATGGAGATGCGAACTTGAATATCCGGTATGATATTGAGAGTATTCGGGGATTCGATTTCTTCCCACAGACGGGACATGTTGAAGGTGTTGCTATTTTGAATAGGGCTCAGATTAACAAGGATGTTTGAAATTTGAAGAAAAGCAATTATTATTTTGGTTATTGGACGGCGTTACGGTTATGAAAAAGGGCATGGATTCCGGGATAGACGTGTATAGTGAACTCTTTTGAATCGTGATGATTTCGCAATTCCTCCTTATTCCTCTTCGGGACTTCTGGCTGCGTCCCGTAAACCGTTGTCCTCTTTTGCATCGTATGCATTGTTTGCTTCTTTGTCAAGGGTTGAGCCCTCGTGCCCTACGATCCTGTCAATATACATGCAAACATCGCTCTCCCACATATTGTCTATCCTTTCCTCTGTCAAGCTCTTCTCAAGGCTCTTCCTTACCACGCTCCTCGCTCCCGAAGCCATAACCAACATGGTCTTTTCAAACCTCTTCTTCACGGGCCGAAGCCTGGCCAAAGGACTCTGGCGCAGAACGTCCTCACTTTGTCGTCGTACACTCTCTGGTTTCAACTGGCTCAAGAAGAATTTTGCAGATCTGGTGAAGAAAGCATTGAAATTCCTCTCGCGTCCTGGTACGCATAAAATTACTCGTCCCTTTATAGCATATAAGATATTGATAGCAAGCAGAAGTCATAGGAGTTATTACCTTCGCCGTTGCTCTGGGAATCCTTTTTGGTCTTGGATTCGGAGTTTCTGGGATTGCTGCTGGTTTGTTTCTCCCTGCTTCTCAGTGTTAAGTTGCAAGTGGCTAACTATGAGCCACCATTCATAGGATCCGCCGCCGCTGCTTTTCAATCCGTTGCTTTCGGTGCGTTTACTCCTGCCGGTGGAATATTCGCTGGCTTGACGAGTATGGCGATGACAGGTCTGTACCCTGTGTTTGCCTTCGTTTTGGCTGGGGTCATTGCGATGGTCATGGCGGTTATTGCGAAAATTGTACAGAGACAGGCTCGGGCCTAGTGTACTGGAGGAAGTGTTATGTTGGATTTTACTTCTTAGAAAGAGAATTGGGCTTCAGAGACATTTCAAACCCGCAATCTTCATCATAGGGCCTCATTCTCTGTCGCCCATCATGTAATCCTCGTCCAACTTTTCATAGAGAGCGGACCGATGATAAAAAAACCTTCTTGTAAATAGTTCTGCATAACAAAACATACCGCACCCTCTTCGTCTTCGTATGCTTTGCCTTTCCTCCAGTCATTGTCACTCTTACATTCCAATGATACAATGCAAAATCAAAGATGAAGACCTTGAGGTTTCCTTCCAACTCTCTGCGCACAATAAAGCTTCTTGTTTTGACATCCTTATTTAGGATTCCCCGGTTGTAAAAGAGGTTGTGATCTGAACGGCATCTTCACATATAAATTGTCAAGTGTCTCTAGGGGAAGGCTGAGGAAGACCAGTCAAGTGGGAACCGTTGATGTTCTGCAATATGGTTACGGATAAGTAAATGTGCTCGATCAGTGATGCTTCTTGCATTGAATTTGAGCTTGAAATGGTGATGTATGCCAGGTAATAGGTGATGTCTTTTCCTGGTGACCTTCGAGGATTCGGTACGCCTCTATTTCGAAGTGATAAAAGCATTGCATGAGGTTATAGAGATTGGTTTCATTACGGGGCGCGGTGCATCCCTTTTGTTCTTCCTCCTCTTTCTCCTCTTCTTTTTCCTCCTCCACGTCATTCTCGTCATATTCGTCGCCATCCTCTTTGTCATAATCATCACCTTCACTGCTACTTCTCTTCTTTTTTTTTTTTTTTTTTTTTCTTCACTCTCTCATCATCTTGTTGGAAAGTCGAACGCTAGACTAGCTTTTGAGCGAGAATGTCATTTAAATGCATGTTTCGGCGGAGCATCAAGAGGAAGGCGAGAAGGTTATACTTGTAAGGAGTCTATCTAGCAAACATTTGGGTGGTTAGATGTATTCTATGCATATGTATACACGGCGACCCTATTCCCTCAAAAAATCAGCGAACAACTTCGCCTATAGCGCAGACTGACGATAGACAAAGTCTCCCTTCCCTTTCAAGTATCTCTAAATTACCTTCCCACGGCCCCCTTGATCTACATCTTGCTATGCTGTCAACGACTGCAGTATGAAAATGCCCGAGGAAAACTCCCTCTATATGGAAAGCCAATCCATCCGGGAACAAACTAGACAAGGAATCCCTGCATATTCCTCTCCACAGGATTTACCAACCCGTATATAGGGCTCAAATCCAGTGAGCCCGGTTCTCCTGCGCAAAGACATCGAAGGTCTTTGGAGGTCGACCCGTTACCTTCTCCACCTCATCGTTCAGATGAGCCTCGAATCCCATCGCGGCAGCCGCTTCAAGGTTGGTGAGTAGTCGCGCGTAATACGCCGACACCCCAGCAGTCACGAGACTTTGATAGCGATCCTCCCCGGAGAGACTGACATGCTGGATCTCCCGGCCGAGTGCTATGCTAAGCTTTTGCGCAATCCCGTCATAGGTTAAAAGCTCGGGGCCCAAGATCCGGTGGTCGCAGTTGTGGGGTTTGGCGTCTGTCAGGGCCCTGTAGGCCACAGCTGCAATGTCCGTGGCGCTGACGAAGGGGATTTTGCCCTCGCCGCAGGCTGTGAAGATCCTACTCAGGTCTTTGATCAGGCCGGAGGGGGCTTCTTCGGAGAGGTTTTCTGTTATGCGGTTAGTTTTGTGTACGCCCTGGGAGAAAGGAATATGCATACCCATAAACCAACTAGGCCGGAGAACTGCGTAATCAACCCCCGTGTCCATGAAGTGCTGCCAAACCATCCCCATGCCCGGCTTTCCAGGTTGAGACGAAGTTCCCGCCACAAGGACAAACCGACCAACACCCTGTTCCTGACGCGCGTAGTCGATAAACTCATTCATAGGCTTCCAGGGCTCTGCCACCAGCGGCTCCATCAGATAGATTGCCCTGACATCCTCCCCAGCCGCAGAGCGATACTTAAACGCCTCCTTCCACGACGCCTTGTCCATCCAGTCAAACCGGACAGCCGGCATACCAGCAGGCGCGGCTGACTGGCCTCGGCGAGAGGCCAAGAGGAACTGGTGATTATTGTTCTGAAGAAAGCGTGCAAGACGGACGGCGGTCTTGCCAGTACCACCAATGAGAAGGATAGTCATGTTGCTGGTTTGTTGGAAATGGGCGGATAATACTGAAGACAAGAAAGTGAGCCTTAATTTGTAGTATCAGTCTAACCTGGATGCGATAAGTTGTATACAAGGGCGAAGAGCCTCCATCATATACCAAAGGCTCGCAACCCTAGTCCGGAGATAACAGGGCGTTTAAGTCCGGGTACCATCGGGCGGCGACTAAAGTCCGTTTCTTTATTCGTTTATATCCGCGGCCCCGAAGCTTGGAGAAGTGGTATGCTGTATATTAGACATGCAGAAGACATGTTCTAGGCATACGGCGTGACTATTTCGGGAGATTGAGGGGTGCTGCATCGTGGCGCGTGCCTGCTGGTACTTGACTGCTTGCAAAAGCGAGAAGATTAGATTTTCGCGGACAAACACAATAAATTCCAATGTTCTAGATGCGGTTCATAGGGAAATTCAAACTTGGTAACCATTTCTCGTATGATGGTATTTTTATCGGAAAATGCAGTAAATTATGTGGAATGTAGATGACCTAACACATCAAGAAGACTTCTTCACCTACATATACCACAACATCTTGCCAAACAGAGGCAGCATCATATCCTAGCCACTAATAAAGTCCCATCAACTCACATTCAGATTCGGCTGGTCACTAATTAGCTCCTTGTCCGTCCGTCCACGGATGTACACGACAAAGGATAGTTGACTCGATTGCAATCTAGTTTTCACGCAAACGCTTAGTGACATTGCTTTGTTCTGCTTCTCGGTGCTGTTCCCGCCGTTCATCGCGCAGGACTTTGCGGTTTCCTAGGTCATTTTTATCAGACAAGGGACCGAAGCCGCTGTTTCCGCACTAGCTAGCATATGCGACTACGGGTCTTACGCTGACGTCTTATCTCGCGCTGGGCGTGCATTGTGCTCATCGTGGTGCTGTAGCGTGACATGATGCACTTGGGCTTTGGCTAGGGGCGGCTGGGTTTGGATCCTTGTTGGGTTATTCGTTTCGTTCTTGATGAAGGCCGTGGGGAGACCGAATGAAGATGATTATGTTGAGAGTAGTGGAACTGTGTGAGGATACCTACGTATTGGGTGCCTTGACTGCCTGTATTTACCCTGTTTACGGAGTTTCTCATTATGGATAAACTACAGATACACAGACCCAGGGATACACAGGGTCTACTAAATAACTTGAATCAACGTGCTCATTGTCCACTGCATGATACTGTTTCAATGTAGATCTATAGATGGTAGATCTAATGTTATTTAGTTCAGCATAAAACGTGTGTTCGGAACCCTAACTTAATTTCCGGATGTCCCGGCTTTCATCTTTAATCAACACCGGGGATAAACATATGCACCAACTTGGTCTCCGCCAGCTTCGTCGCCTAGAGGCCGAGATGTGCATGCATTTTGCACAATGAACGGGTTACGCGACGCCTATAACTTGCGCTTCTTCATTGCATAATGGTCTCTGTCTCGAAGCCTTTTTTCATTTGTAATCATCACGTCAGCACAATCCCAAATCTTTACACCAACCTCCAGCCACAATGGGTTTCTTCTATTCACAATTCTTCATAAAACCCGAGTATCCAACCCAATCGTTTGCCGGCCAAAGAGTCATCATCACCGGATCCAACGTTGGTCTCGGCCTCGAAGCCGCACGGCACATCGTCCGACTCCAAGCGGTCCAGGTAATCCTCGCAGTCCGGAACCTAGACGCCGGAGAAGCAGCGAAGCGATCAATTGAGCAAAGTACGGGCCGACCTGGCGTGTGTCAGGTTTGGCACTTGGATCTTGCATCCTTTGCTTCCGTGCAGAATTTCGCGGACCGCGTCGCCCGGTTGCCGCGAGTTGACTGTGTCGTGGCCAATGCTGCTATCGCGACGCCGAGCTTCAAAGTCGCTGAAGGCCATGAGCGGACTATTACCATTAATGTGATTAGTACTATGCTGTTGGCTGTGCTTATTCTCCCGAAGCTACGCGAGACAGCCAAGCACTACCCGGAGAGCACACCGCGACACACAGTCGTCGTGAGCGAGACTCACGCCTGGACCCCGTTTCCCGAGTGGAAGTCCAGCAACACGTTCCAAGCCCTCAAGGACATGGAAAATGCGGACATGGAGAATCGATACTCAACCTCGAAACTAATGGAAATCCTTCTCCTGCGGGAGATGGTTGTCCGGATGTCGGGCTCCGGGGTTATCATTAACATAGTAAACCCCGGACTGTGCCACTCGAAGCTGGCGCGCGAGATTGGCTGGGGGTTCTGGATGTTTAAGCGGCTCGTTGCTCGTTCCACAGAGGTCGGGAGTCGTACTTTGGTAGCCGGGGCTAGTGCTGGGCGTGATAGTCATGGGATGTACATGACCGATGGTCGGGTTTCGGATGAAGCCTTGTCGGACTTTGTGCACAGCTCGGAGGGTAAGCAGGCGCAGAAGAAGCTTTGGAGAGAAATTGCTGGGATATTGGAGGGTATTCATCCAGGTATCATGCAGAAGGTGTAGCCGATTTGGGAGACTTGCAGATTTTCTTATCTTACCTGTATCTAGTTGAGGCTGCATATCCAAAATGCTATGCAATTGTCTACTATCAGGAGGTATGTCTCCTGCTTTCCCTAGTGATGCATGAATGCTAAACGCCGCAGGAACTCCCCTGGTGCCCCATCAACAACGTAGCAGCAACCCTCTCCGAGTTCCTCTTCATTCAAGAGCCTGCCCACCCTATTTATCACTATAGAAATTCAACTCGCCAGTTCTGGCCAGAGATGATCACCATGTTCGCAGGCAAAACGTGAATCCTGCACCAGCAAATCATCCCTTTTGACCAGTGGTTGGAGTGCATGCTGCAGAAAACAGATGAGAAGAAGAGCCCTGCACGGTACGTTAAGGATTTCCTGAACGATCACCTTATTCGGATGGCATGTGGAGGCGTTATTATGGACACTGAGAGGGCTCAGGAATGGTCTTCGCGCCTGCAAACAATGGGAGCTCTTGAGATCGAGATGGTTGGGAAGTATGTTGGCGCGTGGAGAAGATGGAGCTTTTGCATCGAGAATTCATGTTAGAATTCTAATAGTTAGACAGGTCACGGCGTTAGGCGCAGAGCTCAATCGAATCAGCCATTGAAAACCGAAATCATTGATCTGCAGTAGAAAAAGCGAAAGAGCAAACTCAATATATATCTGGACGTGGTATCTACGACAATGAACGAACACCCCCAAACAACACCTCTAATCCATCATAACTAAAGCTTATAGTTCACTAGCGATAACTTCACGAGGTCCTGTTCACCAAAGACTTAATCGACCCCAAGATCATGACGTGAAGAAAGTCACGTGACACTTTCCCAATCGAGAGTCATCGAGCTTCGCCGCAGATCAGAGCTTCATTCAACAACCGTTTTTCCAGCTTCTTGTGTACGCAGTCCCAGTACGCAAATCCTTAACGGACTGCCAGGGACAAGCCGCAATATTACCATAATGAAATGCTAGCCTAAACCCCCTGGAGCTCGAGAACCATACCAGTGTCTAGTTCCGTGACCAACTGACCGCAGTTCCTCGACAATAACCATAACCACCATGAACCCCATAGACGCAACAGAGCACTACGAAACCAGCACCCACGGTACCCCCTCCCTCCTTCCTACCTCTTATTTCAAATAAGGATGCTAACGACGCAGATCCTGCCCCCTCCCTCCTAACCATAATCCTCGATACAAACCCCCACGCCTGGTCCCTCCTCGAATCCTCCCTCCCCTTCTCCCAAGCCGTCGCCAACATCCTTGTCTTCATAAACGCGCATCTAGCATGTAACTACGCCAACGAGGTCGCCGTTGTCGCATCGCATAGTCACCAAGCGTCCTGGCTGTATCCGAAAGAGACACATCATGGTACGGATACGGACGGGGATGTTTCTATGGATCGGGACCAGAATAATGTGCATGATGGCCCAGCAAAAAACGGCCAGGTAAACAAATACGAACCCTTTCGTGTCGTTGAGGAACAAGTTACCCGAAATCTGCGACATCTCCTCGAGTCAACGCCTACCTCTACGCTCACGAGTACGACATCGACAATGATGGCTGGCGCGCTAACACTCGCCCTCTCGCACATAAACCGTCGCACAATAGCCTGGTCCGAAGCCCATGGGGGCACAGGGGACCCCTCGCGCGCCTCCGGCGACGCAACAACAATGGGCTACAGTGGGAGCAAAGAGACAGGTCCTGAGGGGGAGTTGCAGTCGCGGATACTAGTTGTGAGCGTGAGCAGCTCGACGGATTCCGCGCACCAGTATATTCCAATTATGAATGGGATATTTGCGTGTCAGAGGTTGAGAATACCGATTGATGTGTGCAAGTTGAGTGGGGACGCGGTGTTTTTGCAGCAGGCGTCGGATGCAACGAAGGGGGTTTATATGGCGTTGTCAGAAGCGAGGGGGTTACTGCAGTATTTAATGATGGCGTTTTTGCCGGATCAGAGGTCGAGGAAACATCTTGTGCTGCCTACGCGTGTTGATGTGGATTTCCGGGCTGCTTGTTTCTGTCATCGACGCGTGGTGGATGTTGGTTTCGTTTGCTCGATCTGTCTGAGCATCTTTTGCGAACCTCCGGAAAATGGCGACTGTTTGACCTGCGGCACGCATCTTGAGTTGGGAGACTACGGCGCAAAACCGGCCGTCGTGGCTCGCAAGAAGAAAAAAAAGAAGGCTCGTCCAAACGGAACAGCGGCTACACCAACTCCCACGCCCACACCCGGTCCTTGACCAAATTGCCGACACGATTGTATTCTATTTTCTTCTGAATATCAGGTGATAAGAACACTGGAACGGGTATTGCGGATAAGAATACTATTCAAACTTCTGTCAGGGATTTGAGTCTGACTCATCAAAGCAGAAACACCTAAGAATCCTTTGGTCGTGTCCAAGTCGTACCCTGAATGTCACCCGAGAAATATCCACATCACCGTGACCGACCAAGTCTTGGAACACGCACGAACAACAACTTGCCATGTCAACTGTTTCGGGTGCTTAACACCTCGAGAAGGATTGTACACGATACACGGATTCGAGACGTAGTTCAAGACATCTATATATATAGAATCCATATTAGCCAAGATTAGAAATAAAAGCATATAATAGAAACTTACCACTACGAACTCGATCCTGCCATGGAACCAGGAACTTTGTGTCTGAGGCAGCCGGATCAGTACTATAATCGCTATACAAGTGATCGTAGAGAAGTTACCTCTTCCGTCGACAAACGCGACCACCCTGGGCGACATTTCCGTGCCCCTTCGTATTGCGTGACATGACCGAAACGGGCTTTCTATCCTCGCTATTCATCGAAGCAAGGGCCTATTCCTGGTCAGTCCCATGGCACCATATCAAAAAAGGGGCTGACTTACAAAAGACTCAGTGTTATGGCCAAAGAAGAGGTAAATCCCGTCGACAGTCTTCTTAACCGACATAATACCAATCGCTCCTTCGCAATGGCTGCGCTTCACGCCGGGGTGACCTGCAACCGTCAGTCATGATGCGCCAGCAGCCAGGACCCAGAAAAGAGGAATACCGAGGAAGTCCGTGGCTATCGATCCTTTCAGAGCCTCGTCTTCAGTGACCTCCTCGAACAGACCATCCGGACACTTCCGTTGACTGTAGTAGATCCGCAATGCACAGGTGTTCGCTGCCATAGTTGTCGCAATATGCTCGCCTGTTCCTGAGGTGACGGTAGCCACCTGTGCTTTCTCGGGATCACTGGGGTCTGCAGGGATCACAGCGGTACCTATACCTAATAGTGCAGCAGGCCCAACTCGACCAGGATGTTTCATGCCAATGCCACCTGAAGACGACCCTGCAGCAATGTTCCCAAAGCTGTCGACTGCTATGGCTCCTACCGTATCAGAGACGTCATCTGCGTCATCCCCGCTGCGCAACTCTGGAATGAGAGAGCCTGGTGGGGCGTCCATATCCATAGTTTGGCGGACTTGCGCGCTACTGGCTTCGCTAGAAACGTGATTGTGGATGTGGCTTTGGATAGGACCAGGTGGAAGGCCCGGGAAGTTTGCTTGATCTGGATTAGAGGTCACGGGAGTTGCTATACTCGAAGGCGTAGTGATCAATGGGCCCGGATTGTATTGTAGGGGATGACGAATGTGCCGATCATTAGGGTTGTTCTGATTCTGTTGTGACCCAGCTTTCTTCTTTCCAACCATCTCTGCATGTCTTAGTTCACAGCTCCAGCGTTTCCATCGTTGTTTTGCCCCTTCTGCGATGAGGGCGTCATGGGGGAGAACAGGCAGTCGATTTTCATATGCGAAATCAGTCGCTCCTGATCCAACGAGAAAATTCGGAGGTACTCTGTGTAAGGACAACGGATTTGATGAGGCGTCGAGAATAACACGCGCGAGGGAGATTGGATTTTTGACGTCTGCCAAAGTGAGACGAAGGCCAAAAACTGAGGATAAGAGGCAATACTCACGAGAAACTGCCCCAGCTGCACCACTTCTCCCCTCGTGGTCGATAATGGCTGCGTCACATTCGACCTTTCCATCTAAGGTAAGATTGCTGCCGTAACCCGCGTTGGTGATTTCCGAGTCCTCCAATAGCATGATAGCGAGTTCGACCGCGTCCACAGCCGAACCACCGTTCTTTAGCATGGCCATTGCTGCTTTTGCAGCACTGCTAACAGTCAGGAAACTTTAAGCAAGTGACGAAGGGACAGTACTCACTTCTCGCAGGCCTCCAGGTGGGATCTCTCATTGTGGTGACTGTGGTAACCGGCTCCAGCGTGGACGAAGATGGCAGAGATATCACCGTTCTTGCGTGGTCGACTCATGACGACTGCTGTGGATGAGTAATCGTCTTGGGTCAAGTAGCTGTAAGGTACAATCGAGCACAGAAGGTCTCGAGTTGAGAAGTAAAGGTCGATTGTTGTTCAATTTGACAGGATAGGCAACATTGGCTTATGGCTGGGGTGGCTAGACAAGGAATGAGGTAAAAGGATACACAGGGGCTCTGGACGAGGTGCCGGAGAAGAGGAACAGAATCCCGAGAACTGAACGAAGAATAGAGATAGAAATAGATCTGAAAAGAGCGTACAGATTCTAGGTGGTGGTATTATACAGAAGGACTGGTTAGGGAGAGAAAGTAGAGAAGAGGATAAAAAAAGAGAATGAATTTAGAAAAGAAAGAGTAGTTTAAAGGTGAATTCCTTGAAGAGTGAAGGAGAGACTGGAGGAGCACCTTCCTCATTTCACGTGTAAAATTTGGCTGCACAGAAAGAGGCAGTTGCCCTCAAGTGTTGCCCACCATTGCTGAGTCAATTCTGGCTGACAGATAGTCCTATAGCAGTTCTATGTTCTGTTCCCCATTATGTGCCAGAATTTCCCAAAATGGCATGTATGAAGCCACCGGAAGCTGCATCTCGTGCCGTCCGGGGAGAAACTCACATGACGTGGCTTGGCACCGCCCCAGCGATACCGACTGCGAGTCCCCGCTAGTACTGTCTACTCCTACTCTCCTCTTCTTGTATCTTCCCTACTCTTTTGCTCTTTTTATTTAATTCTACTACATCTCTATCTATATCGCATAGGTTTCTCTTCACCGCTGGTCCCGGAAGAAGAAGCGACACCCTCGTCCCTAATCCGCCATGGCGTCCCAAACCCCAGCCGTTGTCATGGACAAGTACGTTGTTTGCTGCGATTCTGATTCCCTTTCATTGCACTCGAATTGACTGACATTCCCCACCATATAGCGGTACTGGATACTCGAAGCTTGGTAAGTCCCATCAAGATATCGCAATTCCGTACCCTTAACGATACGGGGGGAAAGCTACGGGGAGCTCCAAACTGACCACGTATGTTGACTAGGTTTCGCCGGTAACGACTCGCCTTCGTTCGTCTTCCCAACCGCGATTGCGAACAAGACCGGCTCCGGAGGATCTTCCAGACCCGCCGTTTCGAACAAGCCATCGTTCCTGGCTGGTGGTGGTGGTGGGGCAAGCTCCAACCTGTCAGTGAAGCGTGGTGCGGAGGACTTGGATTACTCTATTGGAGATGAAGCTCTGGCTGCTGCGAACGGCCCTGGATACGACCTCAAGTATCCTATTCGTCATGGTCAGATTGAGAATTGGGACTCGATGGAACGGTTCTGGTCCAAGTCGATCTTCAAGTATCTCCGGGTTGAGCCCGAGGACCACTACTTCCTTCTTACTGAGCCGGTACGATATTCCCTCACCATACTGCTGTTTATTTCATCGGCCTCTATATTTGAAAGTACGACTTGTGAGTTGAAGGCATAGCTGACAGTAGTGGTGATAGCCCCTGAATCCCCCCGAGAACCGTGAGAACACCGCCGAGATCATGTTCGAGTCGTTCAACTGCGCTGGTCTCTATATCGCCGTCCAGGCCGTCCTTGCACTGGCTGCATCCTGGACGTCCTCGAAAGTGACCGACCGATCCTTGACCGGAACTGTGATCGACTCGGGTGATGGTGTGACCCATGTTATCCCCGTCGCAGAAGGCTACGTCATCGGTTCTTCCATTAAGAGTATACCCGTTGCTGGTCGAGACATCACCTACTTTGTGCAGAGCTTGCTTCGTGACCGTGGCGAGCCCGACAGCAGCTTGAAGACCGCAGAGAAGGTCAAGGAGGAATATTGCTATGTGAGCCCCGACATTGTCAAGGAATTTGCCCGCTACGACCGCGAGCCCGACCGCTTCCTGCAGCACACCGTCACCTCCCCCAACGGCCGATCGGTCAACATCGACATTGGGTACGAACGCTTCCTGGCACCCGAAATCTTCTTCAACCCTGAAATCTACTCGTCCGACTTCCTGACCCCCCTGCCCACCGTCGTCGACGGCGTTATCCAATCCTCCCCGATTGATGTTCGGAGAGGTCTCTACAAGAACATTGTTCTTTCCGGAGGATCAACCCTATACAAGGACTTTGGCCGGCGTTTACAGCGTGATATCCGCCACTTGGTGGATGCTCGCCTCCGCGCTTCGGAGGCACGTAGTGGAGGAGCCCGGAGTGGTGGCTTGGATGTGGCCGTCGTGACGCACAAGCGGCAGAGGCACGGTCCCTGGTTCGGAGGTAGCTTGCTGGGTCAGACTCCTGAGTTCCGGAGTTACTGCCACACCAAGGCAGAGTACGACGAGATTGGTCCCAGCATTGTCCGCAGATTCGCCTTGCTTGGTGGCCCTGGTACTTAGTTTAGATCCGACGTGCAGCGCGTTACTAGCCTTGTGTTTCTATTACTTGTCTGTCCATAGTTTACTAAGTATTTCTTTCATATCAGCTCTATTGTCATATCCAAGATTAAGATAGAGAAAAGGAATTACTTTAATATATCATGATCCGAACCCCCTCACCCGAACCTGGCTCTCCCTACACTGGATATGTCAGTCGCCCGCGCAATCGTATCTCTTCAGGATGAGTCGTCAACCGCACCTTGAAGAGAACTTTAGAGCATCCACCTCAGGACCCAGACAATATCGCCGGCTCTGAAAATGTCAGTAGAAACAACTGCTGACTGCAGCAAAATTTACCGAGGTGATCTCCGTGGTTGGCAGATAGAATAGGCAGTACAAGTAGTGCCGCATATTATATCGATACCTTCAAGGGTTCTCAATCAAGAGGGGCTCCGCATTATGATCTTGGGAGGGTTATCTCGTAGAGTAAACTCCACGCTTGTCGAATCTTACCATGTTTTTGTCCAATCTCACCTCCGTCGTGAATTTTGCAATCATCATGGGTCCATTTTTAGGCCTATCCAACCTTGTCATATTAAATTGCCGCTTGAATATTCAACGTAGTTGAATGTCTCGGTTCCTAGAGGAGAGAGATTCACATCACCCATTCTTGTCTATTCTTGAGGCACTCCTGAGACGGACCATATGGGCCATAGTTCGTCTACTTTGCTTTGGCATTCTGGACCGGCTAAAGACGACACATCCTTGCAGCAACTCACTCAAACCACTATCTTCTCGTCTATGCTTTTGATGGTTTCTACACGAGAACCCAATTTGTCGACCAAAGCGTGCCTGGAAACAATCGACGACAGGAAATGCACCATGATAATCGTCATGCCGTCTGACAGCACTTTGAATAACCCAGAGATCATTATGAGTAAAGAGAACTATATTGAGGCCGCCATCTAGCCCGGCAAACCCAAAGTATAACAGGACAGTCTCAATTCCCAAGTCATAAAATTCTGGGAGAGGAAGCAATACAATGATGTTCGTCTTCAATGCACTCGGACTTGCTTTTTGCTATGGTTTCTGAGAGTGGACAGGAAGGAAGCGTGGTTATCCTTTCAGCATGGAATATGTCCTTCCAGAGACATGTAAACTCAAGCTATCAATGTCCATTTGTCTGGTCGCTTAACCTTGTGGCTTCGAAATGCATAATGACTCGATTCACGCATTTGTGAGAGCTAGCCCAGTCACTCCAGGTGTAGGAATACTGCGAGGACTCATGTTTGCTATAGAATGCACGCAAAATGCTATTATTAAAGGATGGTGCTTCATAGAAATTGACCAAGAGAGGCATGCCATTCTTTTTAGGTCGTTGAGACTTTTATACAGTGGCCTAGGCATGCTTCGGATCTTGACTTTCATGACAGCCTCTGAAGGCCGTATACTAAAGGCCGATCATATGGAGAGGCCTAGTAAGTTGGGTCGTAATCTTGTATTAGTCTTTCTGCAAATTGCATAGTTGCAGTGGTGAATCACTTCAACGAAATATCGGTAGCAGTGCTGCAAGCACAATCAGTGAAAGTCTTGCAACGTGGGTTTCCTGGTTTGCGAACTCATAAATTTTTTTGCTTTGATATATCCGAATAATATCTGCTTGAATTTAGATTGCATTTCTCATATTGGGACGAACATCAGGATGCCATTGAATGATACAGGATCAAAGTGACCCTTGGTGACCCATTAAAGTGACTTTACTTCCAGGATTACAAGGTTTGTCCCGGGGTCCTTGGTCTCATCAAGTCATGAAAGCAGCTGCAGTATCCGAAAAAAAATTCCTTCATTGTCATAATAGAGATGAACCTGTCTGGGTATTCCTCAAAGAAAGGCTTTTTAGATGTAGAGACGTCTTGGTTCCTGACGCTGAAAGGCCTGGTATTCGGTATTATGTGGTCATCCAATGCTTCTTTCCTGAAATTGAGGGATTCGCAATAGGCATGCCTTATGAGGGGTTTCCCTTTGGATAGACTCGTCAAATAGGTCAAGAAAGTGTCATTTTTGCAGCAAACATACTCAAACTCTGACCTACTAGGCGTCAATCGAGGGTATCACTTAGCGTACGAGACACTCTGACTGCTCGCTCTGGCGAAAGGAAAAAGTCGACTTTTCTTCCTCTGTTAGATCTTGTTGGCTCCTCAAATTTGTGCGAGGAATCTTCGCCTTCAATGCGTTCTGCGGAGGAACGAATATATGTCGTTTGCGTGATGAATGCGCAGAAACCCGCTGTCTGTAAGCAATTCTCCGCTCTCAAGCAACTCCCAGGTTAAAGTGAGATTTCTTTTTTGGAAAGGGAAGACTGATATGTGCGTAGTTATTCGATTTTATTGTATACTGGGAAGGGCTTCGGCGTCGGACGAACGATCCTTAGTTGCTGTTGTAAAGGCGCACTGTGGGAATAGCATCCAAGACGGACCAACAATAAAGTATGTGGGAGATAGGGAAGTCCAGGCAAGCATGTGCAGTATGCCTTGCTTGCTGTGCGACTTGGATTCGATAACAGAGAAGTTTGTTTCGAGTCACTCGGACTTCTGTTCGAAAGCCAAACCGGACAGCTGCGGTATCCGGAAAGGGTCTTTGGTTGCTTTGATCGATGATTCTTTTCGAACCTTCTTCCCAACTACCAAAGGATATAACACATTGTATCCGAATATCAGGATACTTGACAGGTGCTGAAAAGGCTTAAAGAATCAGTCGCCAATAGGCGTGCCCCTATAAGGACTTCGTTTTCAAGGATAGGTCGATTGCAACCCCATAGGATTGGAGGACAAAATCCAAACGAAATATGTATAAGTCAGAAGCCAATGACAGGCTTCAGGTAGAGCACCTGGTTTACTATATTTGTTGCTATCATGAATCATCCAGGGTGCATTTGTCTTCGCAGTGAGATTCTTGATGTTGGAGCCAGGAAGAGGGCAGGGTAAGAGATATTCTATTGCATGAAATCAGGTGTTTACCATCCTCAATTCATGTCGTCTGTGAATGTACTGTCTACTGATTCTATGGTTAACGTCACAGGCACTCCGTATCCGTCGTGATAGGGTATGATGTCAGATATACGGTGGTTATATAAAGCCAGCTATTTACAAGGCTGAGCCGTATCTCATCTATATATACTAAGGCCCAATTGATTAATTACAGAGAATTGTACCATGTCCCCAAACCTCATTCCAAAAACGGGCAGCAGAACAGCCCTAGACCCCCAAATCCAAACATTCCTCACCCAAAACTCCTCCCTCCAACTAGGAGGCACCGACTTCCTCGCCGAGCGCAAACACCACACCCAAGTATTCGCCTTCCACAATCATCCCCCAATCCTCCAGGCCTCAATTGACCACGTCGAGTTTACGGCAATCCGCGGCCCTCACGGAACGATCCCAATTCGCGTGTTTTATCCCAGGAGCGGCGAGGAACAGAAACAGTCCCGGGATGCCGCTGCATTAATCTACTTCCACGGTGGAGGCTACACAGTCGGATCGGTGGATGAGTTTGAGAATGGTCTTCGGATACTGGCGGAAGAGAGCGGCGCGCAGGTCTACGCTGTCGAGTACCGATTAGCCCCCGAATGGCAATTCCCGACACAGCTAGATGAATACCTCGCGGTACTAGAATGGGTTCAGGGTAAAGGTGGTGCGGAACGAGGAGTTAATCCCCAACTAGTCTGCGGCGGAGGCGATAGTGCCGGAGGAAACATGACCGCTGCGCTCGCCTTGCGCGTTAAAGACGGGAAAGGCGGCAGAGCGCAACCCATGCGCGCGCAGATCCTGCTCTACCCAGAAGCGCGAATCCCATTCGACACTCCTGCTGCGTCGGAAAATAACTCGGGGATCTACCTGGAGTGTAATGGCATCTTTTCTTTTGCGGATCACTATCTTCCCCGTGGAACGCCACCGTCGCATCGATATATCTCGCCTGGGATGCAGCCAATCTCGTCATTACGGGATCTACCGGCGGCAGCGGTATACACTAATGGATTTGATCCGCTGCGCGATGTTGGGGTGGAGTATGCGTCCAAGTTGGATGAGGCGGGTAACCAGGTTGTCTGGCATCATTTTGATACGCTCCCACATGGATTCTTGCAAATGGCGCCATGGAGTGAGAAAGCTATGAAGGCGACGAAGCAAGTTGGTAAGGACTTGGGAGAGTTGGCATATGGGAAGTAACCGCACTCTGTTGTATTTATTCAATGTACTCTTGTATATAAACAGCCGATCCGATCGATATGACGTCATAAGATCTCAGCCCTAGTATCCGTCCATCCATGAAAACTTTTTTTTGTCTTGTTCTATTACCTTACAGCCAGGTTGCCTTGTGCCTGCTTTTTATGCCCTGTAATATTTTGTAACTGCTGTATACAAAGCGCACGAGGTTTCTCGTGTCTTGACATCATGTGTCGTCATATCAAAACAAGTGGATACCGAGCAGAACAAGTTGCGACACAAAATTATCCGGTGCACAACTAACAGCCATCATGAATAAAAAGGACCAGTTGTACATAGTCTGCTGCTCCCATATCGACCTTGAAGCCTCAAGGATCCCACCATGACCGGCCGTGTATCTATTGGACAGCGCATTCGCCAGGTCTCTTGGGGCTGGTATGCCATCTCTATGAGTACCGGAGGCATTGCACTCCTTCTGAACCAAACACCGCATCAATTCACGGGCCTTAATATTATCGGAAAGATTGTGTTTATCCTAAACCTAGTCGTGTTTTCATCGATAAGCATCGCAATGGGTATTCGGTTCATTAGCAAATCGTCCACGTTGAAAGAATCATTCCAGAGCCCGCAGGAAACACATTTCTTCCCGACTTGTGTGCTGGCAATTGCAACTATTATAATGGGTATTTCATCATACGGCACATCCTCCTGCGGTCCGTGGTTACTGGTTGCACTGCGCGTGCTCTTCTGGCTGTACGTCGCTATCGCGACACTCGTCGCAATTTTCCACAACTGGTATCTTTACCATTCGTGCATGGCCAGTCAGCAAACTTTCGCGCTTCTACGACTTCTACCTTCCTTTCCCGCAATGCTGTCAGGAACCATGGCATCGGTACTCACGTCCAACCAACCTGTGCACCACGCTAAACCGATGCTCATCGGCGGAACAACCCTGCAGGGCTTCGGCTTCCTCATGTCGCTCCTCGTATACGCCGAGTACGTCTTCCGTGCAAACAAAGATGGCCTCCCCAAGGCCCTTGAGCGACCAGAAATGTTCATCGCCGTCGGCCCCTGGAGCTTCACAGCAGTCGCCCTAATCGGCATGGCCCAAGTCGCCGTGGAAAAATGGCCCCAGCGCTACATCATCTCTGTCGCAGATACATCCTCCTCCTCGCCAACCTCGGTATCCGCAGCAGACATCGCACTGGTAATAGCAACTCTCTCCGCGGTCTTCATGTGGATGATGTCGTTCTTTTTCTTCTGCATCGCAGCAATCAGCACCATCGCTTCGTGTCGGGTGGTTAAAGGCAAGGGGAAAGGGGAGTTGGGGATGTCGATGGCGTGGTGGAGTATGGTGTTCCCAAATACGGGATTTACGTTGGCGACAATTGATATCGGGGAGGCTTTGCAATCGGAGGGGATATTGTGGGTTACGAGCGTGATGACGGTTTTGCAGGTTGCTGTGTGGTTGATTGTTGGTGCTGGGACAGTTTGGGGGGTTTGGAATAGGGAGTTGTTGTGGCCGGCTGAGGTGGAAGGGGATGATGAGAAGGATAGATGAGGTTGTCTTTGATTTTTTTTCATTCGTTTTTATATTCTGGTTTATGTTGGTGCAAATATTTGCGTTTGTCATGCTATATACCCATAGAATCATATGTTCATGTCCATATATTCCCGGTGCTTCATGTACTCATCCACCGAAATAGGAAATCTGACCACATCGCGGAATGATGACACCCAAGCTTAGTTCCCTTGATAGGGAACCGGTGCCCGGCGCGCTGAATGGCTTGCAAGAAACTTGTAGTATGCAAAGCATGCCAGTTTGGAAACTCCCACACAGGGGATCGCAGGTTCTTAGCTTGAAAGAAAATGAATCGCCACTGCAGCCTCGCTGTATAGTGGTAGGTTCTAATACGGCTTCTCGAATCTGCCCTAAGAGTCCGGATAGGATCTGTCCGAACACGACTCGTCCCCATCACAACGAATATTACGAGGACTCCAATGATTGAATGCACTATTCAACCGCTGTTGCGAGTGTCATCACGAATCGCTGCTGGATATTGAGTAAACACGATGGATGACTATTTGGACGCGATGGCAATGCAACTAGCTTGTTTGCAGATGTATTGGCTTCGTTATGGATTGCCCTTTGTTCTATATACTGTCGGCTTTTCAACATCTCCCATTCAGTTGCCGACACTTGATAGCATCAAGTCACTGTCCATGGCAGATGTATTAGAATTGACCGGTCCATATTCCTCAGTGATGCATCTTGAAATGCGTCTTCTAAGGTGTAAGACCTGATGATATTGATATCTTTATCTGACCGTTGCCATCTTAATCGTCCAAGGGACCAATCACATTAGGGGCACCGATCATATCCAACATAATTTCAGCGTCTGCAGTCACTTTTTGGCCAGCATCCTCAGAGTTATCCTCACTGCCATCCTCACTACCATTACTAGTATCACTGCTGATCACAATTTTGGTTCCTGCTGGGAATTGGTGTGTTTTTAGACGCTATTGGGCAGGAGCCGCTGGATTTTCTGGGATTAACTCTCCCTCTTGCAACACAGCCTTCATAATTTCGTTAAAGAATTGCTTGGCCTACTCGGGAAAGACATGGCATTGTGGAAGATATCAGCATTTATTTCATCATTTTTTGTAGCCGCTTAAATGCGCGCTCTCGGCTAGCCTGGGATGACTCCTAGGTCTTTTCCTCTAGGACTTTGCCAACGTCGCGCGACATGACACGTCGTGATTGATATTTAGGAACAATTTCGGACACAAGTCGATCCTTGAAAGATGACTGAGCTCGGAGCGTGTAGGTGTTCGCCTGAATATGGCCGAAAAGGAGTTTGATAGACGTATCAATTCATTGCAAATTTCAATACTTGCTTGAACTTGTCGCTAAACAACGCCGATGTCTAAGGGGTTCCCAAAGAGGTTTTCCGTATAATCACCGTCAAAATTGCCCGAGATATGAGAATGATGGTAACTCTTTTCCGTGTCCGATATTTAATGGGTCGTTAACTCTGGATTATCAGACATGGAAGCAGTTGGGGTTGACTGCTGTTGTGTGCAAATTGCTAGCAAAGACGGCGAAAGAAATGTAGGATATGCGCAATACTAGGCCTAATTTCGAAAAGCAGGGCAAATCCCCAAAAAGACCTCCCGGCATCGAAACCTTTCCTAGCAAGATCATTTGCAGAAGATCGATCCGCGCCTGGTCACTGCAAATAAGCTGTTCATCCTAGCTAACCACTGCGGAGCATCAACGCTCTCATCTGGGGTCCCCATTAGGTCTGGGGACCCAAGGGAGGAAGTTTGTGGATCCAAAAATATCTTGATGGTTGGTATCACTTTGTTGCTTACCACTGCAAAGTAATCTGCAGTCAAATATATTGCCGTGATCTCACAAGTTCCCCATATGTGAATTAATGGCATGTATGGTTGAATTTTTTTTTTTGTTCAGCAGTAAGGAAAAGCATATTGCTATATTATTTGGCCTGTTGCATTCCCAGCTCGCGTCGGTATCCTTCCTATTTCACCCATGGACCGGGGAGGGGATGTTCAAAATGTATCTTTGTAGGCACCGTTCATATTCGTGTGTGATGTGAGCAGCAGTGATTTTGAACCGAATACCGTGTACACTCAATTCAAACATTCCTTGGTCATGCCATCCTCTAAGAGCTCCAAGCTGTTCCCTATCACCTGTGGCAACAGCTCTGCAACCTCCTTACCTAGGATGTCTGCGCAGTATTTCCCCACCTCCTCAGCGCCAAAATGGACACCAGCGGCATAGCCCCGTTTTACTTGGTAACGCATTCATTACTATGTTTTGTTTCATGCTGCTGTATCTGAGCGCGGATATCTGAAAAATCGAGTTTGTAGATGATTTGCATGAGCATGGTCGATCAGCCAAATCTGTGGTTATGGAACCAGTTCCACAGCATAAGGGCTGCGAGCCAAAACCGCCTGTGAAATGTAAGGGAAGGAGCGCACACTCATGGTAGTCTTCTCGGTATTTTTGCTCCTGGTGATTCTCATCCCGCTCAAGTCCAGAAGGAGTCGTTTATCGTCGGCGCCTCAGGAGTATAAACAGACGCATGGTTGCTATACAGTCAACACACAAAAAAAAAAAAAAAAAAAAAGCGAGCTCACAGACTTACATGATAGTCTATACAATTCTAAGTCCCACCGAACCCGAAGGATGTGATCAGTCGGCATTACCTTGATATTCACCGCCACAAGGTAGTCTCCGGTGAAGTAGGTGACTGGTATCTTCAATTTGGTACCGCACACGTTGATTGCAAATGCTTCTTGGTCGATTAACATAGTGGCCAATACCTGACGATTGTTCTCCATCGCCTGGCCGAGAAGCTTGGCGACTTTCTGTTCTAATATGTTCTCGCAATAGCCCTCATCCTTCCAACTCCCCACGTGCATTACCGCGGCGTGGCGTCGCTTGGCCTGATTAAACATGTAAGCAGTGTTCTGGGAATTTAACTTGAAAGCAAAGATTGCTTACTTCGAACGAAATGACAGGATCTTCCCAATTCTGTGGGAACCAGCAATCCATCCCTCATAAGCAAGAAAAACACTGCTGTCATTCTTGACAATGATATGACTTCGTTGCCCGAGCTAATTATGCACTGACTGGGATCTTCTGCTCCTAGACAGGCTTGGTAACTATTACACGCAAGAATGGGAGACTGATAAGGGACATATATCGAGAGATAGTATACACGTGTGCTTTGTAGTATGAACGCGCACAAAGTTGTCATGGTTGTAAATCGAGTCGTTTGAGCGACAGCGAGGCCCGTTAAAGGAGGTGGGAATGAAATGCATGGCGAGCCAATGTATCTGCGATTAGCCCCTCCAGGTAGATATTAGCACAAAATATAACGCGCAAAATATTGCAGAGAACCTTGGTCATGCCCAAATGCTCGAGAGACAGGAGAGGCGTTTTGGAGTCTACTATTTGCACATCAGAGAACTCACTGGCGGTTTCATCACATCTTTGCTATCCTTCGCCGCGTTCTGCCATACCAATATAATTGTATAGAGCATTCCGCATTTCTGAGTGATGCTGCTATATAAGCAGAGCATGGAGCCGTTTGTAAAAGTTGGAATCCTAAAGCTGTCCGTGTACAATATTGGTATTGCTCTAGCGAAATGCCCCATATTCGTCATAACAGAACGTGTTGCACCAGGGCAACATCAGCTTTTCAGCCTTCGCTGATGTAGCCGTCCGCGACTAATCCGGTCAATAAACGCAGAGACCCAAGCCATGCGTGAAACATTTGCGGATGAAAGAAGCCAGTCAGTCGAACCGGGCGTATCTGGCTCACTGGTATAAATCTGCCATTGACAGCCCGTAGATATTCCAAGGTGAAACGAGCGCCACTCATCTTCATATTTGTGCCATACACGCTCACGATGAACAGCTGCTCTTTGTACCAGTTTTCTGTGGGTCTGCCGTGTCTCCTCCGTTGGTTGATCTAGCAGCTCTACCATATACCCATGTGCTCGAAATGGCCAGCTCTCACACAGATGCTCCCTTTTCTTTCCAGGTACCATACATATAGCACAATTCTGCCCGCTCCTGACGTCAGTCAACTGAGTCTGCTCCTCATAGTTTGCCATTATCCCTATAGTGAATGGGTAGCACTTCCTGGCCTAGGATCTTGAATGAACGGCGTTTATTTTTTGTAGGCCTCAAATGGATACTTGCGGCATGGCGACGCTCTTACTGATAGCGTATGTGTAGTGCTGTACGACAGACAGGACTTGCTTCAAGTGAAGCGACAAGGACCACGCCGTATGTTGTCGGCACTCCGGCTTCGCAAAATGACACAGGACATGGAGTATCTCGATCGACAGGACAAAGGCTATTCAACCTCTGCTGGGGTATATCCAAATCTTGACGACTAGCAAGCCACATTTTGCTTGCTAGCTGTGTTTTAATGCCACATGTGGGTAGGATCGATTCTTCAGCTCGAGACTTGATCCTTGGTATATGAATCATGACTGTAACATGGATTGCCCAATACCATGTCAATTGTGAGCTAGGCGATGGACGTAATTGATTATCCTGATGCCATGGCCGGGAGACCTCCCTTCATGGTCTTCTCTTAGGATCCCAGGGGATGGCTGGACAAGCCTTCCGCAGATGGCAAAGAGGACACGCTTGGCGCGTTTTTGAGCGCTTCATTGGTTGATAGATCCATTATAGTTTTAGGCCAAATAGGCCTTGGAAACTATTATGGTCCTGTCGATTAATTGCTGTTTTCCGGTGCTAGCTTCTGTCTTCAACCTTTGCTTTCCACGAGGTCTTCAGAGTCTATCTCCATGTCTCAAAATCATTCTCGTGTTTACAGCTTGATAAAGAAGCTGTTCTTGTCGAGGTTAATATGAGAAGTTGTCACTTCGTCTCTGGTTGGGGAAACATTGTTGGAGATATGCCCGATTAGAACTTCGAACTCCATTTTGTTCGGATACCTGCCTGCGAATGGAGAGTTCCGAGCCAGTGTACCCATAATTTCGGGACTATAGGACACGTGATTCTACTCGCACAAGGGCTTCTCGTGGAGGTTAAATCGTCTGCAATCTAACTCGGAATTTCTGACGTAAAATAGCAACTACTACTATCGTCTGCAATCTCATCTGGTCGGTGTACAGAACATGCACATCAACAAGGCGTCCGTCCCGTTGCATATAGCCCGTCCTTAAGCATTAACGGTTATTAACGAGAGCTATAAGATTGATCCGTGTTTGTACACGTTCCACATTGCTCTTTTCACCGGACTAGGGCCATGAGCAGCACCGTTTCATAGTCCTTGTACTTTATATCTTCCTTTTCTTAGAGTATAGCCACTATAAAAATTAGTCCTCATGATTTGTCCCGCGACTCTTCTAGACAAGGGTTTAAATCTCACAAAGTGGTTTCTCAGGCCAGCCGTCAAGACTTCTGTGTCGGTCCGACCAGTACTGTTGCAACTAGAACACATCTCCCTTTGGGCTGTTCCAGGTTGCCGTTGCAATCAGAATAGTCCTATGCTTCTTTAGCAGCAGGCACGCTTCGTATTCGAATGGCAAAGTGACGCCGCGAACATCGGAAGCGCGGCCAATGGTTTTTTGTAATAGCCATCAAACTCGCTCGCTGTCATTTTCCATGTGATTTGTAGCTCTAGTATAACGACGCGCAAAGTAGTGAGTGGCTGTGCATGACGTCCCCATCTCTACCTGCGCTGGTACAGTTCGTCGCTAGTCTGGAAAATGCCTACGTCGTGCATGCCAACGATATCAATCACGCCAGAGGAAGGGCATTCTCGCTAATTGTCGGCCACGTTGAATGGGGATCCCTGCTCGTGCCAATTTTGGTAAATTCGATCTTTGGAAGGCGTCATTTGCAATCACAAGTGACGACTTCAAGAAAGTTGTGCCACGTCTCCCACAGTATCAATAAGTGGATGTGGTATTTCCTCATCTGGTTGTACTTATTGCTAGAGGATAAAGGATGCCTCTCGGGCCTTGCTATTCACGCAGAGTGAGACGCTTCCGCTTAAGGACTGTATGGAACGTTTTGCTCGTCTTTCTGTGGGTGTTCGGTGTCGACATTCTGGTTACGGCGGCCGGTGCACTTCCCGGTCAACAATCGCATGTTGAGGGTAACGGTTTAAACTCGAGTATTTTCTATCTTTTCTGCCGTGAGCGTCCTCCCTTGCGTTTATAGATGGATGTAGGTGGTTCTATTAAACATAAAATATCCGTGGATTGGTATAGATACCATGATACTATTGCAGGGAACTTTGGTCATATTCTGTAAAAATGGATGAAGAGAGGGAGGAGATGGAGCGAGATAGTAATTGAAATATTTGCTATCTAAAAGACCATAGAAATTGCTTGGCAGCAAACAAAGAGTGAAAGAGGCAATGAAGCATTCACTTGCAGTGGCTTTTTATCCTTCACTTTTAGTGCCCACATCATGGAAATAACCCGGTATCTGCCCTACCATGCCGTTGGTATGTTGCAGGGCTATTAAGAGAGTAATTCCTACGTGGTAGTAGATTCGAGACAGGGCTTATCCGGGCGAGCTTCTTAGCACCAAGATGCCCCAGAAGACCAATGAGAAGTCTCAATATCTCCCGTCGCTGGTTATGTTCCTGGGAATCATACGTCACAGAGCGAAGGAGTGTAAGACGCTTCATGAGCGCTTCACCCTGACTTAGGTTACTTATGTAGTTCCGAGATATCATGGCCGAGCTGAGCTGAAGTTTGAACTTGTTTATCCGGAGTGCGAATGCTCTGTAGGCTTCCAGTGAGTCTTCTGTCTTCGGTTTCGGGACACCTGCCAAGACTCCCTACGGGTTTCAGTACACCTTTCACACTACAGGAATGGATGTGGAATGGAAGCTCTCGGCGAAGGGCTATGGTACTGAATGATCTGACCAGAACGTAGGACTGAGATAACGACACAAACTAGATTCCCACTCACAACCAGGTATCTATTTCAACATATCCAAGGAGAGTATTGACTAATGCGTTTGGAGGATGTATAGTTGCTTCTGAAGAGTTCCTATCCCATCGCGTCCCCTTGGATCACTGATGCTAGGTGTTTGTGAATACCCCTGAAGGGACTCTGGGTTTACTCGCAGATGTCAGCGCGCTTATCAGATGTAACGTCTAAGAATGGATGTGTGTGTGTATTCGGAGGTGGCAGGCTAACATGCCTAAATAGCCTCTTGGACCGAAGCGAGGGCGGACCCAGCGACACGTGACCCGCCGGGTACTAACA